CCGAACCAGATGCACCCGAGCCAGTATCAGAACGCATTCGCCCCGAACCAGATGCACCCGAGCCAGTATCAGAACGCGGTCGCCTCGAACCAGATGCACCCGAGGCAGGTGCCCTCGAAGGCGATGGACGAGGAGGATGTTTATTTGTGGAGGAACTGAGATGACGCATCAAAATCTGCCTTCAGCGTTACGGGGCACGATGCACCAGGGACAGCATCGTGAATGTGACTCTCGGCTTCGTTACTAGCAAAATGAAAGTGCCTCATTCTAGGGTGAGGTCATTTGAAATGAGAAACAGACAGAAGCCACTCGGCCAGCCATGACCCTTTGTAGACCTTCCTGAAACGTGAAGACGGGTCCCTATAATGTAGGTGGCAGATTGAAGGTTTCTGTAGCAAGGCATCATTTCGCGACTACATCAAAAGGCCCCAGCAAATATGTCACTATAGTAACTGCCAGATCATCCCGTTGTCACGCACCTGGTCCACACATCTGGCCCTCCATAGCCTCTGGCCTAGGTTCTCTGCAGGGACACGTGTATAAATCAAGACAGGATGTTCCCGAGACTCTTGAGCTCGTCCACATCAACAGAACCCACCGACTGATTCGTCAAACAGGATGAGTGAGACCAGACGCGTGAGCCCTCGGGTCGTGGCAGCTTGTCTATTAGAACCCGTGCGTTGGAGCTCCTGACGCCACCTCCCACAATGACCTCGATGTGCTCGGTGGCAGCAGCATGGATGACCCGGCCTAGCACGTCCAAGTTGTCGACCGCCGAGCCTGGGCCGCCCGAGGTGAGCACACCGTCGAACCCGCATGCCTTGACAGACTGCAGTGCCTCCTCCACGGAAGAGCCGCTGCTGCCCAAGACCTCGTCAAACGCCCGGTGAAAGACACACTTGAAGGGGCTCGCCAGCCGGACGAGCTCCGAATTCCGGTCGACATCGACGAGCAGACCTGCTCCCACCCCGCCATCCTTTGCTTTCAAGATTCCAAACACGAAGCCGTCGCCTCTTTCTGCGCGCAAGTATCCAGAGTCTTTGAATCTCTGGACGTCCCGTCTCATCTCCTCAAGCTCGCCGTCGGAGTAGATGAAGTCGGGACCCTCGTCTGGGGGGCCACGTGGCCTGATCATTATCCTCAGGGGCACGGCCACCGACGACAGGCTCTGCACATCGAGCGTTTCAGGCGTAAGACCTCCCTGGGGGTATGAGCCCGCGCGATTGAGCTCCAGGCGATTTGCCTTAGTAAGGGCGACTCGCGCAGAGGCTGGTGAGAAGACGGGAACTTCGAGATGAGCCATAGCTCTTGTCTCTGTGTCAACAGCGAATGGCTGTTAACAACCTGGTGAATTTTCTTTTTTCTGACTTCCAGAACTCTGAAGTCGAAGTTGAAGCTTTGATAACAAATCCAATCTGTAATTGGGATGTGGAAGCATTTGCAGCGAGGTTGCAATGCTGTGGCTGTTGGGTTAGACTGAGTGAGGGGATGGGTTTCGCTGCACGATTCAGAGCTGCGCTGGCTTTGGTCTGCGTTGGGCGACCTCTAACAGTATCCTCCTACAGCGAAAATCCAGACACGTTCAAAGAAGTATTGGAAAGATTGTCAAGACATAGCTTCGAGTGAAATTATCTGCTCGCCGGCGAAATAGGAATTTTCCAGACAATTGCTCATGAACGCGGGATTGCGATCCATCCTAACCCATGCTTCATGGTGCCGCGGCGGCTCTCATAGTATGTCAACCTCAGACAGGGAGAATTGGACCAGAAGCGGCACTGGCGACCCCAAACCAGCGATTTCCTATGTCCAAATCGAGAGACAGGATTCCTCAATGAGGCTCAAGTCGCGATACTGATAACCTAGCAACCTAGGCCTTTACTTGTTACGCTATCAACATCCTCAGAGTCGGGCGATCAAGCACAATTCGCTACATTCAGCAGAGCAGGCTGTTCTATCTAATGTGTCTACATGTTATTATAACCTCCTTCTATCTGCATCTCCTGATTCTCGTCATCAAGTCACTCTTGGCTTTTCTAAGCTCAGTGACTGACCAGCCCAATATGTTGCAAGTGTTGACCTGCGGGACATTTAATTATCCCATTCGGCGTCGATCTTCGCCCAGTTGTCCAAAAAGCCCCTGAACCACTTCACACCCAGACCTGGGTCCAAGGCGCCTGTGGTGGCCCTAATAGAGTGCATGGAAAGCTGCGGCAGCCCGGCGTCAACAGCCCTCACGCCCAACATAGAGCTGAGACTTGGCCCGATGGTACCGCCTGATCTGGAGTCATTTCTAATCATGAAACGCTGGTTCTTGGTTCCACTCAGCTCGGCCACGCGACTGCAGATGGCTGTGCTGATGCTGTCTGTCGTCACTGTTCGAGATTGTTAACGCTGTTCGATGTGCTGGCTTCTAGCAGGAATTCATATAAAGAAGTGTGGGCAAGAAAGAGGACGCCGGTGGAAAATTAAACTTATACGTACTATGTCCATTGCTGTCCGCGCAGATCGTCACGCCAACGTTCAGCAGGGGAGCATGGTCCGCCTCGTACCGCTCCAGGAAATTCGGGTTCGCAGCGTGCGTAACGTCGGAGGAAACGAGGAACGAGCGAGCATAGGTCTGACCTACGATACCCGGGCCAAAAGTCTTGCCTGCGCTGGAAGAGAGCGACTCAACCGTGCGCTCAATCACCGAAGGTAGGAAATTGCCTTTGGCACCCTGTCGAAGCAAGCTGCCAATCTCCTCATCGTCAAAAAGGGCCACAAGCTTAATTCCACTATCGGACGGCGCGTGGTCCCCGTAGAGGAGACCAGTGAGCGCAGCCCATGAGCAGAGCTTGTCATCGATGCGTCCCGCAGAGATGAATTCCTTATTCAGACCGGCGACGGTGGCAGGCTGGAAGTCGAACAGCTCGAGCTCCCAGTTGATGATACTGCTGTAGTTCTGGGACTTGATACCCAGCTCCGAGGCAATGAGCTTCACCAGCTTGGGAGGCTGGGAGGATATAAAAGTGCCCGCCTCACCAAGAGCCTCTTCCGGCGAGGCGGACTCGAGGCCGATAACGGGGACAGCTTGCGTCTCCTTGTTCTGCGCACCTACCATCCCGACACCAAAATGAGGGGCCAAGGTTGGGACCTTGGCGATCGGCCAGCCCAACTTGACCAGCTTGCTTGTGGTCTTGCCCGTCTCCGCGTCGCGAAGAATCACGCGACCCCCAATAGAAAGATCTCTGTCCCACCAGGTCTCATTAAGGGCCCCGGCGTACGGGGCAACACCCAGCTGCAAGTACCCTGCTTTCGTGGGCTTCTTGCTGACGGGCTTCAGCTTGGCGGTCAACGCGTCTATGTGGCCTCCGATGATAGCCACGCCATTTCCAGGCTTGTAGGCCTCGCCAACTACGAACGCTGCGAGGGTACTACCATTACGCGTAACGTAGTATTTGCCGCCAGCTTTGATCTGACCAGACCAGTCATCCCGAGTGGGCAGCTAGAGGCGCTGTCAATCTCCTAGGTCTACGACATGTCTCTGACGGGGACGCTGGCTTACCTCGGTGAAGCCAACAGCAGCCAGCTTCTCCTTGAAGTACTCTACGGCGTGGAAAACAGTAGGGTTCTCAGTCAAGAACTGAATAAATGGCTTGGTGAAGGCCTCGGGCTCCAAAGACCTGAGATGGCAGATCTTGCAGGACGGGCGGTCAAGAAGCTTGTAGTCTTGGCCGGACTCTGCCCTGACGGCGTTTTCCTGCTGTTGAGGGGACAGACCCAACATGCAGCCCCTGCATACCTTGTTCTCGCTCCTTGGGGCGCGATCCATCTCAGCGAGGATGAAGCACTGTGCCTCCCTGGAGAGCTCTCGCGCCGGCGCGGGAGAAGGAGGGTCCATCGCGGTCGAGGCAGAGAGCAGCGAAGCGGATGAGTGCTGGTGACGCAGAGGGAGGGATGCAATGCTTCGTGTCATCTCTGAGCTCAGACAGACAAAGGAACAGTTCGGTGGGATGAGATGATAGCGGTGCAGGAGTCGTGGAGGGAAAAGAACACCTTGGCGAGTGAAGGGGCCGGGAGGATGAATGCTGTCATCGGGTCCAGCTTGTCGTGCTCATGACCACTTATCAGCCTTATCGCAATGCCGCGGCAACACGCCCCAATAGGAAGGAGATGCCCGCTGTTTCTCTGACAGGGGTTTATACCCACCCTATAAATACAACGATTATCTACCAACCCTCTAAATTAAATAGCTACCACCTGCAGTCTTGGACTCAGCATCTTGGGCGTGTGTCAAGATATACTTGATCACAGATGTTGGGCGGCGTGAAGAGTTGCGCCCTCAGCAACGCAATTCGACAACAAGATAAAACAGAAACACACGACGTTCACGAACACCAGCGCACACTAAACCTCATTTTGCCTGCTACCTCCTGTGGCAACTATCTCAATATGCTTTAGTTCAACTATGCCATCGAGCACTGCATATGTGCCCTTCGTTGAGTGTGCGCTCGGACGCCACGCCCTTTCCTCGCCTCTGTCGAGGCAGATGACCCATTGCAGGTCAGGCGGGCCAGCCCGAGGGTGTCTTGACTCGTTGGTGCCGAAGGTACATAGGCTAAAGGCGATTATATCCCAGTACACATGTGATTAAGTCCATCGAAAGACAGCCCCTTTCCCTTAGACTCAGGCTGCTGGTGTAGATGACTAAAATGGGTGTATCATCTTATCCTTTAAATATAGTGTGAGTACCTCGTTGAATCTGTGTGATGCTTTGTCAAGACTTAGCCTCGTTCAAACCATGAACTCAGTTCTTAGTTTTACGTCGTTATAAATTAAACCGTTCATTCGCATCATAGAAGCCAGCTGTTCTAGGTTCTGAAGTACTTCATACGTTTACTGGGAACCCGGGGCCAGAGGTAATGTCCCAATACAAAGACTGAAATTGATCCATCAAGGGTTTGATGCCGGTCTGTCTAAGGGGAATCAAACGGGAAGAATAGGTGTCTCGGTCTCTCAGGGATATATATATAGATCCATGGGAAGAGATGGGTCAACCAAGGCAAATGCAAAGCATCTTTATTGTTGATGTGCATGCCTGGCCGACAAAGGGCGGCAGCCTGCAGGTGCAGATGCAAGGGTTTGAGGGAAGCTCCACCTGCCTGAAATAGAAGTCATTGCTTACGTTGATTTCGTTTCATTGGAGCCTTCCTCTGGAGCACTCTCGCAGACCAAAGGTATGAAGGCTTGCAGCCAGGAACCATCCCAGACTCCAGCATATCCACAGCCATCATCCGATTTCAACGACCATCGACCAGTGTGTCTTTCATGAGCGTGAGCGTGAGGTTGTATCGGAATCTGTACTGCGAGATTGTTATTGACTGATCTCTAGCATCGATACCGGTAGTGTGAAGCCAAGCCCCACTTCCCAGCTTATTCCTCTCCAGCAACACCGTCCAGGACTTCAACATCACCAAACTCTTCATGGCAAGCAGCCGGCTATATTGGGGCTCATTTTGGATATTGGGTAGCCTGAAATAATCCGTCGAATCATCATCTCGGTCACTTGACTCCAATTGCCTTGCACAACATCAACATGTCTCTCGCCAAGTTCCACCTCTTCGGCGCCTTGCCAGTGGAGATCCAGGACATCATCTGGGGGCTTTGTCTCCCACGGCGTGTCATCAGCCCATGGTACTCTGCAGTTTCACAGGAATTTCTTGGCACGATTCCCGGCGAGGGACATCAGACTGATATGCCTGTCCGCGCTCTCATTCCTCATCGTCCGCCTTTGATCTCTCGAATATGCAGACGCGCACGTGCAACTGCTCTGAGATGGGGCCATTTCACCTCCATTATGGTCGAGGAGCAAGATGATTTCATATCTGAGGGACACGTTTGGCTCAACAAGAAATCAGACTCGATTTTCTTCAACTATCAGACCATGATGTTTGGACTCGATGAAAGTGGTGTGGCACCGCAGGTTTTTGAGCTGGCTCGCGACGTAGGGGTTCCTCTCCTCATTGACAGCGACATTCAAAGCGATCACGAGAATCCACTCCACATCGATTGGGATCTGAAGCCACTCCACGAAGATCGGGAGGACGAGGAGACGGTAGGATCCAGACTCTACAAAAGCTTCCTCAAGGGAAGGGACCGTGTCTACTACGTCATGATAGAAGTCGTATTAGTTGCGACAGGCAAGGGTCGCGAACATGTCGTCGAGACGGGACTTTTTGGATTGCTTGGAGAAGACATTGCGATCGTGCCTACTGCCGACAAAGCAAAGTTGCAGCAGTACAAGTCCTTGTACAACATGTACGACGCCAGAGAAGCCTCGGATGACTGCGTTGCCATGATTCAGCGCACATTGGATAGCCTCATCAAGGGAGAAGATCAGGGTGCACACGAACCACGAACTCTTATCCATGGACTCGTCAAACGCATCTGCTAGGAACGGGGCGAGCCTGACGTTTGTGAGGAAGATATGGTGAACAACGACGGCACCTTGAAGCCAGATCACCCTCTGGTTGAACGGCTCGGGCTGTCCATGCCTACCTGTGAGCCGGTCGTCATCTTCGAACTTCGACGTCTCGACGTTTTGCTGGAAGACTTGTACGACTTGCGTCGAGCCCAGGAGTTGATAGAAACAGGATCAGATGAGACCTCCCAGGAGTCTACAGAAACGGAATCAGATGAGACCTCCGAGGAGAGCAATTGAGAGTAGCTCTCATCCTTTCAGCACGCACTGCCTCCTTGAGGGTGATGACAACGAGCCCATGATTAGAAATATCATCGGACCAGCTTTGGGTGTTCGAGGTCACTTTTCCATGAATAGTACTAGTGTCATTGTACCGAGAATTTATGACGATTAGATCAAGTCTGCCTTCAAGCGATTCTGATGTGAGAACAAGGTGCCTTGATTCTCTGCTGTGAGGGCAGACTTTGAAGCCAGTCTACTGTCAGCCTCCCAAAAATGATTAAAGAATGTAGTATTCACGAATTCACAGTGTACGGAAAATGTAAACGCTACTTCGCTCGCATGGTGTACAACTAAACCTCCTTCACCTGCTCCGAACCACCGGGTGGAATACCCTTTAGCCGCGCCCAAACCGCGTATCAATACGGACGGCGCCATAGTGCTTCAAGAATCGGCCCCAGATGGGCCCCATTCTTTTGTTCCCCATGACACCTTCCTGGTTTCCCTCACCCATAGCTATAGGCCACAGGACTCTGCCCGCACCATCCTGCCAGCTAAGTGGCCTCTCGCCACCATATGCTTTCTCGAATTCAGGTGCTGCACTCATGTATCCCGGATCAACTGTGTTCATGCAGACTCGGTATTTTTGCCACGCGGTTGAGGCCTCGGTTTCCGTGATCATGTTCAGACCAGCCTTGGACATGTTGGTGTGGACGTGCTTGCCGTTCTTGGACCTGTGGCTGGGGCTGGCTTCAAAGATACCCTCGCGGGAGGATACATTTATAATATGACCGGTTCGTGCCTGCATTTGTCGAATACGCTCGTGGTGATCCATGATTGGCAAAAGCTCGCGGATGAGGATCAGCGGCACAAAGGTGTTGATGCTGTGGGCAGTGATCACGTCCTCGTAGGGGATATCTGCTAGTGATTGTACCCATGAAGATGGCTCTGGTGGTTTTATGAGCGCCTTTCCCGTGGTGTCATTGTCTGCCTCGGCATGTTGATTCAATGTCAAACCTTCCAGACCGATCGTGTCTGGCGTCGCATCCTTCGCAGACGTATCCCTCACTGGGAGCTTGCCTTGAGTGTTGTTCTCTAAGCCTGCTTCCCTCGGGGCATTATTCGCCGTTGCGCCACGCCAGACTCTTGCTATATAGCTGCCCTCAGCCAGCATAGGCGCTGGGTCGTTGCTTAGGATAACCTCCCGTCTCACCGCTGCCTCTTCCATCGCCACGCTGTCGGTTAATGTTTGTGCGGCGTTGTTGATCAGAATATCTAGGCCACATCCCCATTCTTTGAGGATGGATTTTGTCTGAACAACCAAAGCGAATGCATCGCTGGCAGTACGAAAGTCAGCTCCCACCACTTTCAATCGGTTCTTCCAGTCCGCGGCATCCCGCTGTCTCAGATAGCGCGCAACTGCGTCCCTGGGGTAACGTGTCGAAGCGATGACAGCTGCACCGCAGCGAAGTAGACGCAGGGTCACATGGAATCCCAAGTTGGCTCGAGCCCCCGTAACGAGGGCTGTCCTGCCCTCGAGGTTCAGGTTCTGGGGGTGGGAGAGACTAGAACCTGCGAGATTGAACTCGCCACAAGGTTGGCACATGGCGGAAAAGATTTTGTGCGGCTCATTAATTCGGAGACGGCAGATGTAGCAGTTTGTCTGCGTCCACTTTCCGGACTTGCTTGACGCGACAGCTGTGGCTGGATCGCTATCGTCTTGATCAGAGACAGCATCGCATGCTAGCACATGGCCATCCTCGTATTCTGGCAGCACGGGTGCTTTTGCGAGGTGACGCTTGAACTTTTGAACCGCAGCCTCCCAGAATAGCTGCCTGACTGCATCGTCAACCAGTCTGGGCCACATCTTCGAGACCACATCTCGCGTACGTTTCGACGAGAATGGAGGCATGTACAGCGCAGTCAAGCTGGGAAATGCTGTACTGACCGTCGAGTCCTGCCTCGAAAGTTCGAAGTCCACCAGAAGTTGCTCGGCGACAATCTCCGGGTCTTCGGCTTCAATATACTGTCGGTAATCGGCAGGCTCTAGTAGAGGCTTGGGTGTGTTTCTCCTGACTTGGTGATGAGACCACCTGACGCAACGCAGAAAAGACTCCAACCAGTCCATCTCCGCCGCAGGACTTGGGTCAGCGCGTCTGTCCTTCGTATATACGACGTGTCGCACTTGCATCGTCTTCCTGTCTCGGACACAACGCTTCTCGTGCCCTAGCTGCCCGTCATGCTTGTATATGAACCACAAGCCCTCAACCGCCCGTCTTGCATCCTCAAGTAGACTCGTATCATACGGCGAAGACTTGCTCGCTGTAAAGAATTGCAGTGCAGCATCCGTAGGTATCAGTGTTGGATGTGAGAAGCGGAAACGATACCAATCCATGGCGTTGACCTTACGAACTTGGCGGCATAGGGGCATCTTCGAGCGTATCCGACGGGCATCAGTCCGCAAAGCATCCCCTATGTGTTTAACATTGTTTCTTGGGGATGGCTCTTGAGGCCCGAGGGGCAACTTCAGCCAGGCGGGATACTCATCGTAAAGCGCAGCCAGTCGTAGAAGCTGCTCGGACTTGACCTCATTGAGCCTGTCGAATGCGCGTATAAAGTATGGGAGGAACGCCTGTAATTGCGCCGAATTCCAATTCTGGGCACACTTAAGCAGTGTAAAGGAGTCACATGTGTCTTCAACCGGGATGGTGCCCTGTGCTGAAGAAGTATCAGGAATGTCGCTGTAGTTGTCGGTGTCGATCGCTTTCAGTACAACAAGCGGCACAAAGAGACAAATGGAATCCAAAAGCGCCTTTGTTAGACTCGGTTCATGCCCTTTGGACACTCCCAAGACCTGTCTGAAGCCCCACCGGAAATTTGACTCGAGTCTTTCAACCACTCGAGGACCAAAGTCTGATCCATAATATCGCGCAAGCTCATCGAAAGAGATGTCCAGAGGGGTTGCGTTGAGGAAGGGTACCTGCTGCACATTCTGACAATTCCATGCCCATGCGAGCTGGCTGAGTGACCTAAAGATGCGCTGCGGGCGGTCATGACCGGTGCGGAAGACAGACCTCCAGGATGGGCTGCCCTCAATCTTTCCCCTCAAATGCGACGTGGACGGCGTGGCCGAGGGCGTATTGGCGAGCTGAAGAACACGGAATAAGCTGAGGTCCCTGAGAATTGGCTCGACAAGCTCTGCGGGCAGGTCGTCCAGTCTGGCTGCAACTCGAACAATCCGCTGCGGAATCCACGGCGGCGGCTCCATGGTCATGAAGGACGTATGGACATAAAGCTGGAATTTCAGGATCAGTGACCATTACGAAGGCACCTTTTCAAGCTTCCCAAGTACTTACGGAAAAGGTGCTGGCTATCTTGGTAATTCCTTTGCCTGACTATTGTTGTTAAAGAAATAGCCCTGGCCAACACCAGAGTGACTCTGCCCTGGCAGCGTTAGCACACATGTGTTTTGTGTCCCGAGTGGAAAGAAATAAGGAGGAAGGAATGCAGCCAGCAAATTCTGCAGGTGCAATTGGCCTTATATAGTCTGTATGCAGGCTGTGACGATTGCCTCTGGCGAATGCCAACTCTTTTCACCTTCTAGGTGGCGGGTGGGTCATAGTCCCTGGACAGCTGTGCCACATCAGTGTCTGCCTGCGCCAACTAACGCGCAATTGAGCAGCGCTGTCCACTCACCCTCACCGACAAATCCGCTGCAAGTCGCTGGGGCTCTTTTGTATTCGAAGGCAAAGTTTCAATATGTTTATGAGGATTGGGGTTTTTCATTTGCGTCTTTTGAAGCCAGACGGCTGTTCGAATTGAGTTAGAGAAACAAGCCTATTGCTTCCTCCAAGTAATTGGAGCTTGCCTTGATAATGTTATTCTGATACTAATGATCGCGTCAATTCCCTCGGTTGGCTTGGAATTGCTGAGAATTCGGCGAGGGATTGTTTCGCATACCGTGAAGGTGTCATATGCGAAGGTGGTGTGGTCGCTCCGTGGTCTAAGTAGGTGTAGCGAGGTCAAAATACATAGACTAAGTACCTCACAAGATTACGCTCCTGCTGAAGGTGGCGGGAGCCTGAACAATCTTGTAGCCCGCCTGTGTGCAATATCAACAGAGGCAATGCCGTTCAGAAAGGTGACCGGCCTCGTCATCGGGAGGAAATTCAAAGAAACAACAAGTTCCTTCCCGGTCTGTGGTAAGAACATGACTCTCAATCATGCCACCTAGGGAGTAATGTTGTATAAAGAGGCTGTATCCGATCATGAAAGCGTCTCATGTCTAGTGACCATCGAAATAGCAACACCCCTCTGAAGCATACCTGGTATCTCCCACAAGGCTTTACAATCTCATGGCCCAAACACCTTCACCGTACGCATTACCCGCTCCCACGAGCTCATTTTGGCCGGAGAGGCAAGCTGCCAAAAGCCCTATCCAGCTGTGCCCCTTGGTCGTCTGGCGCAGCCATTTCGCTCAGACCAGCTGGTCCTATGTCGGCCTGTTGTGCAGCCAGGCTCAACCCTCTAAGCTGATCACTTGCACTGAACCCGGCGATATCGCCCGTCATAAGATCCTTAGCATCATCACCGTTTCCACCCGTCCTCTCCGGCTCTAGCAGCCTCGCATCACTGTCCAGCCAGCCAGGAGCGACCCTGCGCTTCTCTGCCAGTTCCCTCGCCTTGATCCTGTCGTCCAGATCTCGGAGTTCCTGCTCCGCGTCAGACTGCAGTTTGGTTAGATGCGCCTGCAAGGCGCGACAACTCGCGATGATGTCATCTGGATGTGCAGCGTGGCCTGACTGCGAGACGACGTAGCGGGGCTTTTCGCTTGATTCCGGATCGGTGGCGGAGGTGACGCCAGTGGCTGACGGGGGCAGCGTAGACGGCATAGCCTTGTAGGTGTAGGGGAGGGTGATAGAGGTGGGCAAGTTGGTGAAAGGGGATACTGTCAGTGGCACTTGGGCCAGGAGGGGGTGGGTCCCTGGAATATGTGAGTGAGTGCTACAAGGAGTTAGTGATGAGGATGTCTACATACTGTTGTCATGCATCTTGACGGGCGGTCTTTCCCTTGTAAGCTGATTCAAAACCGGGTCTAGAGTGGGTGGTTGAACGTCTTGTTGTTGTATCAATGTGTAAGACCTCGTGATGAGAAGATGACGCTGTAAGAGTGGGTGGACGAGGGAATGAAACGGAGTGGCATGGACGTTGGGAACATGAGTGGTCTGTATCACGGTGGTCACATGCCGATAAGAGCCCCCTGAAAGCTCCAGTGTACCTGCTGTGGCAGGGGTTCAGAGGCTTATCGGAGCTCCCCTCCAAGACCAAAAAGTTGCCTGCGAATGGCACCCGCAGTCGCTTATTCTCCTCCCAACGAGCAATCCGGCGTACGCAACAAGACCTGAGATGTTGCCCACCACAATTCACGCGTCGCCGTCTCTGGCCGACTTCACACCCCTCTCAGAGTACCAATCTACGACTCCAGAATCTTTCCACGGCGGAAAGCCCGTCCTCCACTACCACGCGACGGGCGCGAAAGTGTGGCTCCCAAAAGACCAACAAACTACACTTCCCATCTTTCCTGCTGACTCTCCGGTTTCTGATGGAGATTCGGGTGAGATTATCTCGCAAGATGACGTTGAGCTGTTTGTCAATTCAGAGTAGGCCTCGTACGACCCAGACGCACCAGATTACGTTGCTGATTGTTTTCAGGGCATTCACCATTTTCAACCACAAGTCGGGCTCTGGCGTACAGATACCCTTCCCTTCGATAGCGCTGCACGCAATGCAACACAAGGCGGAGCCTGTCTCTACCAGCAACGGAAGCAGCGAGAGCGAGCCATCCAAAACCCCATGTATCCTCCTGCAACTGGACTTGTCCGACGGTGGTGCGGACGACGAGACTTTCGATACCGTGCAACTCACTATCATCCCACCAAACACGTCCACCGATCTCTCTTCTGCTGCAGAGGAAGGCTCGAGCCCCAGATCTGAGCAAGAAAAGCTGTTCGATGCCATAACCGCTTGTCAGAATCTCCACCCCGATCCGGAGGAGGAAGACGACGAGGAGGACGGCGAGGACTACGCCGACAGAATCATCTTTGAGAGCAATGTGGATGGTAGCGGTGAGGCTATCGAGGGTCTTCCAGGAGCGTTTAGAGGGAGTGCGAGCGGGGGGCTGCCCCCTCCCATGCCTGGCAGCAGCGGGTGGATCACGGCGGAGAATGTCAACGACTTCTTTGATGAAGATGGAAATTGGATTGGCGGTGGGGCTGAGAATGGAGACGAAGATGGTGAAGAGCTAGGAGATGGTGCTGGCAGGGTCAGGAGCCGGGATCATGACGGTGTCGACGAGGGCGAAAACAAGCGTCTGCGTACGGAGTGATCCACGATTACGTTGGCGCGGTCGCCATCTTCACAATCAATGAATCCAACCGACTTTCTGCGTTCTCCAGATGGAGTTCTTGACGGTCATCCAAATGTTTGGCCGCGACAAAGGGTGGTTCTTTCCCCCTTCCAGTGGACAGAGTCCTTTAGATGCCTTGGTAAGATTTTCCGCAATATCTTCGAGCCGGACGGGAGCTAATTCATGTTGTCGTCCTTAAAGGTGATTCAATTCAAATACTTGCTAGTAATTCGTTAGCTTTGTGGCTCTTGCAGGACCGGACCCCCTGAGCGTGAGAACCCTACTGGAATCAGATATCCAAAGAAAAGATATTGCGAAGAATCAACTTATGGCCGAAATTCTGTTGTTTAAAGAAGAGCTTCGCCTCCCAGCATCCCCAAAATCCCCCTTCCAAAATAATCAAACTTTCACAGTGACAGTCACACAACAATATCATTGGTGCTCCTCTTTCTTCAACGAGAGACTTCAAATATCTAAAACAATCAAAAGAACAACCATCGCCGATTCAAAATGGAACCTGAACATCCCCAACAAGCCCTGGCTTTATGGGAATTTCAACCATACCGCCAAGGCCGGCCATTAAACCACATCATCGACTACCCACCAAGAACCATGCTCGGCTCAACAGAGACTCGTCTACCATCTAGCACCCCCCCTGAAAGTGCGGAGCAAGAATCAACCGATGACTCTCCCGAGCTCGACTTAAACGCCGACGATTTCTCTTCAGAAGGCTCAGATGACCAAGCCTGGAGCGAGTCTGACGACCCCATGGCGAGACTTCCGGATTTCGACGAGGAGATCAAGAAGTTGTGGAGAGATATCGTCACGGATGGCTATCGCAGGCTCGGAATTCCACTCACTAACGATGAGGCGTCCAAGGCGCCCCAACGCCGGGAGCCTGGGCCACCAAGACAGCCCCAGCATCGCAGATGGCCGCCGGTGCCGTTAATCAGTATCCTCAGGGAGCCCTCAGCGCCTGGCAGCTTTGACCTGAGCCGCAGGGCCCGCTTTCAGCTGCGCGAACCTCGTGCGAGTCTTGGATATCTCCGGGCTATGGCCAACCGGAAGAAGGTGCGATTTGTCGAGGAGCCAGAAATTATCCAATTCACCCACGAGACCAAGACGGTCCAAACAGGATCTCAGCGATGTGGAGATGGCGACAAGGAGGGGACCCCTATGGAGGACTTATGGGCGCGGGTTTTCGACAGGAAGTGCAATTAAGACATATGCAAAAGGCGAGAAGGAAATAGGGAGAATGATCAGGAGGGAACACGTGCGAAGGGGGCAAAGAATGGGCATTTTTGGGCGCTAGGGGAACGACTAGGAATTTGAGCCATCATGTGGATTATTGCAATCCACTAGGACAGTATGGCGTGGCATTCTACACAATTGGTGATTTGCGGTTTATTGGATATACCCAACCATAGCAGTCATCATAGCTCATGTAAATGACTAGGGCAGACCAGGTTTTGAGTAGGAACACCGCTATCAAGACTATCGTGATCACATTTTCTTCATCATTCTCCCGTGTGATTACGGCTATCCAATAATGTCAACAAAACTCCCAAACACCCTGCGTTGCCCTTGTGATAGAGTAGAAAGAAAATTGTGCAGCCCTCAAAAAAGTCCGGCCTACACAATCGAACAATATTGTAGGAGCAGCCCAATGGACTCAAACATTATCTCGTTCCCCTAGTGGCCTCCTAGCCTCGCCCTCTTCCTCAACCCATCTTCCCTTATCATCTCCAATTTTCCGCCTAAATAAGCCCAAGTCCTTCAGCAACGCATGCATATGCTCCTGCATCTCATTGTGTCGTTCCTCATGATCGTCTGAATTGTATGCCTCATCTTCGTCGCTATCCTCATAGAACGTCTCATCATCTTCCGGTGCATTCTCGTCCTCATTCTCATTCTCATCCTTTTCCTCATTTTTCCCGTCCGCTGTGCCCGGTCGGCTGTTGAGTGTGACGGGTGGGATCGGATTCTTCAGACTGTCCAATGCGAGCTTCAAGTGTAACCTGAGTGCCTCGTTCTCGGTCTGTAGGGACCGGATTTTGGTCTCGTACACTTGGCCCCTCTCTTCCATCATGCGCTGCATACTGCCCACACGGTCCTGGTACTCTTCTAGGCGTTCCTCTTGTTCCTTTGCATTCTTCTCCCTCGACCGACTCTCGGAAACTGAAAGTTGCAGGGCGCGGATCTCCTCCGCCATAGCAGCAATCTGTGCATCTCTCTCCGCACTGGAAATATGGTCTTGGTTGACCACTGCGCGCGTGCGAATCCGCTTGGCCTGGTCTGCATACCGCAGAGTGGACAGTGTCTCTTCGTAGTCAGAAGGCGCAATACAAGCTATCATGGCAGTCTTGGAATTTCCTCCCAAGGAATCCTTGAGAAGCCAGGTGAGGATCGAGTCCCGGTACGGAACAACCACGTCCTTCCCTCGACCACCCTTGCCGGAGCGCTGGGACTTGGGGTCTGCAAGTGCGGCGATGACGCGACCGAGGGTGGTCAGAGACTTGTTGATATTGCTACCTTCCCGCAGCCGCTGTCCAGTTGCCTCGGTTGCCTTGGCACGCTCGCTGCCGGCCAGATCGACGAGCCTGATGCGGCTGCTTCGCTCAGTAGTCTCGTCTGTCTCGACATCGTGGTGGATTTGCTTCAACATGATGGTGAAAACAGCATGACTGCGGCTAGACGTATCATTCATTTTCGTCGATGCCGTCGTGCGAGAATTGTCGCCCGTCTTCATATATCGCAGAATCTCGTCGATGCTGCGAACCGGCACCTCTGTCAGATCCTTGACGTAGGGGCCTTCTGTTGGTGACTCTCGAATTTTGAGATAATACGGTGCTTGATTTGGAATAACAGGAACGAGAAGATCGCGGACGTGCTCATTGTACACTTCAAAGTACGAGACACGCACGTTATAAGTGATGTTGGGAGTTTCGTTTTGCGCAGCTTCGATGCGCTCGAAGAGATCTTGACAGGTCCGAGGGATGAGTCCGGGGTGATCTGGTGTGCCCATCATCGTGTAACTCTTTCCTGAGCCGGTCTGACCGTAGGCGAAAATGCAGGTGTGGTAGCCTTCAAAGTTGTGGTCGAGAAACTCCTCGCCAAGACTGTTGTAAACATCCCCCTGTGTGGCATAGTGTGGGTCCTTGGTGTCATGGCTCCAGAACGAGCTGTCAAAAGTGAAGGTCTTCTCCTCAGTGATCTTGCGCGTCTTTGTCCGTTGGTTTGCTGGGTCATGATCATTGGGCACGAGCAGCGTTGTAGCCTGGTTGATGGGGTTCATGTCAATCAGACATTCCGCCCCACGCTCGATTTCTAAACGTTGTTGCGACGATCATTAGCAACCGCACAATCTCTAAACACCGACGAGGTGCAGGGTGAGATGTTGAAATACCTCGAGGTAGAAAGGCGCGCACGCGCACGACGACGCGCACGTTTCCACCGTTGTCCATCCTCGCGTGCAGGGGGACTGTGCCATCACGAGAGCGCAGCGACGGCGTCGAGGCGGATGAGCGGATGGTCCGCGGGTCGATCGCGGGGGATGGCATGAGGCGCGGTTCGAAAGAAATCCCAAGCAATGTCTCCGAGATGTCGTCAACCACTTCACGATATCGCTGCCTTCTTGAGGAATGCATCGGTCTGGCAGCGCATTGCGCCTGCCAACATGTGTGCTGCGGTTGCTGGTATTGATACGGATTCCGATTGGGGAAGGTGGGTCAGCTCGTTTCCCTGGCAATTCTACGTCAGCCACCCATTTTCACCTTTTCAGCTTGCACTCTGACAAGCTCCCAGCTCCTTATCGATTAGGAGCCAGCCACCCCAGCTTGTAGCTCGGGGCGTGTGGTTTACTTGGCATGCTCTTTGCTGCAATCACTACTGTCGATTCTGGGGCGTTTTTGAACACCTTGTATCTGTCGGCTAATTCAAATAGGCCGTAACTCCAAGCGCGACAGATTGAATCTTGTGTGCTTTGAAAGTGCTCCAATGCGGGTTCTTCACTGCTCAAGTCAGACTGCAAGGGTCGATTGGTGTAAATAGACCAGTGCACTTTGACTCAATCACCTTGAAATGAGTGCCATTGTTAGTTCAACGCAAGAAGCGATAGATTCGCGTTAAGTAGGAACGGCACAACAAACAGATATTTTGCAAATTAATTGAGTCGAACCGGCATGACCCAGCTTGATCAGAGGAGGACAGACAAGATAGCACACAAATTGTCAAATATGCTCACTGTAAACCTAGATTCTCTAAGCTCTTTCACGGATTGGTGTGCTGGAATAGAGCATAAAATCCAGGATTTCAAGTGGTTCCAAGGCTTTATAGACGTGTGCCACATGAATACATACGTAAATATGCTATGCCTCTGACAGAAATGAACTATCGCAAACGCATCCACAGTCTCAACGCCTTCGAAGCATCCAGATTCAACAAGCGTTGTCGCATCACTTGATACTTCAACTATCACACAAGATCAATAACCCCGTTCCGTTCATTGGAAGTCTTGTTTCAATCCTTGCTATTCCTTCCATTACATTCTCCAGTCGACAGCATGACCAAGAGATAATATAGGACTTCAAAGAGATCAATTTGAATCCTACGTGTTTCCAGATTATTTCTTGGCCTCAATCGCCTGTGCAAGCACTATAAAGCTACAGCAGCATGTAATCTTGCCAATTTCAGGTTGTTTACATGTGAGCAGCGCCACCGTGCCGCATAGGAGTCTCTAATAAGAGCTTGTTGTTGCACAAAGAGAAGAACTAGAAGGCTACGGGTCACAGGCGAAGCCGTGGCGCTTATATGGCGAGCCACAGGAGGGTACCGTAACAAGTAGCTCGACCGCCTTCAACGCTCTCCATGGTGTGAATTTCCCAACCCATATTGGAGCTCGCATCTACATAATGGAATCAATTTGCGCAACACACCGTGCTGGGTTACAGATGACAAGCCAGACAGTGCAATGACATAGAAAATAAATGGATATCTCTTTACTTGTTTTGTTTAAAAAAAGATTTAAGATCAAAAAGCCATTTGAGTCTGATTCATTTCTCAAAATGCCCCGCGGAAGGAGGTGTCTTTGTTGTCTTCGCATCGATTTGTCCGAATAAATCAGCAGATATCAGTTGACGCGCCGTTTGGGTCCACTGAAACTACGGATGTTTCTGTCACTCTAAATCATGTCTGCTAGCAAGTGGTTGACTTCAGCATAATTCGACAGTCTGGCTTTCTGTTTCGCTTCTTTGGTCTGCTTCAATATCGCCCGCCATGTCAGGTCGTCGAGAAGGCGCTGCACGACATATGAAGGCTGCCCTGCCGATTGCCGATGCAGCAAGAGATATTCGCTCAACCCAAATTATACGTAAGCATAGATGACTAGCAGTAGGCTGAACAAGGTGCAGGAGAAGATGATGATATATTGCCACAGCGTGACACTGGGCTTTGTGCTTGTGCCCAATTAAGGTTGCCTGCCACAGGCTTTCCGCGGCTGCACGCAAGAAGGGGGGGCGTTGGGCGTTTGGGCTGTTTGTGGCCTAGCTCCCGGTCCGGCGGAACGAAATTCAGTGCCAGGGATCGTCTGTCACTGGATTGTCGCCTTCGTAATTGACGCCATGCTTGAAATTTTCACCACATCCCCCGTCAACAGCGTTCTCATCGCAAACCCTGAAGCTCACTCCTGCCTCACTCACCCTGATCGTGCTACCTTTGCTCGATCATCGGCGTTTGTTGTCTACTTCGAATAACCCACCCTTCAATGCTATCGCGCTTTTTCGCGACCACCACGCGTACTATTGCCCGCATGGCTGAATCCGCCCCCTCCCCCACCGCCGGTGCTTCTGCATCCAGGTAAATATCCCACACTCATTGAGACTTCCATCGTGCATCCCAAATCTTGATGCCCAGCATGTTATTCGCGCGCGTCCGATGACTGCGCTCCGCCTCTCGAGAATCCTGAGGGTCCTCCTGCTGCGCTTAGGCGCCGCACAATCCTTCCTGCCCAGATGTACTTCAATGGCCAAATCTGCGCCATCCCGTCGCATTTTGGGTGCATGAGTAGAACTGATCAGTCTTCACACACGAATACAATCTTCACTTCCAGTTTCCTTCCTGCCATCTCTATGCTCTACGTGATGCTAGTGCCCTTGGTCTGCCCTTGGTCTTGTCAGACCTCTCATCTGCTGCTGTGAACCAAAAAAGTTAAAAATTTGCGACCAGGTCCTTCTCCGGTACCCCTGCCGCCAGGGCGACTACCATCTATGTCGGGTAGGTTATGCTCTACACATCTCGCTGGGGAGCGTCCGCTAATGTTCGTCACAGCAACCTGTCATGGGCCACTGATGACCAGGCCCTGGCCCAGACCTTTGAGCAGTTCGGCGCAATCGAGAAGGCTGTCAGTTTTGCTGCACGATGATGGAAATTTAAGCGGCGAGTGCTGACCCAACGACATAGACCGTTGTCATGAGAGACGGCAGGAGCGCTGGCTTCGGCTTCGTTGACTTCAACGATGACCAGGCCGCCAAGACCGCCATCGAGGAGATGAACAACTCTGAGTATGTCCATGCCTGAGCACTGGCTCTTTGGTCTTTCAGGGAACCCGTAACCTTTCCGCAACATATGCTAATCCGGTTTTGGATAGGCTTGATGGACGCACCATCACCGTTCAGGAGCGCGTCCAAAGATCCGGTGGCTTCGGTGGTGGCCGGGGACGCGGTGGGTACAGCCGCGGCGGGCGTGGCGGGTACAACCGTGAGGGAGGTGGTGGCTACGGCGGCCGTGACGGTGGCTATGGTGGTCGCGACGGTGGCTACGGCGGCCGCGACAACGGCTACAGCCGTGGCGACCGGGGAGACTCATACCGCGGTGGCGGACGTGGAGGCGGTTGGGGACGTGACAGTGGCCGTGACAACGGCTACTCCGGTGGAAATGGCAACCGTGAGGAGCCTTACTAAGGCGTTTATGAGGAAACAATGTGGCTCTCAAGGCATATCCAGGTGATGATGACTGACGAGCTGTTGGAAGACTGAGCTGCTTGAGTGGTTTTTGGAGGTCAATGGTTGTGATGCATTAAGCTGCTGGGCCTCGTTTGGGCTGTTACACTCTGGTTCATAACACGACTTCTTATCCATGTCTTCTACTGTCAGGTGGAAGGACTGTCACCACTTCATTCATGACACGAGGTGTAAGTTTGTTCTGAGCGACACACGATTGCGCTCAAAGGATCCGGGCTAGGTGTGCTAGCTGATATGACGGTCCTGGCGTTGCCCACTAAGGGATGTTGGGCATTGATCTCGTGGAAGCTACTCTGTAGGGCATGAACAGGCCCATTGACTTGCACCGTCCACCCTTAAGTGACAAGACAACAGACCACTGTCCAGGGTACGTTCCAATCGAGAATCGCTAGTGCATCTCCGGATACAGAGCAGCTTCGCCATTGCATTATTTGCAAGGTTACGTACATCCCTTATACTCATGCTCGTTGTTATAGACCTTGCAACAGAGTCTTCACCTCTTCTGTGGTTTCACCAGCCGAGAGTGCCACATCATTGACAACCTAAGGTGCTAGGCTCTCAAAGGTACATTGGTACCCCACTCTTTCCCTCTTAGCGCCATTTCCTGTTCAGTGGGTCTCAGCATGTGAGATGGCAGGCAGGTACAATGTAATCTTCATGCTTGCAGGCAGGTCGGCAGGGCATCCAGGCACAATGGGACACCCTTGCAGTTGCTGTCCTCACCCCAACTCATGGATTCATGCCAGTCACTGGGTGCTGGAGTGCTGCAGCAGTAGCGAGCCAGAGCTGAGCAGGCGGCCGGGGCAGAGCCAGAACCAGAGCCAGAGCCATCGCAATTCAGATCCCAATTCCCATCCCTGGGGCTAGGCGGTCTTGTCTGGCCTGGGGGTCCAGGTCTGATCGCGCGCCGCCGAAGTGAGCCAGCCGAGCACTGAATCCCTTTCTTCCACCTTTTTGACTTTTACCCCATCCACGAAACCACCTTGCGTCTCGCGGCAGGGCTCCTTGACATTCTCAGCTCTTTTACTTGCCTATTTTTGTTTTCATTTTCTACAACCAGAAAGGGGGCCGACACTCTGCCTGCTCCCTGACCTGCTGTATAGCCTTGGTTGCTGAGTTTTCTCAGCTCCAGCCAGCCAGCCAGCCAGCCCGCTCGCTCGCCCACTCCTGAAGGCAGATTTCTCCAACGTCACTGGAAACCGGGCCCAAGCAATCTCCCATTCGCCAGACGCCAGCCGCCAGGTCCCATACTCCCAAGCCTCCCTCCCTGCCTCCCTCCCTCACAGCCGTCGCGTGCCCCGACGCTCGACGCGCGACATCATCGCGACATCCCCTTCCATTCATCGATACACACATGAAAGGTGTCAACTGCTGCATTCGGAAAGCGAGTTATGATGGTTGGAGGGCGGTGGAAGTGGTGAAGATATAGCTGTCGGTTTGGACACGATGACTCGCCCCTCTAGTGCGAGCTTCGCGCAGTTCTTCCCCGCGGCTCCAAAGGCGGCTAGGGAGAGGGCGATGGAGCGCGAGAAGGCGAAACAGGAAGCCACAGAGTCGCCGTCGTCTGGCCATCTGGACAAGACCACCAATGGTCACCAAACCCCCAGCGCGCGACAAGACGATCCTGCCACCTCGAGATCCCGCCGGGACACCTCAGTATCAGATCCATCGCGAACCCCCGCTGATGATATCGACAACATCCCAAGGGATATCCCCAACACAGTTGGCTCAGAGACTTCGAATACAAGCATGGCATCCTCATTGACAAGCGGTTCCTTGCGACCCAACGGTGTTGCCGCCCCCAAGAGCTCATCATACTCTCATCTCACTCCTTTGACGACCATCGACTCGCCGTCTCCGGCCATAAATTCTCAGCAGTCTTTCAAGTCAACCCAAAACAACATTCCATATTCCGAAATGACCAACGGATCCACGATGAATCTTGATGGCGCCTGTGAGAAGCATTCCACGATGGACCAGGCCGGCCTCGTACATCGCGTACCGGCTCGAGACCCTTCACTTCGCACGCAAGTAATCAAGTCCATACATGAGCCTTCCATCGATCGGTCGTCGCGGGATAAGAAGAAGCCAAAATATAAGGAGTTTGGGTTGGTACGTACACATATATTCAACCCGGCAAGGGGGAGCGTCATCTTCTGAATTTGAAAAACCTGGCTAATAAGTTACTATGTGAACAGGAAGATGACGCTCCCCCTCCAGCCGACCCGCGACTTGCGAAAGGCAGTCGCCTCGACTACATTAATGTCGACTACCATCTTCCCAAATCTCGCATGCGGCAATCACCGTACAATGTGAAGCCGTACCCGTGGGATTCCAAGACCTCTGTTGGCCCTGGGCCTCCGACCCAACTGGTGGTATCCGGATTCAACCCCCTGATCACCTTTTCCAAGGTTGCAGCCATTTTTGCCTCATTTGGCGACGTCGCAGAGAGCAGCAACAAGATGCACCCTGAAACTGGCAGCTTCCTGGGCTTTGCTACTTTTCGGTACAAGGACTCGAAGCCAAATCGCTCACGGCCACACCCAGTCATGGCCATTGATGCTGCTAAACGCGCCGTCAGGGCGATGAACGGCAAGAAGATAGAATCTAACGTCGTACGTGTCGAATTCGATCCTGAGGGCAAGAAGAGTCGGCGCATGTTGGAAGAGGTTTTGCACAAAGAACGTGAAAGGTCGCAGCCCTTGATCACAAAAACCATACCCACGGCTCCCAGGACCACAGGATTCATCCCAGGACCGCCACCGACAGCACCAAAAGGCCCTGCTGCCTATAGACCGACACCCGAAGTCCGCCCCTTGCCCATCGCGCCGCGGGTATCGACCTTGATCGAACAAGTACCAGTTGCAAGCCAACTCAAAAGCGACCCATATATCTTCGTCGCCCACGAATTCGTCCCAGTTATGCCGACTACTATTGCGCATATGAAAAAGCGGCTTAAGAATTACCGCTGGGAGGACATTCGTGCCGACAGGCTTGGATACTACATTGTCTTTCGAGACTCATCATTCGGTCGCGCCGAAGCTGAGAAATGCCAGACGTCAGCAGATGGTACTGCGTTCTTCACATACAACCTCAATATGAAGCTGCACTTGTTCGGCGCTGAGGGCAAGCCGGCGGTGAATTCCACATCGCTGACTTATAAGCGGCGGAGTCGCAGTCCGCCGCGGCGCCCGGTCGCAATAGAACCACCGAAGCGAGACGACAAGGAGCGTGCAAGAAGGGAGGACTTAAGGGATCTGGAAGATGAGAAGCGCGAGCGAGCGAACAATTTCGATCCGGTCAAGGAAGCCGCTGAGGTCGTGCGACGAGAGATGGTCGAGCATCTCATCAAGCACATTCGTCAGAAAGTTGCTGCGCCGAGCCTGTTCAACTTCCTGGACCCTGCTAATCATGCTGCCAAACGTCGCAAGTTCGGCATCGAGGATCCAGCCGGGGCCAAAACACCTGCCTTTCTTTTCGAGGACACCGAGGAGAAGTCTCCTGCGAGCACGCCTAATTCACGGGCGGACCCGATCGAACGCCGTACTAAACATCTTGATGTCACTGCACTACCTCGGATTCGTAAGGCAAAGAAAGGTAGCCTTATCCGGAGACCTGGGTTTACCGACCCCTTTGCCCGAGAGAGACCGACCTCTCATCGGCCAGCCTTTCGTTCTCTGCACCATCGCCTGCAACATGCTGAAAGTGACGCGGAGTCTGAGGACGAAATTGAAAATCGTGACTCTTTGGCGAGAGACACTGAAGAGCCAGAGTCTCGACCTCGCAGTCGCATGAGCACTGATGATGACGCAAAGGATGACTTTGGACAATGGGGACCTGCCGAGGATGACTCAATGACCGAAGCCAGCTTGGCACAAGATGGGCCACTTCCACGTATCAAGAAGAGAAAGCTTGACCTGCAGGTAGAGACTGCTATCAAGCGCCAGAAGAAGAGTGACGAAGAGCTCTTCGGAGTGACCATTGATCACATCGAAACCGAATACCCTCTCCGGGACGCATCCGAAGACGTTCTCTTGGAAGATGCAGACTCGATGGCAGCCACTCTAGATGACTCGTCTCTGGCTACTCAGGAACCGATCTCAAAGGCTTCGAAGAAGGTTCTTACCAAGTCGAAAAAGAAATCCAAAAAGCAGATATTTGAGGAGCGCGAGGCTCTCAAACGACAACAGGAGGAGATATTTGAAGAGGAAGCCGAGCAAAAGTCCGAATCTCTTAAGCAGCCCACGCCGCCACCAGACCCAGATTTCAAGCCTACGCCGCCCCCTGAAGATCCAGACAAACCCTTACCGGATCCAGCACTGTACCCTGAGCATGTGACCAAGGCACTCGCCCTTCCTGTCGATTTCAAGCTTGACATTGAGTCTATGCGAACCGTGCTTCCTGGGGACAGTGACCGGCCCAATATTACGAAGCTGAAGAAGAAGTTCACCGTGGAAGACATTGGCGACCCACAAGCGTGGATTTGGAAACGAGACCGTATCAGGGAGCTCAATTCGTGGGACGGGTCCGGTGAGATTGTGGGCATTGGAGGCTACTACGTGCCAAACCCAACCGGCTGTGCACGCACTGCAGGCATCAAGAAAATTCTCAATTCCGAGAAATCCAAGTATTTGCCGCATCATATCAAGGTGCAGAAGGCGCGCGAGGAGCGCGAGAAAGCTGGTAAAGGTGGTAAGGTTAAGGGGGCTCTGGCTGAGGTCAGCAATACAAGAGTCGCGCCCGATCACGTCGCCTCTCAGAGCAACGCCCGCGACACACGCGCCAAACAGCGCGACCACAACTCTTCCCTTGAGAAGACTCAAAAGGTGTTTGGCCAGGCGTCAGACGTTCTGCGCTTCAACCAGCTGAAGAAGCGCAAGAAGCCCGTCAAATTTGCTCGCTCTGCCATCCATAACTGGGGCCTGTACGCCATGGAGAACATTGCCAAGGACGACATGATTATTGAATATGTCGGTGAGCAGGTGCGGCAGAAGATCGCCGATCTCCGCGAACAGCAGTACACAAAGAGCGGCATAGGCAGCAGCTACCTGTTCCGAATCGACGATGACACTGTCATTGATGCGACAAAGAAAGGCGGGATTGCGCGGTTCATCAATCATAGCTGTGCGCCGAACTGCAAGGCCAGCATCATTCGCGTGGAAGGGAGCAAAAGGATTGTCATCTACGCCGAGAGGGCCATCGCACAGAGTAAGTAAACCCCAAGCATTTAGTTGTGGCATTTGACTAACGCATTCCTTGCAGACGAGGAATTGACATACGATTACAAGTTCGACCGAGAGATGCGATCGGAGGACCGTATCCCTTGCCTGTGCGGCACGCCAGAGTGCAAGGGCTTCCTCAACTAATCCTTTACTCTTACGCAATGTCAAGATAGAAACGGCCACGGAAGGCACATTGTCTTTTCTCTTTCATTCCCAAGGAGAGAAAAACGACACGTCGCTGGTATGAGTGGCAGCATAGATGAGTTCTTGGTGTGCACGCGGAATGCTTCTCACGCGCTGGGTTGGATCCATGGTTCTCTTCTCGTTATATACCTGCATTTAGTGTTGGCCTCGCATACCGGTGGAGGGGGCAATAGAAATGACTCTGGGGGCCCGCGGAAGGAGTTGCCTCGGGGAGGGGCGGGGCTGTAGGAAGTGCTGAGGATGGAGAGGGAACAAATTGGGCTTTCAGATGGAGTACGTCAAACCTTGACCTCACCCAGGGAAGCTAGGACGCCGCACAGGAGAACGGAAAGGGTTTCCACTCTGAACTCTTAGCCAACCCATAGAATAATGAGGGCGAGAAGGGGAGAACGAGCTACAGGTACCCTCACCAAGAGGTCCTGTGCTGAAAAGATAATGTGGACAATTAAACAAGCTGCATGTCTCACAGGCCTACTTCCTGCTTTCCGCACTTCACTCTGGGCAGCCAACAGTGATTATCGACGGTGGGCAGTGTGATGTCAATACACAAATCAACAATGCGGCTGCTATTCGACGTGCTTGAAGTCTCAGCTAACATATGCTGGTTGGTACGCTCTCATGGCAAGACCGGGACTCGGGACTCGCAGCCAGACCCTTCTCAGAAAGTCCTGATGGTGAGAACCCAGAGCCTGACGTTTACTGCTCATCCTGCAGTCGTACCTCAATAATAATCGCTTCACTGCGACAAAACATGCCATGTACTCGGCCTTGGGTATCCCTATGAATTCGTGGCCTTCATTCCTGAAAAGGACTCCTTCCCCCCCCACCCGGGATGCCCAAGCCCACCACCCTGACCATAACCTTCCAAAAACGCCGTCATGACCCTTAAAAAGGAAAAACGGAGTGATCACGGGCTCAACTCCAGCTGGAAATCATCCTCATCGTGCTCGGTTGCGCCAAACAGATCATCATCTCCGTTGGCATCGACCTTCCCAAAAAGACCACCATCGTCATCTTCATCAAGCTTGGGGGTCACATCAAAGATGGAGACGAACTCGGGCTTCGATATCGCATTATCCTTCGCGTAGGACTCCGGCGTGACGGTTGCGTCACTAGCCGAGCTCGCCGTCCTGGAGAAGACGCGCGAAGTTGCTTCGGACCTGCTCCGCACGTGCTCTTGACCATGAGCGGTGCCATTGTGGAGGGCTGAGGAGGCGCTGCGGCCTTTGCTGTAGCCAAGAGTGCTTCTAGAGGCAGCGAGGCCTGCCGTTGAAGATGGCTTGGGCCTGGAGGTCACCGCTGCTGATGGCGGCGCCGGCCTGGCCCTAGTGGGTTGCATGAAGCTCGGCAACTTGCTCGCGTTGGTAGCTGAGGCCGATTGGGCAGCCAGGGGCTTTCGCTGGAGATTCGTCATGGACGTCTTGCCCGCCATGCCCAATGCCGAAGCTGCCCGTCGTGAAGTAACGGTTGATGGGGCTCTTGTCATAGCTCCAGGACGGACAATGGTTTTGTCCGTCGCCTCTGGATCCTTCGCAGGCACTATCTTCCTCTTCTTGGGTGACTCCAATAGTCCCAAGTCCCACTTGAAGCCCTGCTCCATGTCCTCCTTGATCTTTGCCTCGGCATCCTTGTGACGCCTCACCCTAGCGGCCTCCATCTCTCTGTCGAGCCTTGTCATACCATTCTCGTCCTTCCGATTATGATAGTACTCGAAGTGCCCCTTGAGGCGGTTCTGAGGCTTGATGCCATCGAAGGTCAGGACGCCGTCTGGCCAGACATCGGACTCATACGGAAGGGGCTCAGGAGGGGGCGGATTGGTGTCGGGTTCCGTGGACAACGGATCAGAGGCAATGTCTTGAAGGATATGTAGCTTGGATGCGTCCGCTTTGGAGCCTGTGGGCTTAAGACGAGAGACAGTGGTGGGTTTGAGTTGGCTTTTCTCGATATCACTGATGGCAGGGGTCTTGCCGACGGCTTGCTGTCTCGCCTTGGTATTGGTTGTCTTGTCTCCTAGCACAGGCCGTTCTGTCCGCGGTTCTGCTCAAGTTTTGTGAGCGCTTGAATTGGGATCGAGCATAAGACCTGCTTTGACTGTTGAGAAGTTTGCTTACCTGCAGGTGTCTGCCACTGTGCCCGGTCTCCCTTGGTCTTGTTTGCCAGCACGCTCTTCCCCCCAAGGCCACGCACTGCGTTCTCATCATTAAGGGGAATCTTCAGCGGTGTCTTGGGATATCGGGCTCCAGGAGTCTTTGGCTGAAGGGCTCTGACTGTGGCTTGCTGCTTGGTGGCAGCATTGGCCTGGTGGATGGAGACCAGATTCTCTTGGTCTTGGTGTGCTCTCAGCATGGTGATTGACGTGCAAGGCGCGCTGCACCAGGGAAATTGGTAATCTCAAGATTCACAGCCCTTTAATTAGTTGTCCTCTGAACTCGCGCTGTTTCCGTAGGTGATAATTCCGATGGTTGAAGAATACGATGCACAGTGTGCTTTGTGTGTGAAAGGCGAAGGTTGGAACTCTGAATCATATTGGAATGGCAAAGCTGGGGATGTTGACCATGTTGTCACAGCAACATGGAAGCAGGCCGCGTTCTATGATTACATACTCAAATACTGTGGTGCCACATGGACCCCTGGAACTTGGGAAGGGTGGCAGCAACAGACGACAGGCGGCATTTGGTTGGGGTCACAGGCCACGGCAGCACAGGAATGAACAGGCAAGGTGGGCGGGCAATGAAGATCCCTGTTCATGAGGGGGCCCAGGCATGGGTAGGTACTTGCGCAGGGTACTCAAAGAGGTGGGTGGTCTTCTCCGTAATGAAGAGAAAGAAGCCCCCTAGAAGGCCAGCGAATCGGCCAGGGGGATTACAGAGGGGCAGCTGTCAGTACTATTTCAGACCTCCACCAGACCTCCTCCCAGACCAGTCTGTCACCTTGCCGTGCTACTAATACCCAACTGTCCTGTCGCCAACCTCCTTTCTTCTGCTCCTGTGTCCATTCCATCGACTGTGCTCGCCTCTGCCTTCCTACATTTTTAGTCTATCGAATTTGCTGAACTCTTCACCATGGATCGCATCAAGGAGGTAAGTGTGACCAGCTGTTGAAAGGGGGGGAGGGTCGGGAGGCTCCTGCTGTCGGTGCCGTCATGTCTGTGTCTGTATCTGTGTCTGTCGTTGTTGCTTGGTGTTGGTGTGTCACCTCTGCTGCCCCTCCATTGTTGGATTCACTCGTGGTATGCCGGCGTCCGTTTCACTGCAGGTTTGACTGCATCGCCGTGACAAAGGCCTGAGGCAGCATAGCAAACATCTCGAAGCCAGCAACACGCAACACGCAACCTACCTTGACTTGGCCTATCACCGCACCAGAACACCCCCTGACACCTTCCTACACCCTAAACACACAGTGTCAATCAAAAAAAAAAACCGCCAAGATGTCGATACTGAGTTCCGTTACGCAGAAAATGAACCAGCTCCGCCTGGAGGCCGACGATTCCGCCGCTAAGGTCGAGGAGCTTCAATCCAAGGTCAAGACGCTCGAGCAGGAGAACCTGTCCAAGGAGCAGGACATCACTTCCCTGCAGCACAAGAACGGCCTGCTCGAGGGCGAGGTCGAGAAGCTCGAGACTGCCATCAAGGACTTCAAGAAGGCCGCCGAGGACGGCACCCAGCACTCCACCACCAACGAGAGTCTCACCCGCCGCCTCCAGCTGCTCGAGGAGGAGGCCGAGGAGGCCGACAAGACGCTTCGCGAGGCCAACGAGAAGTGGGTAGCCCAGTACTACACATTCAAGTCACACGATTATCTGACTTGGAGGTGCTTGCCACATTGCCTTTTTCCTTTACTTCCTGCCCATCCTGTCCCCGCTTGATTGCGATCCAGACTTGTGTTCCTACAAACAAACGCTGACCTCTGTTTTTCACTGTTCACCAGGCTTCGACAAACCGATGTCAAGGCGGGCCACTTCGAGCGAAAAGTCCAGGCCCTCGAGTCCGAGCGAGACCAGTGGGAGTCCAAGTACGAGGAGATGGCCAAGAAGTACGCAGACATCAAGAAGGAGCTGGAGGAGTTCCAGGCCGAGATCGGCAACATCTAAGCTGCGTTGGGAGGAGGAGATTATCAGTACAGCTACCTTTGCGAAATGTTTGCTGCGAAGTTGTAACGAGTCTCTGGTCTGCGCGGACAGAACAAGGGCCCGCCATTGCAACCGCACATTATCAATGCACCCGAGTGAAGGATGCAGCATTCTTGCGTTTAGGAGAGGTGTTCTCATGGATGCACTTTAGACAACGGTTGGACTTGATCACAGCACATTGCTTCGGTAATTGAATTTGTTGATGCTTCGACAATCAGAAACGTTCGTGACTTGGGTATCAAAACTGCGTCGTCCGGGATTCCGAGATTCAAGACCGCTCTTGGACATACTCTAATCTCTTGACTTTCTCGCCCTGTTCTTCTTGTCCGCCAGCTGCCTGACGACCTTGGTCTCGTATCTGAATTTCTTCTTTTTCTTCTTGGGCAGGCCTTTTCTGCCTTCGTTCGTTGTAGCGTCCTTTGCGTTCTTAGACTCCTTGTCTTCCTGTGTACTGCCTTCGTCGTCGTCTCCGTGCACAGCCTCCAGTTCGGCTTTGTTATGCAGACCGTCCCTGTCCACGCTGACCGCCTCCACCTTGACAGTCGTGTAGAGATCCTCATCGATGTACTCCTCTTCGTGGTCCACGGCCTCCAGGGCTGGCGCTTGCGGGGCCTCGTCGAACCCCTCCCACTCGTCTCCATCCTTATCAGAGCCACCGTTCTCCGACCCTTCTTGATCCGAGCCCAAGCCAGCCACTTGCGACCCCTTCATGATGGCCTCTATGTTCTTGACATGCTCCTCAACTTGCTTCTTCCTGTCTTCGCGTAGCTGTACCAATGATGCTCCTTGTCAGCGCCAGTCCACGCTCCAGATTCCATATCAATGAGAGAGGGCCAGAGCTCACCTGTTTGCGGAACTCAATCTTCTCCTCCCTCGCCCTCTTGGCAGCCTCCTCCTGCGCATGCTTTTGCCTCTGAACCTTCCTCTTGTGGAACCCAGTCAGGTATTCTTGCCTTGCGCTGTTGTCGAATGTGACCTCCTCAACAGCGTGCGTTGCCTTGCGCTTCTTGGAGTGCGTGGGAAGTATTGGCTTTTTCGGGCGTGGTTTGGCGAACATATTGGCAGTGAGGATAGCTTGAACAAGTTGTTGTAAGTGAACGCGTCTGGAGGTGAAATATGCAACTCGGGAAATTTTACTTTTTGGAATGCGCTGGACCCCTGGACATTAGCTGCAGAGCCGCCTGTATTTTAGTGACGTGATGCGCTAACTTTGGATATCCTCGACTGGGATGCTGCGTGCCGGTGAGCGCGGCTCCCAGTTGCAGCTTGCTGGGCGGATCTTGCCGACGGCAACCTGAATCGAAGGAGCTGCTGCCACGAGCTTCTCCATCATCATCATCACTTGTGCATCTGGCTGTTCTCTGATATCCACGAGCCATACGCTGCGCTGTCCTCACCAAAATCACTTGTTCGGTTGCCGCTTCAGACACAATGCGTTTTTCGACGACGACAGCCAGCCTGCTGGCTTCAACAGCCGCCGCCTTTAGCGACTCTTCGCCCCTTGTCCTATTCTCTACATCCAAGTACACACGCGGCCCCTAATTACGACGCTTCTCGTTCATATGTGCTGATCAGCTCTACTATTAGGCTTTCAATCCCATCTGGCGAGACTTCCCAGCTCCAATCGACATCCCGAGCTCTGCACACGACCCATGACATCCTGTCCAGCTGTCCGACGAGCCGCTACGTACTCATCAGCCAACCCAATGTGCATGCTTCGGATCTGCGCAACCCGCAATCTGGAGTATGCCACTCGGCAAACCTGTGCTCTGCAGTGGATGGAGAGGACGTAAAAGGTCGCTACGATGTTGCTGAGGTCATTGGGGATGATATCAGCCTCGACGGGCTGAGCAACTACATCAAGGCCGCCTGTGCGGAAGCAGGAAAGAAGGATGGGTTGAGTGTCAACGAGCACCGGCTGGAGGCTCTGCCCACGCAGAAAGGTGGTGCCAGAGCCACGAAGCTTGCTGAGAATGGTGTGCACCTCCTTTCACCTAAGAGATTGGCAATGAGACTAACCAGAGAGCAGACGTCGAGATCGGTGATATCCTCTCCGGCGCCCAAGCCAGTGGTGACGACTACACAGTGATCTACTTCTCATCCCCTCACTCACCCGCTGTCTACGAGTCCGAATACGTCGAGTCGGATGCCATCCAGATGGAGCTGAAGAGGCGGACGGCCGAGGTCATCGAGCCCAGGGCGGGCAACGCGAACGACTCTTCTGCGCCATTGTTCGTCAAGTACCAGTTCTTCACCCCGGGCATCTTCATGGGCCTAGTGGGTACGATCATCATGCTGGCTATTCTCTACGTTGGACTGTCGGCTGTGTCAAGTCTGGAGGTCTCGTATGGCGCTTTTGACAAGGAGAACGGTCCGGCCGCGCAGAAGAAGAACTGAATCAAACGGCTGGAGACATCAGTTTGCATGAGCAGCTTGAGGTTGTGATGTGGGGGATGTGTTGGGTGTTTTGTTAGCATAGTGCTGTATCACCTCAGGAGTTTTCTTTTGCTTTTTGGGCAGGTTCAATAGGTTTCCTCGTAGATATGGAATGGCACCGAGGAGTTCAGAGATCACTCGCTTTACAATGCTTCCGCTTCGTGACCCTACTAAATGCTCTCTGCCCCTGTGTGGTGGTCACCTGTGCTCAAGGTCTTTCCTCGTGATTTTGGTGCCGAGGTTCAAATGTTGGTATTTTCCCTTTCCTGAACGCCATGCCAACCCATGCGAAACCTGTTGTCTTCGTCTTCCAGCCTCAATATGCTAGCCTGTTCAGAGTCTGTTGCGGGCCCAAGACTGTGATGCATCCCGCCAAACTGTCGAGCAAGCTCCCTCTGTAGCCCACCAGTCTATTCTATCAAAGACGCCAATCCTCCGTCCCTCGTAGATCTGAAGACCCTCCACACTGGCCGTCACCACTTCTGTCTTGCTAAGACTCTAGACCAAATGAGAAGGCAGCAAAAAGTTGGCTATCCCCTCCCGCACGTGGTACTCGTGCCCGCAGTGCCCGCAGACGAGCTTTCCCTCCATCATCTGCGTCTCCACGAGGAGCGAGTGCAGCTCCTTGAGCATCGCCTCATTGCTCTCAAGGTCCTCTGCGGAGGGCGGCTCTGCAGGGAGCTCTGGGAAGCCCAGCTTTTCATCGCACACGGAGGTCAGTCTTCAGCTCACATGCTGTGTGGGGCTGGAATGAGTCTTTTGAATCAAATGAGAAAATAGTCACCTCAGTTGATGTGGTCTTGAGCGCCGCCCAATCAAGGCGGGGCAGGACGTTGATGAGAAACTGCGGGTTGAGCTCGATCTCGTCCTGTGCAAGCTCGGCGTCCTTGGGGTGCAGCGGAAATGACGCCGACGACGACTTGCAGGTCTTGACCGCGCAGGTCAGGAAATTTATGCTAAGTACCTTCATCTTGGCAACAATGACTTATTTAATGAGTGATGGGCGATGTCGATGTCGAAGCTTCACATGAAAATTTACAGTCGGTCTTTTGCAAGTGGGGCACGTGACGGTGCCTGTACTATAAATGCCTGATCGAGCTGTTGGATAGGTGCTTGCACCGCAAAAAAGAGCCCAACGTATCATATTCACAACGCCTGCGCATGCGACAACTACTTTAAATCACTGTACGTGTACCTTCCCATTTCTCGGGTATGTTGAGGACTTTACGCCATCGTCTTCTCGTAGCCGACACCTCTTGGGTCCCTCTTCCTCGAGATGCGCACATACAGAGCAACGCAGCCAACAATGACTCCAAATAGTGCGCCCTTCTGGATATAGGACCACTCTCCGTGGGCAGCGGTGCCGTCTGCCTGTTGCTGGACTTCTTGTTGGATTTCCTCGGCCGGTTCTCCCTCGGTGAAGCCGGCAGCCCAGTCGGCGCCTCCGTAGATTGGCTCTGCAAGGCGGGCAAACAAGGCGAATCAGTAAATACACGAATGACATATGCGCGGGCACTTAAGACGTTGTGACAGGGACCTGATCGCACTTGGATTGATTTTCTAGGAACATGTGTGTGTATTTCTAGGTGTGCAATTGGTGTTGTCGGTGCAGATACGGTGGTAAGCGGCCACTTTAGAGCTCCACGTGAATACCTTCTTCTGGAACCGGCAACTCTCCGCTCTTGGCGATCTTCACCGTCTCCTTGGGCTTGTCGCCAGGGTTCTTCTCAACATTCTCGATCTTCTCGACAATGTCGTAGCCCTCGAGGACCTCGCCGAAGACGACGTGCTTGCCATCCAACCAGCTGCGTACACTCCATGTCAGCTTAAGAGCCCGGGGGTGCCATAGGTGGGGATTGATTCTTACCCAGTGATGGCGGTGGTGATGAAGAACTGCGAGCCGTTGGTGTCCTTTCCAGCGTTGGCCATGGACAGGAGACCCTTCTTGGTGTGCTTAAGCTTGAAGTTCTCGTCGGGGAAGCGGTCGCCGTAGACTGTTCGTTAATGACATTGGTCAGTCTCTCGCCTCCACCTATCAATTCATCGCCCATCGGCCAACATATCTACTTCCATGATCATGATTACTTACTTGACTTGCCACCAGTGCCGTCTCCCTTGGTGAAGTCACCACCCTGGATCATGAAGTTCTTGATAACACGGTGGAAGTTGGAACCTTCGTAGCCGAAGCCCTTCTCGCCGGTGGCGAGAGCACGGAAGTTCTCAGTGGTCTTGGGGACCGTCTTGCCATACAGGCCCAGAACAACGCGACCGAGGTCCTCGTCGCCGTGCTTGATGTCAAAGTAGACCTTGTGGGTGATCTTGGGGCCCTTGGCAGCGGCGACGGTGGAGCTGAACAGCAGCATCGAAATGCCGACAAGCAGCGCCGCCGAGACTATAAGTCGCCTCAGATTGAACATCTTGACTGTTGTGTTCAGGGAGGGTGTCAATTGATAGGGAAAGGAGATGGAATTGAGGTCCAGGAGTAGAGTTGACAAGAGATCCGGATCTCAATTGACAGCTTTATGGGGGCTGGCAAGCGGCATACGGGGAGAGACACGTTTCAACTGGATGGACTTGGAGTTGGGGTCGAACCAAGCACATGCCGGCTGAAGCTGCAGATGTAACTCTCCCACGGTGACCCCCCCAGAGCCTCCTTCCCCACCACTCAGGGACCTTGGAAGCTTGAACTCAGGGGGCACCAGCCATCCTTAGCGTCGTGGGGCGTGGAGCTTACGCCCGCGCGGCCCCATAGGCACCTGCAGCTGTGTTGCTGATTACCCGTCCGCCAGAAATAGGGAAGCCAGCAATCGTCATATCCAACTATTGAACAATCGCAGTTTTACTCACAACGGCTCCCACACCCTACGAACGCATACACAGAACAACTCACAGGTGTATGAGGGCTCGATGCTTCAGCTGACGGTCTTTCAAAGGCCAGACCTTCTCTGCCCATCATGATGTCCTCAACGAACGAGGAGGACCCCTTCCTCCAGGTCCAGCAGTACGGCCCCTGACCGCGTCCGCGACCACCACGCCCAGGTACTGACAGTGATCGCTAGAGATGTCCTCGCCCAGATGGAACAGACGCGGCCCCTCTTCACGTCCTACCTGCGCATCCGCTCCCTGACCACCACCCAGACCTCCCCGGAACTGGCCTCCGCGCGCTCCGACCTCGAATCCGCGCTCGAGTCCCTGGCAGAAGACCTCGCCGACCTCGTCGAGTCCGTGAAGGCCGTCGAGGCCAACCCGGCGCAGTTCGGCCTCACGGCTCACGAGGTCCAGCGGCGCAAGCGGCTGGTGCAGGAGATCGGCGGCGAGGTCGAGGACATGCGCGACGAGCTCAGGAAACACATCTCCTCGTCCACCCCCAGGCGCAGCGGTGCGGGCGGCGCGGGCGGTGATCTGCCCGACCCGAATGCGTTCGCCATAGCGGATGGCGAGTCCGGGGAAGGGGACGAGGACTACGCGGCCGAGTTCGAGCAGAGGCAACAACAGGCCATGATGCGCGAGCAGGACGAGCACCTGGACGGCGTGTTCCAGACCGTGGGCAACTTGAGGAGGATGGCAGACGACATGGGCCGGGAGATGGAGGAGCAGATGGAGATGCTGGAGGTAACGGACACGCTGGCAGACCGCGTGGGCGGGAGGCTGCAGACGGGCATGGAGAAGATGAAGTATGTCATAAGGCATAACGAAGACCGGCTAAGTAGCTGGTGTATTGGCCTTCTGATCATGGTTTTGTGTATTTTGTTGGTTTTACTCTTGATTTTATGAGCGTTGGCGCAAGTCTGGTGTCTGGTGCAAAGGAAAGAGAGGATCGAGATGGATCCGTGATATCAATTGCTTGGATACGTAAGAAATAATGAGTCTAACAAATTCCAAATGCTCTTTTGAGTGATCCAGTCATATTCTTCAAGATGTTGCTTTGATCAAGGATCTGAGGCAACATGCTCAGCATCTAGAATCTATCTTCCATCCCATCTTCGGCATGTGATACTTGCCATTCACGCCAGGTTCAATCCAACTTTGGTCTTCAGCAGTTCTGCATGCACTGCCAGAGACTGTACCGCGTTGTTTTTCAAGCCTGCAGCCGTCGCCGCCGCAGGGAAGTCCACAAGTGCTAGTCGCAGTGCTGCGATAGCTGCCGATCCGTAAAACTGCAGGAATCTCGCCTCATGATGGTCAATCATGGACCTCAAGACAACGCACTGCGTCACTGACATCTGTTGGGGCGGCGTGTTGACTATTTTGGCCATCGACTCCCAGTAGTGCGTCATGGGGTACGGATTCTGCTTCTTTGTTTTTGAAAAGTCTCTCAAGGCAATCGCTGCGTATCCTGCGGCGAGCCCAGTCATCCTGTCCATGTGCTCGGCTTCAGGGACCCAAGCGGTCCCTCTGCGCTTCCATCCCACGAGATCTCTTCCTGCGTCCGTCTTCTCGGATCCTCTAGCGCCAATGAGTACTGGGCAGACAACGTAAATCTTTGCCATGAGTATATCAATAAGTGGCTGTCCCCGCCATTGGAAGGTTGGATCTGAAAATATGGCAGCGGCGCAAACTCCGATTGGGTCCGCGGTCTTCGTGTTCGTCGCAGCTTCATTAATAAACTGGTTGATGATGGCCTTGGCCAAGTGGTTGAGGAGGAATAAAAATAGTAATGGCAGCTCAGCATTATGCATAGCGCCCTCAACAGGCTGTCGTGGAGAAAACACTACCAGGCTGGGATCGACCATCGGGCTGCCGACCTCATTTGCTAGTGCTTCTTTGAGGATTTTGGTAACCTTTTGCATCTGTGTATATTGTCAGTCGGCTTCCGAAGAATGTGTGGGACATTTACTCACGACTACTTTATTGCCATCCTTGTCGAGTGACAGTTGGCCAATGACCTTCCGAAGTTCTCTCCGGAGATCTCCAGATCTCGATTTCAGAGCTTTGTTCTGCGAGGCTTGCGAGGCCATGGCTGCACGGAGTTGTTTGAGACTTTTGTGGATTTCAGTGGCGCGCTGCCGCTTCGCATCGTGAGGCGCGGGCGTGGGTGTAGGCGCGGTCGTGGTCTTAGGCGCGGGCGCAGGAGTGGGACTTGGAGCGGCAAAGGCATTGGAAATCGGTGGTTTGAGCGTCGCGCTGCCATTGACTGTCGCAGCAACGGCTCTTCCTTGTGCCAGCGGTTGCAGTGAAGATTGAGGGGATGGGCTTGGCTTCGCTGGCGCCGCAGGAGCCTGCTGAGCGGTCGTAGATGCTGAGGGAACCGAGGCTTGAGGTTGTGAGGCTGTAGGTTGCTGCTCAATTTTAGGTGTCGGGAGAGGTGGTAGTGGTGGAATCTTCTTTGCAGCAATCTCTCTTAACCGTTCCTGCTCCTCGCGCGCGGCCTGCTCTGCGCGCAATCGTGCTTCCTCGGCCTTGATCTTCTCTTGCGCAGCTAAAGCGTTCGCTTCCTCCACCCTCGCTCGTTCTCGTTGTTGCCGCGCTTGCTCAAGCAACTGCTCCCTTTGCAGGTTCTGCTCGTGAACGTAGAGGGTGTGAATCCTTGCAGAACCAATGCGTTAGCAGGCATTGACCACATCACCAGCGAGGGCTGCGAAACAGCTGGAACGGTGTTCTCTATACTCACGCTTTTGCGCGAATCCTGTCATGCTCGGCGGCGGCAGCGGCGAGGGCATCTTTGTGGTTGGTCTCAGAGTTGCGGTCGGGGCTGAGGAAGTCTGCTACCGACGAGCTGGCAGGGCTCGGGGTGGGCGGGTTCGCGCGCGGATATCGCGACGTTCGAGTCGCAGGCGACGGTGTTGTCATCTTGACTGCATGACGAGGAAGGCGGCAGCGGGCGATCGTTATTGCTATCGGGGTTGTTTGGCAGATTGAAGCTTCCTCGACAGGGTCAAGTCAAATTGTATATGGGACTCCAAGGTTGACTTGACGCGACGGGTGAGGAAACTCGATCAAGGGACGGCAGAGGGCGCAAGTCAGGGTCAGGCAAGTTCCTTGTACTGCATTGCATGCACGCATGTAAGTGGCAGAGGTGGGTCTAAGCTCTGCCGATTCTGCGGGCAGAAAGCGCGACCGCCCGCGCCCCACCTTCTCGGGCGGTATCTCAGGTCTCTCCACGATGGACTGTTGTGGTGCGGACAATACATACGGCTACTGTTAGCACAATACGACGGTATCTACCGGGCGACTGCCCGCGTCCAGGATGGGCCTGCGACAAGCAGCGACAGCGAAGTTAGTGACACCCATACACCCGAGCTCCAGGTCCCAACTGGCCAGAGGCAGACGCGAGGTTACGTATTGGCAGTTGGGCCTGTTGTGCTTTTTGGTGCCACGAGGCTGCGTCTCTAAGTACTTAAGATATTGGAGTGGACCAGAGGCTCAACGATGGGGAGGGCCGCTTGTGAAGCCTCTGGACCTCGGATGTGTCGAGCAGCTCACACAGACCTTTTGAGCGTGGGCCTGGGCTCGTGGTCCCCTGGCTTGTCGTCCGCAAATGGACGTTTTGTATTCATAGTGGTGGACCCGAGCCGAGTGAAAAAAAGACGGCCCGCGCGCCATGCCCCTTTTTTCCCGTCTGTATGGCTGGCTGTCACAGGTAGCCACTCCTTGAAGCAGCAGCCTTGACCGTCTCGAATCGCTCGAAACAGATGTTCTCAATGGGTGAGGTGGCCCGGCTGAAGGGGCGTGTTTTACGAGTCGTGGCACACGGGATCGGCTGCGCAATCCTTCTTGCGGGTTTCCCGTCGATCACCTCGTAGGACATCACGAATGCCAATGGAGAGTGGGGGGTTCTCCTCAGCTGGGGATTATGAGATGCTGATATGCTGAGGTGACAAGAAAAGACTAGGTGCTGACTGACCAGTAATGCCCCGGCCATGGTGGCACAAGCTCAACCGGGTTACGGAGGACCCCACACAAGCACATCCCACATACGAGAGGATGAGGGACAGAGCTTGCCATGGTCGGGGCATCGTGGGGTGGGTGCACACATGTCCTCTCTATCTCGGCCCCAGTCTTGTCTGACCCTTGATGAGCATCATGATTTACGAGACACACTGCACTACTGTACCTGTGCTGCTGGCTACCAACAGAGCTATGAGAGACCAAAGACCGCGATGTATGCCATCACAGGGGCAACCCAGCGCTAGAGGAAGAGATGGGCAGAGATGGACGGAGAGAGAGACAGACACTATCCTGTATCTAGCTGGTGTAGATCTGGAGGGAGAGCTCGCGGACAGCGTCCGCATCCCACCCCAGTTTCGGCTGGGCAGAGGCGGACGTCAAACCACCCCTGTAACCAATGAGCAGGTCCGTTTCAATAGTGGAGTCCCTGCTTAGCCGAAGCAGCACCTGGCACTCCAGTCCTGGCAGTGGCACTCTGTCACTCCATTCAGTCTGGGACGCTGGGCACTGGGCACACTGGGCACTGGGCACACTGGGGCCTGGCACCTGGATACCTGCTGGTGGTCCAGGCAGGTACCTAGCTTCCTCGCACTAATTCGGGTGCTAACTAACAGCAGACTTGAACTGACAGACACCTTCCCAGGTTGACTCGCCTTGCCTTCCAGTCTTGGGTCCCAGCTGTCTTGGAGACTTCTCCTCTTCCACACCTGGACATCGACCATCGACCTCTCTCTCTCACCAACTCCAACGTCGCCGTCCCCTTTCCATCGCCAGCTGCTTGCCATCCTGTCAACTGCTGGAGGCGGAGCTGCGACATCCATCCCATCGATACACTCCTTGCACAGATACTTCATTCTCGTCCTTTCATTGACCTTCCTTTTGAGCTCCGTTCTCGAAACTACGCAATACCTATCCAACCAAACGCACACAGCCAATCCCATACGACCAGACAACAACTACTGTCTTTCCGTCCCCTGCCCAAGTGTCGTGCAACAAGTCGACAGACACAAACACACACACACACAAGCTCCTCCACCACAGGCGCTCGCCTGCATTGGCATCGACTCCCGCGACCGCCTTGCACACCACGTCATCAGCCTGTCCTGGCCTGTTCCGTTCTGGTCTGAAGCTAGCTCACCATGGAGGGGCAGCAGCAGCAGCAGCAGCAGCCTCCAACCGGCGTCTCTGGCCCATCCGGCCGGAGACTCCATATTGCCCATCGGCGGAGTCCCTCTGAGATGACCCCGCTGGTGAGCATGTTCACCGGAAATCCTGGAAGTAAGTCGAACGGCCACATTCCCTTTATTGCCAAGCTTTTCGAAGCCGAAACGTCCTGCCGCTCAGATATTGCGCTGTATTCTGCGCGCACACATCGTGCGTTCTGCAACATGGACTAACACCTGGCTTTCTCTTGTTAGTGGAGCAAATGGCTATCCAGCAGCAGATAGAGCTGCTCCAGCAGCAACACCAACAGATCCAAGCCCAACAGCAATATCTCAACATGGGCATGATGCCACCGGGCCAAGCCATACCTGGATTCAACCCAGTCCAAGGCATGCCTAACATGTCCCCCCAGACAGGCTTCCAATTTCCCAACCAGCTACCGCAGCAGAATATGTCGATGGGTGCCCCAACTCAACCCTTGTCACATCGCCGTAATCAGTCGGCTCTGCCCAACATGAGCATGGGCCCACCGCCCGCTCCTTCTTCGGGAGCATCGGGATCTGCCTTTGGTAACTTTGAGCTGCCACAGCAACCGCAAGGTCGGGAGAACGCCGGTGCATCACGTGGAGGCCGCGGAGGCGGAGCTGGCGCCGGCGCAAGTGGTCACCAGAGGCGGCACTCTTTGGCTCTTGCCGATGCGAAGAAGGCTGCCGAGCTCGCTCAGCAGAAGCGTACAACTTCCAGCTTCTCCTTCCCGGCAGCGCCTGCTCCCGAGGATGAAGCGAAGCCCGCAACGCAGGCCCCTGCAGATGCGCAGGCCACCCAGAGTGCTCCGTCCAGAGGCGGGCGCGGCGGTGGCCACGGCAGGAGCCAGAGTATGGCTGCAGGTGCCAATGGTCGCGGAGGCGGCGCCGCACGCGGAGGCTCACAAGTTGCTACCGACTCTGCCCAGGGCAACGATTTCCCACGTCGTGGATCTGGCCACAACCGGTCGTCGTCTCGTAACTTTGATTCCAATTGGCGAACCCCACAGGCTCAGACCCAAGACCAGGCTGGCCAGAACCAGGGCGGCTTCCAGCCGGGCCACCGATCCCGTGGTTCCATGAGTCAATCCGTGAACTCTATCGGCGCTTTCCAGTACCCTGGTCAGCCCCAGCTGATGCAGGTTCCTGGTCAGATGATGATGCCTCAGATGTATCCCGGACAGCAGCTTAACGCCCTGCAACTGGGTCAGCTTCAAGCACTCCAAGCCGCTCAGATGAGTGGGCAGAACTTTGTTGGCTTGCAGGGGAGTCAGCATGCGCCTCAACTCTCCCAACAGCCCCAACAGCAACAGAGGAAGACCCTGTTCACTCCCTACCTCCCGCAAGCTACGCTGCCCGCTCTACTAGGAGAGGGTCAACTCGTTTCCGGCGTCCTGCGTGTGAACAAGAAGAATCGTAGTGATGCTTATGTGTCCACTCAGGACGGGCTCCTCGATGCTGACATCTTCATTTGCGGCAGCAAAGATCGTAACCGTGCGCTCGAAGGCGATCTGGTTGCCGTTGAACTGCTTGATGTTGATGAAGTATGGTCGCAGAAGCGCGAGAAGGAGGAGAAGAAAAAGCGCAAGGACATTACCGACACTCGATCGGGCTCCACAAACGGTGGTGGCCAGAGCAACCAGAATGGCGACGACAACAATGCCAACGATGGTGGCATCCGGAGACGAGGCAGCTTGAGGCAGCGACCTACACAAAAGAAAAACGACGATGTTGAGGTCGAGGGCCAGAGCCTGCTTCTTGTCGAGGAAGAGGAAATCAATGATGAGCAGAAGCCGTTGTATGCCGGTCACATTGTTGCAGTCATTGAGCGTGTTGCTGGACAGATGTTCTCGGGCAACCTCGGCCTGCTTCGTCCTAGCAGCCAGGCCACAAAAGAGAAGCAGGAGGCTGAGCGAGCTGCCAGAGATGGCAATCGCCACCAGGACAACCGTCAACAGGAGAAGCCCAAGATCGTCTGGTTCAAGCCGACAGACAAGCGCGTCCCTCTCATTGCTATTCCAACAGAGCAAGCTCCTCGCGATTTCGTCGAGAAACACCAGGACTACGCTGACCGCATTTTCGTCGCATGCATCAAGCGCTGGCCCATCACTTCCCTGCATCCTTTCGGCACCCTCGTTGAGCAACTTGGTAAGATGGGCGACCTGAAGGTGGAGACAGACGCGCTCCTACGGGACAACAACTTCGCCTCAGATGAGTTCTCTGAGGCTGTCCTTCGTAGTGTTGGCCTTCAGGACTGGTCACTCGCCAAAGAAGACGAGGCTGCCATTGCAGCACGCCGCGATTTCCGCGACGACAAGACATTCACTTTGGACATGGACGGTTCCGCTGAACTCAGCAACGCAGTCCACGTCAAGACCCTCGCTGACGGGAAGATCGAGATCGGTATCCACGTTCCCGACGTCACTCACTTCGTGAAGCCCAACTCCCTCGTGGATCGCGAGGCTAAAAAGCGTGGCACGGCTGTGCACCTGGTCAACAGGACATGCGCGATGCTTCCGCCCAAATTGTTCGCCGAGCTCTGCTCGCTGACGCCCGGCGAGGAGCGCCTGGCTGTCAGTGTTGTGTTTTCTGTCAACCCACACACGGGCGCGGTCGCCGAAGGTGATACTTGGATTGGCAAGAGTATTATCAAGGCCACCGGCAAAGTCGCTCTCTCTGAAATTGATAGTGCGCTCTCGGGAGAATCCGAGTTCAGCCACCCTGCTGTGGAATTGAGAGACATGCAGATTCTCTACGTAAGTGATCCAAGAAGCATCTGGATTTTCCTCAAAGTGCTAACAGACCGCAGGGTGTTGCCCAAAAATTCAGGGAGTCCCGTCTGGGTGCTGGTGGTGAGCCCATCGCACCTCTTCGTCTACTTCACCAGGTCGATGACGAGAACATCCCTATCAAGGACAACATTTTCGACTCATCGCCGGCCATGGAGCTGGTGGAAGAGCTCATGCACAAGGCCAACGCGTATGTTGCGCAGCGTCTTGCTGAAGGCCTTCCTGAGAAAGCACTGCTCCGTAGACAAGGGGCTCCAAACCCTCGCAGGCTCCAGACATTCGTTGACCGCATGACTGCTCTGGGCTATGAGTTTGACAGCTCCAGCAGTGGTGCTCTGCAGAACAGCCTCTTCAAGGTTGATGACAGCGATGTGAGGAAGGGCATGGAAACGCTCCTGCTGAAATCTATGCAGCGTGCCAAGTACTTCATCGCTGGCAAGACCGCCAAACTGCTGTGGCCTCACTATGCTCTTAACCTGCCGCTATACACTCACTTCACGAGCCCCACTCGCCGCTATGCCGATATTCTGGTTCACCGGCAGCTCGAGGCTGTGCTGTCTGACGGCAGCATTGAGTATAACGAGGATCTGGAGAACCTGGTGAAGACCATCGAGAGCTGCAACACCAAGAAGGACTCTGCTCAGAATGCTCAAGAGCAGAGCATTCACATCGAGTCCTGCCGTACCATGGACAAGAAGCGACAGGAAGTCAACGGTGACCTTATCAGTGAAGGCATCGTGCTTTGCGTGTACGAGTCCGCATTCGATGTCCTCATTCCCGAATGGGGCTTCGAGAAGCGGGTGCATTGTGACCAGCTGCCCCTCAAGAAGGCCGAGTTCAGAAAGGAGAAGAGAGTCCTGGAGCTCTACTGGGAGAAAGGTGTCCCTAGCTCCGCTTACGTGCCTGAAGATGAACGGCCCAAGGCTGCAGCCTCGGTCCGGATGTCCAACGCGATGGCCGCCGCCAAACAGGCTGAGGAGGCCGAGCGGGCGAGGAAGGAACGTGAAGAGGCAGCTCGTAAGCAGACTGAGACAAACACCATCTCGACCAATGATGTAGACGCACTCTTCGACGACGACGATGACAACGCGTCGGACATTACGGAAGCCATGGCGGGTGCCTCGCTGGCTGAGCGTCCCACTCAGAGTGTCCCCGGATCACCCACCCGCTCGTCCACCGCGGGCACCTTGCACCGTACGAAGTCGGACTCCAAGGTTCCGACTGTTGAGGCCCCCGAGAACCGCCTGACCAACAAGGAGAAGTACCTGAACCTTTTCAAGTTGCGGGAGGAAGGAGGTGAATACATCCAGGATGTGACGGAAATGACCCGGGTCCCCATAATTTTGAAGACTGACCTCAGCAAGAGCCCACCGTAAGTTACCAATCTCCTCCAAACTTGAGCTTGTCTTTGCTCATGAACTAATTCTTTATTGCCCAGATGCTTGACCATCCGCTCCCTCAACCCTTACGCCTTGTAAAGTTAACTCATAACTTACGGCTTGGCTCAACTGGGATCTGAGGAACCTCTAGTAGCAGGATGCGGAAGAGTGGCTTGAGAATCGCTGAAAGCACGATGCTTGGAGTGGGAAGCTTTTGGGATCGAAAGAATTGGGAAAGGTTGAAGTGAATGGGTTAAGCGAAAAGATGAAGCAAGGAAGTTTGAGCTACTTGAAAGATGGACGTGAGGCAAAGAGCATAATATAACTGGAGTCTAAAGCACAGAGCGGTATGGTATTCTCTTAGTTGATTGGAGTGTTCGAGGTTGTCTGTAGAGGCAATGACAAATATTAGATAGTCGACCAACGCTAGAGAATTCTCGGTAGGAAAACAAGACAGCTTCAATCACCCCAATACCCAGAGCACACATATCGTGATTGCGTGCCGTGGCAGAGTCTGGCCTGAGGCCCCTCGAGCACTTTGATTGAACAGATGTCTAAATCATCTTGCCATCTTGGGGCCTAGTTTTGTCCTTCGTGCGCTTCGGCTCGCAACAAAGAGGAGAGCTATCAGATATGTTAAACACGGGCCAACAGATCTCCCCGCTGACTGCACAGGGAACCTGATCCATCTGCTGCTAACCCAATGAGCAGGTAAGCGAACGAGCCTACAATCCTTCGACACCAAGCGGATGTCTCACTTGCTTACTTCGGCGCCGGGACCGAGCCCGGACCCCCAATTCCTCGGGGTCGGGGTCGGGGTCGGGCCTGGGTTCGCTAACTGCAGTACACTAATCGTCTCGCCGTTGTTGGTGTTGAGGAAGCGCTGGAATCACATTTCGGATGCCCTTAATAGCAATGAGAGTGCATGACTGGTCGGGGAAGGAAGACAGCCACGCTGACCTGACGACCGAGCAGGATTCTAACCTGCTTATACGAACTCCGGGGATAGCACATACTGGAGATGTATAAATATGTTCACGTCTCACGGCATCATGGCTGGATGGGCATTACTGTTCTATCGAATAAGACCTTATTTTTCTCTTCCGATTCATCTTGCCCGAATCAGTAAACTGTTCTGAGTGTGGAATACTATTAAAGAGTCTTGTTGCCCGCGCCCTTCGAATCTCTTTTGGACTTCATACTGCATATCAATAATTACGGCTCACATACACAATGCTTCCTCCACCAGCTACGCCAGAGGCCGTGGCCAAGCGCAATGCGTCGATCCGGGACGCTGTCGCCCGCGTCGGCACAGCGGCCGAGGCGTACGCCGACGCCTCGACCAAGGCACTGGCCAGCAGTGTCTCAGCTGCAGACACCAGCTCGTCCCAGGCGGAGCTAGTGGGCGAGATCAAGAAGCTCCTTGCGGAGGTCCAGGGGCCGTTCGGCGCGATGTTCGACCTCTTCGGCGCCCTCTCCAAGGTCGCAGCCATCCGCTGCCTTCTTGAGATGGGGGTGTTCACCACCATCCCCGCCAGTGGCACACCCGCCACGGCGGATGAGATCCTGTCCAAACTCGAGGTCGACGTCGAGAAGGCTCTTCTCGTGCGCCTGCTCCGCGTTGCCAGCACGGACGGCCCCCTGGTTGAGGTAGGCGAGGAGACGTACGCGCAGACGCCCTCCTCGAGTATATTTGCACACCCAGACCTGATGGCTACGTTCAAGCACATCATTGATGAGGGTGCGCCTTCCATCATGCTGATGCCGCAGTTCTTTATTGAGAATGGGTGGAAGCAGCCCACAGATCCTACGAATTGTCCTGTAAGTGATACCCGAATAGTGACGTGGCCGCTTCACATGTTTACAATACCTCACTGTTACCCAGCCATCCTGCCAGTTGAGAAATTAATTCAAGATGGCGCAGTACACTTTTGCTCACAGGACTGGCGGCGATGAGATGTGGACCCACATTGCGAAGTTTCCTGAGAGACAAAAGAACTCTAATCGCGCCATGAAGGCTCAATCGTTCGACGGATTGTGGTCCGTTGGGTTGTTCCCTTTCGCTGAGAAGATTAAGGAGCTGGGGAAAGAAACGGACGCGTCGACACCCTTGGTCGTTGACATCGGTGGTGGTGCAGGCCACACGAGCTCTCAGATCCGCGAGCTATGCAAGGTCAGCCAGGCCCCAGAATTCCCTACCCTTTTGAAGGATATATTTTCCTCTCTTCAAACTTTTCCACAGTTCTGTACGGTAATTTCAGTCGGACAATATCATCCTTGATATGTCGTGAATCCAGTAACAGGCCATGGGCTGAAGCGTCTCGAAATACCCTCAATCCGTGTCAAGTTTCTTTCAACATTGTTTGTTGCTGACTATACGCGAACCCAGGAAATTGAGGGAACAATTGTTTTACAGGATTTGCAAGACGTCGTAGTAGATGCCAGGCCGACGGACGGCGTTGTAACTATGGCTCATGACTTCTTCAAGGAGCAGCCTGTCAAAGGTCAGTTTACAAGCAACACTTTCAAACACCGCCTCTTCAACCACCACGGAATTTCAAGAGCACAGAATGATTAATACTCTTTCGCGTCAATCCAGGCGCGCCGATTTATTTCCTCCGGCGTATTTTGCACGACTGGTCGGACCCTAGCAGCGTCAAAATTCTGAAGCACATCGCGGACGCCATGGACCGCAAACTGCCTAGCCGCTTGGTTATTGCAGAGCAGATTTTGCCAACCCGGCATGTTACCAGCGAGAGCGCGCTGGTTGACCTGCTGATGATGACCTTTACTGGCATGGAGCGAACGGCAAAGCAGTGGGAGGAGCTGTTGGCTCAGGCGGGTCTGAAAGTAGTGCAATTCTATAAGGCACCCGGGACGCCGTTTGGAGCTGTAGAGGCAGTTTTAGCTTGAAGAGGCTGGTGAACAGGCGGTCAGGTATTGGAAGGAGGGTTGAGTAGACGGAATGAAGGAGTTCATTTCGTGCCGGGCTTCAATCCCATACTTGAAATGGATTAAGAAGGATGACGCTACTATCTGAAGATCAGGGCTTTGGGTGCGCTGCCACACAATCACTACTCACAAGAAAAAGACACAATCGAAAACAGCCAACTTTCACGTATGACCCGTAGCGTTGCTGTGCTGGACATCACCGGCATCCGGAGGACTACTGCATGAATGGTTCGTCAAGCTGTCTATGCGGGTGCGGTAGACTCCGAGCGCTTCATGGCCGGATCGTTGCGAAAATGTTTTCTGAATATTTTTCGAAACGGTGTTTTACGACCTCGGGTCGTAGCATTCATATGCGCTTTGCTGCTTGTTTTACTCCTTCGGAAGTGACGGGGAGTCGACGGGTCCGTCAGGCTCGGAAACAAGCTGCAGTTGGAGAGTCATGACGCGAACCTAGAGCAATGGATATCGGTGTTTGGTGAGTTGGATGGGATACAACTCACTGTGTTCAACGTGTTCCCGTCCAAGTTGAGTAAGTATCAATGTGAGCAGATTACCTAATACGAGAAACTCACCCTGCACGTCTGTCCGACTAAATGTTATCCCACTGGAGATTATGCCACCGGAAGATACTGGTCAAGTTATCCGCATACGTTTGGAATCCCTAGGATTCACAAGCAATGTGGGTATGGAGTCTTGAGCCGGGGAATAATGAGACTTTGGTGAAGCTGGGACGGAGCCGCAAGGCCGAGGGGTGGATCTGTTGGATCCACGTTCTGGGAAGGGTTGAGCTTGCGGATCAATGGAGTCGACATCAGATACTGCATGATGCGAGTAAAGGAAAGACTTTGTCAGATGGGAGGCGGCTTGGACGGAAGGGAGTTGAGGAAACATGGGATATTTCAGCCGATGTTTTCGGCCCAGCAAATGACCCGAGATGGTAACCAGCAGCCTTGGGAAGATCCGAAGTTGATTCGAGCCAATCGTAACCGTCTGTTTTTGGGACGAAGCCCACCGAGTGCGTTGCAGTGGCGGAAGGCCTGGTTCAGGAGGTTTAGGGCTTTGAGCAAACGTGCTCGTCTAATGAATCGAAACGTTAAGGTGCCGAGGCCGAAGCCGCCGTGTCCTCCCATTTCATCATGGATGAGATCAAGCCGAAGACAGGACGAAGAGGAAACGACCGTTTACCAAGCCACGTTAGTCGACATCTTGCGAGCTTGTCGAGGCGTTGAGGAAGCATGGCATCACGACATTGAATTGATACATTCCATGCGAAATGTGGCATTCTCTCAATTGTGACTGCGGGGCCATCACACACATGGGCGCTTCGCAGACAGAGAGGGGTGGCTTGCCAAGTGACGCCAGGAGCCTCAATCTCCGTCAAGGGAGGACGGTACCGAGCGTTTGCGAAGGCATGTGTGTGGGTGCGGACGCGGACGCGGGTGCGGCGCAAGCCCAGGCTGGGCTTTCTACTCAGGAAGTTGTCCGGGCCGGGGCAGGGTAGGACAAGGTAGGGCAGGGCAGGAGGCAGGCAATATGCAAGAGAGGAAGACTGGTCATCCGAAGAGCATGAATGCCATGATCGCTGGGCCGGCATCCGTGAGCACATCATTGTCTTCCGTCTCAGCGGTGGAGGTCTTTGGCTCTTGTAGGACTGATTTCCAACCGGCTCGGCGGATCCGTGCTGTGGGCCGGGGGCATGACGAAGACAGGATGAGAAGAAGCTTGACTTTTGGGTATTGAGATAAGGTTGGCGTGGAGCAGGGCGTGGAGCAGGGCGCGGGTGCAAGTCAGCATGCAGCATGTAGCCCACTGCATAGTACATAGTATAGTGGTTTGTGTCCGGGAGATTTTAGCCCGCAACACCAAAACAGACATGAGACAGGATGAAGTTACGACCCTGACAATGCAACCCCAACCCCTGCACCCCTGCACCCCTCACTGCCCTCAGTGCCCTTCCAACCCCTGCACCTGCAAGGCACGCAATATACGCAAGGCAAGGCAGGCGGCACGGCGCTGCACGGCAAGAGCCTCTTGGGCGAAAGCTGGGCAGCATCCAGCCTTGTTTAAGCAGTGCTGAATGGCTGTCTTCCTGTTTTCCCCCTGGCCCCTGGCCCATGCAACACCACACCCCTGCCCCGTCCTGTTCCCATCCCAAAGAAGTGTTCCCACCCCTCGGCCCGCCTATACCACAGCACGGCTGCTCGCCTCTGGTTGGCTGGGACTGACCTCATCTTCTCCTTCCGACGACCTAGGCAGCGCCTTCCTCGACGACGACCCGTGGGTTGCGGCTGCCTTCTTGCGTCTTACAGGAGGATTGACAAACGAAACGCCACCAAGCTCCGGTTTCTGGCCCCTGCGCGCAACCACCCAAACTTTCCTTTCCGTCCTACCCTCCTGCAGCCGTCCTACAGTACTCTCCTGCGCAGATGTGCGGTACCGCACAAAACTTCCCTCCCCCTCTGCCTTGCCCCTCCAACTGCCATCTGATCGTCTGCCCCCGCCCGGCCAGGGTGGCCCCTGGCTATAGTCTACGGTGCTCGACTACCCGTGGGTCTCCCATGTCGCCCATGTAGCATGTAGCAGCAGGAACACCGCGAGCCCGGCCACGGCTACTTGGCCTTCCGTGCAGACGAGCCTGAGTATCTTCGAACACATCCGTGGCTTGGCAGTCCGCCTCTATCACCGCACCGCGCGAGGGCTGTTTCTTCTTATTTGCTTTTAGACCCCGTCCTCGCCCTCTTCTTCCGTTTTGAGTTGTCTCCCATCTTCACTCGTGTGCAACTTGTTTCCCCTCCCGACGAACAGGATTCAAATACAAAGCACTGGTCTGCTTTTGTGAGATCATCGCGCTCTCGCTTCCTTTCCTTCACCTGCCTTCGTCAGTCCTTACTAGACTTTCATTAATACACACACCTTTTTAATCAACGGCAGGCCGCTTCCAACTATTCTTCACGACTCGCCGGCTCGATCTACAAGGAATTCACAGAGAGGAACTAAACAAAACCAACAATCTAATCACCAATATCAAAAATGGCTAGCATATCACTCAAGAGCGCCCTCGTGGCTGCCCTGGCTGCTGTTGCCACCGCGATGCCCGCTGCTCCCCGGTTGACGGACCGCCAGCTCAAGATCCACCAGGCTATGAAACGCCAGCAGGCTGCTGGCCAGGCTGCTGGTATCACCGATCCCGATATCCTGCAATTGTGAGTCCCTCCCCAAGCCGGCACAGGCTCATCAGATCGGACAAGAATCCTTGCTAACCATTTCACACAGTGCTTTGACCCTGGAGTGGCTCGAGACCACCTTCTACCAACAAGGTCTCGCCGCAGTGCCCCAGCAGCAGTTCCTCGACCTCGGCCTCACCCAGCTTCAGGTTCAGGATCTCGTCTCCCAGGGCAAGGAGGAGGAGACCCACGTCCAGCTCCTTCAGGGTGCTCTCGCCCAGAAGGGTGTCCAGCCGGTGCAGCCTTGCCAGTACAACTTCGGCCAGTCTTTCTCGTCTGCCACGGCAATGCTTCAGACCGCCGTCACCCTCGAGCAGGTCGGTGTCTCTGCCTACCTGGGCGCTGCCCCTCTGGTCTCCGACAAGAGCATTCTGGGCACGGCGGCTTCTATCTACTCGATTGAGGCCCGTCACCAGACCTTCACCCGTGTGGCTTCCAAGGTCGCTGCCTCACCCAACTCCTTCGACACTCCTCTGTCGCCCAAGCAGGTCTTCTCCTTGGCTGCTCCCTTCATCGCCAGCTGCCCTCAGGGAAGCAACCTCGCCTTGACGGCGTTTCCCAACATCACCATGACCAATCCTGAGGTCACCGCCCAGATCGCCGCTGCCAGCCCCCAGCAGCTGCAGCTTCAGAGCACCGCGACCGGCGCCGCGGCATGTGCCTTCTCTTCGGGCGATCTGCCCACCGGCACCGTGTTCACACAGTTCGCCAACGGAGCCTGCGCAACCCCCCAGGGCTTGTCTGGTGTTGTCTACGTCAACCTCGTCACCTCGATGCCCGCCGACTCCAAGATCACGGACGATATCATCGCTGCTGGTCCCATGGTCCTGACCCTCTCTTAAGGATTACGACCATGGAGTTCACTTTCTTTTTTTCCTTTTTTCACCAGGGAGATGGTGTTGACGGGAGACCGAGCATGGACTATAGAGGACGGACAAACCCCAAGCCCCAGTTTTATTTCGATTCGTTTCTTTATTATTGGGCGGACAACCTACGCAATGTCCACCTCTAATATCCCGCCTGTCATGTGTTCACATTTGAGTGGATGCTAGCTGGTAGGTAGCCTGTTTATACCATTATATATATATTCCCCTGGGGTTTGGGGGTCCTGTCCTCGTCCGCTTCGTCGTCTCCAATTGGTCGTGGTGGTGTGGGTGGGATAACTAGAAGATACCCAGATCGTGATCTCTACAGTAGCTAGTTGATCTTGAAAAACACTTCAATAAATTGTTTCCAATAATCTTCCTTCTCGCCTTTTCGCTTGACCTTGCAAAGAATTTACGCAGCATTGGCGGACGCGAAGCTCTTAGTGACCTAGACCCTTACAACGGCCGGCTGTGGCAGGCCGTGGCCACGAAAGCTTGGCTCTGGAAGCCAAGCTGACCTTCTCAGTAAGCACTATAGTGTTGCTTAGCTGCTTACGAGCACACCAGGCAGGTGGGCCTTAATCAATCCGTACCGAAACCTGCCAGTAAGCCGTCGATGATGCAGGCCGTGTGTGCCAAGCCGTCACACATATAACCCACCAGAATGTCCGGGGTCGATCAAACAGCTTCGAGGGAGTGGGTGCGCGCCCTCCAGTCTTGGGGAGCGGGGGGGCCCAGCCAGCCCTGTCACAAGAAGAAGAAGAAAGAAAGGACCAAACCCAATTAAGACACTAGGGAAAAGTTGCTCGGGGAATTCTCGAGAAGTCCTGCGACCGGAAATCACGGGCAAATATGGTGCCAATTGGCTTGTGGAGGGAAATGCCGTCCGTCGTTCGCTGTCCATTTATGCCGACTTTGCCTGTGGTGGTGCTCAGGCCTCTAGGCAAGGCACATTTCTTGATCGTCAACGGCTCCATGTCGAAATTTGAGGCAAGATACATGTCGGGACTTTGAATTTCACCTTAGCCGACATCCTCATCCTCATCTTGATCCTCGTCATCACCATGGCTGCATGCATGTCAATCACAATGCATCCACGCATACACACTTACACATACACACAGACAAACGCGAAAGGTTCCGGGAGATGAGCAACGTCACCCGCATGCCCGTATATTCTTGGACGAGGATGTTGAGACCGGATGGGGCGCGATCCTGATCTGACTAGATTGATCGATTGTCTGATTAACCTGGGTTGCGTGTGCAGCTTCCCGCTATCTAAGTTCAGATGGGTGACGGGGGGAAGAAAGTCTTGGGCCCGGGCGATCTACCGTTCCGAGACGACACCAGTCCTGCTCGAGTGAGAGACATATTGAAAGGCCATCGAATCCTGCCGCCGGGTTCGCGGAGCAAGTTATTTTTGCCATCTTCTGTTCTCCAGCTACCTTACTGCAATGCATTCCGCATTTGGCAATCCGGGATCAAAGAAATGGCAAGACTAAAACATTTTGCCTCGATGCCGCGCACCGAGGACTCGACGGTACTATCCCGAGAGACTAGGTTGGCTTCATTCACAACGTGTGCATGGACATAGGCCACAAGCAGAATGTCATCAAAAAGGTCATAAATTGGTATTTTGCTCCGCCGCTAACCATGAAGAACCCGCCATGAAATACTATGGCAAAACAGAATACTCCGGCCCAGCCCACGGGATGTACAGCATAAAAGAAACAAGGAACTTTTTTCTTCCCAGCATCATAACATCAAGCTCATTAGATGCCCAGTGATTTACCACCAGTCACCCTGGTCCCTCATGGCCTCCGCGACCTTGACGAAGCCAGCAATGTTGGAGCCAGCGACGAGCGAGGGCAGCTCTCCGTCCTTGCTCTCGACGTACTCCTTGGCAGTGTTCAGGCCGTTCTCGAAGGCGTCCTTCATGATGCCGGCGAGCTTCTGGTCGACCTCCTCACGGGTCCACGACAGCCTCTGGCTGTTTTGGGCCATCTCCAGACCCGAGACGGCAACACCACCACAGTTGGCCGCCTTGCCGGGGGCGTACCAGATGCTGGCAGCACCCTTTGACTGCCTGTCGGCCTCGAAGATGTCGATCGCATCCTGTGTGCAGCCCATGTTGGAGCCCTCAGCGATGAACTTGCAGCCGGCGGCGACCAGTGCCTGGGCCTCCTCCTTGGAAACCTCGTTCTGGGTTGCGGATGGCAGGGCGACGTCGACCTTGCCGACGTGGACCCAAGGTCGGGCGCCCTCGATGTACTTGTACTTGTTGGCGTCGGAGGCGGTCGCGACGAAGTCAGTCAGAGCCTTGTGCTTGAGCTTCAGGCCGGCGATGGCCTCGATCTCGGCGGGCGCGAAGCCAGACTCGGCGATGAGAGAGCCCTTGGAGTCGGAGAGGGAGACGACGGTGGCGCCGAGCTCAATGCACTTCAGAGCCGCGTACTGTGCAACGTTGCCGGAGCCGGAGACAGCGACACGCTTGCCCGCCCAGGAGCCGGCGCCAGCGTACTCCAGCATGTGACCAACGTAGTAGACGAGACCGTAGCCAGTGGCCTCTGTTGGGCGAGTTTGTTAGCTTTCATATTCCAAGTGACCACTCAATTGTCAGGGCAAACGTACCAGGTCGGATCAGACTGCCGCCCCAGTTAAGGCCCTTGCCAGTCAGAACACCCTCGAACTTGTTCTTCTCCTTGCGGTAAGTTCCGAACATGTAGCCAATCTCGCGGGCGCCGGTTCCGATGTCACCAGCGGGCACGTCGGTGTCGGCACCAATGTGCCTCTGCAGCTCGCGCATGAAGGCGACGCAGAATCGGCGGATCTCGTTGTCGGACCGGCCCTTGGGGTCGAAGTCGGAACCACCCTTGCCACCACCCATCATCACTGTGATCATGAAGATTAGCGTCAATGTTCACTCACAGTATTGGCTGGTGAGCACCCAGTGATATGGCTACCCAGGAGAATCACTCACATCCAGTCAGGGCATTCTTGAAGATCTGCTCAAAGCCCAGGAACTTCAGGATGGACAGGTTGACGGTGGGGTGCAGACGCAGGCCACCCTTGTAGGGGCCCAGGGCCGAGTTGAACTGCACTCTGTAGCCACGGTTGACCTGGACATTGCCCTGGTCATCCTCCCAGAGCACGCGGAATTGGATGACACGCTCGGGGATGGCGGCGACCTGCAGGGCCTTGCGGTACTCAGGGTTCTTCTTGAACAGGGTGCTGTTCTCCAGAGTGGAGGCGAGCTCGTTGTAGGCCTGCTCGAACTCGGGCTCGGAGGGGAGGTTCGACATGTTGGGCAGTGGTATGTGCAAGAGTTGTAGGGAGGAGGATTTACAGCAAGCAGGTGAAGTGTCTGTAGTGGCAGAAACACGAGAGAATGGCAGAGGTTCAGGCCGAGCTGGGCTAGATATTCACACAGAGACACAGAAGTCAAGAGTTCAGAGGTGGGCAATGTGAGGAGGAGGAAGCCGCGAGGAAGGAGGTCTTATTATACCTATGGAAACCTCGCAGCACCGACCCAGTATGTCATTCTGTGAGCTGAATCTAACGGTCATTGCTTCCCCGGCCGTGTGGTGCTCGTCGGGGCTAGCGAATTAGGAGGTCTAGGATGTCTAGTGCATCTTCGCAGCTGGCCGATGGGCGAGGAAGTCAAATCAGTCCAGGTTCGCATTTCCGTGGGTGTCATGTCATAGCCACTGCTCGGTGGGGGTCGCACTGGGAACGCCGTCTTCGCAGTCGGACCGTCGGGTCGGGGTGGTGGTTGTTATCTTTGATATTCATGAGCCTCATGTGGGTGGTTAAACAACAGCGTTACGTGGGCAGGTGGGAGAGCACACAGGGCCACCCAAAATGCATGGTGGGGTCCTTGAGCTAGCTGCACCTGCAGGGATGGCTCTCTCCCCCGGCTCCCCACCTTCTACATGCATATCAGATCAGACTCGCCGATTGCGGCATTGACGTTGTGGGCGCCTGCTGAAGCCTGTCAGCAAGTGAGGTATTATGGGGCACTGGCCAAACCAATTGCGCCTTCCACAGTACAGAGACAGAGAACACAGCACCTGCCATACTCGAGCTGCGCCCAACACGTCCAATTGACCTTCCCAATTGTCCGAGACCATCTCCTGGAGCTCTGGGAAGTGTCATTACGCAGGTGCTAAGCTAGCTATCTTGATCTGTGCCCAGTTAGCTAACCTCTGCCAGCTTATCTCTACCCAAGTTGTCCGGGAAAGGCATAGCCTTGGAGGAAAACTTAGCTAGGCACGGCACGAGGTGGACGGGAGCGTCAATTACAGTACGGTTACCGTATGTGGACTATCCAGTTAGCACTACACTATAAACCTGCGTCTCACATGCACCCATAATACTACTAGCATACCACGCGGTGGCCAATACCCCTGGGCCAAGAAAAAAAAGAGAGATCGCCCTCGAGCTTGACCAGATCTTATCGCCAGCTTGTGATTCGCCTCTCGCAGCTGTTCCCGTTAGCTGGATGAATTTGAAGCCTTTTACGCCATACTTTCCAGGGTCTAGCTACCAGGGCTTGCAACCTACGTAGGGGAACCACGGGTCAGCGAGCGATCACGGAGGGCCCAGCGCCAGGAGAAAGACTGGAGATGCACCATCCTTTGCAAAACGCCAATTCATGTATGGCCCAGATGACCCCGTCCAGGCCCCTTCCCAGACGTCGAGGCGAAACACCGAGATGAAAAATTTTCCCTGCATCTTCCGAGCCACCTCGACAAGAGAGGGAATTCCCGGAACTGTTCCGTCGGCCTGCACATCGGCCTCTCCTCCTGGCGAGACTGCGAGACTACACAGACCTGACTGCTCACGCGCGTACTGCGCGTTAATGCCTCCGCACTCAATCCGGGGTACGGTACGCCCCCACATTCTCTCTCTCTGCCCACGCGCCGCCTCCCCAGGCACGTGCCAGGGACGAACCTTCACCATCGGGTCTTCGAATACATGGCATTCGTGATTCTTATAGGTCGTCGGCTCCGACAAGCTCCACGTCGGAAATCGAACCTCCCCTCGGATATCAAGCCTTCACTGCCCACCTGCGAAAACGGCTCTCAGATGATTAACACGGTAGGCATGACTGAAAGATATTATCAGTATATTATCCCCTGCACTATCCGTCCACCATATCCGTACGCCAACCTGGTCCTCGAACAAGCGCCGGACCCTTCCAGAACGCCATCTCGAAATAATTGCCTCTTCGTTCATGCATGTACGTCCCCGCAATAATGATGCCAGACCAACCCTCCCACAAGCCACGGCCGCCGTTCAAAACTGATGCCGCCCATCATCGTCGTCTGCTTACCAAATCGCCGCCTGGTCAAAGTCAAACCTCTGGAGCTCCTTGTTCCCGTCCTCCAAGTCCTTTTTCGCCTTCATGCGCATGTAGAAGATCGGACAATCTTTGCTGCTGCAGATGACCTCGCAGTGCATGCTCCCCTGGCAGCGCTGGCATTGCGTCCACAACCGTCCAAAACGCACCTCCAGGTCCGACACCTTGTCCAGCGTCTTCTTGTACAGCTCGCCCACACGAGGCGCGTCGTCGGCGCAGACTGCGCCCTGGGATTCTTCCTTGCCCGTCAGCGGCTTCTTGCAGCCCATGCAAGTCTGCGTTTTCTTGGCAAACTTCATCAGCCCGCCGATCGTTGGTGCTGCCACCGCGATCGACCGCGTGTGCGCGCCAGCCAGCAGCGACTTGGCTTTCGTCTCGCCCAGTATGGGCTCGAAGATCCGGCCCAGGGGCTTCGCCAGCTGGTTGTCCAGGTAGTATTTCGTATCAATGGGCACATTGTGCTCGAGAACGTAGATGGGATCCTCCGAGTTCTCAAAGTTCTTCGAACCGGCCGCCCCCTTGACCATCACGTAGGCGACACGATCACCCAGCCCAGGTGCTGAGCCTGCGTCGCGCTTTTTCATCCGGTGCGCTAGCTCGACATGCGCTTGCTTCGCGGTGTAGTCATCCTTGGTAAGGGCTTTGGTGATGACGAGCTTGGACATGTCCACCTTGTTCTGCAGCAGGTCTGCGATCGTGTCCTTGACATATCTATTTCAAAGTTAGTCAGCGTGGGCCAAGCCAGTATATGTGATTGCGTGGTTGCTCACTCTTGGGCTCCTGGGACATCCCGGTCGATCAGGATCATTCTGAGTACCTTCTCGATGACAGTCTGAACAAGGAGACAGTTGTCACGTCTGACGGTTTCGATACCCTTGGTGTCCATCTTGTCCCACTTCTCTGGCTTCGTCCAGTATAATCCGGCATATCGCTTTTTGTTGATCAGCAGATACGGGAAGTAGACCTTCTCGAACTCTAGTTTGATCGGCTTGACGAATTTGGCCGAGACGTATTGCGACGCGTCTTCACCGAGTTTCATGGCTTCTGCAAGGTCTGTTGTGCCGAATTTGACCATCACCGAATCGGTGTCACCATAGATGACCTGCGCGTCATGAGAATAACCGTTCGCGATATTGTACTTTGCCTCCACTTCGTTCTTGGTCTTTTCGATCATCTGACGACCAAAACTTGTGGTACTACTCGCAATTTCCAAGCATGGCAACTTTCCGTTACTTGCACCTGTGAGACCGTAAACAGAGTTTGCGCTGATTTTCAAGGCTAGCTGGCGACCGTTCAGCACGGCCTTCTTGAACGGGTCTGTCTCGGCACTCAATTCTCGCTTGGCTTGTTTTCTTGCAGACAGCAGTTCCTCGAGAATTTGCGCCAAAAGTCCCTTTCTTTGTTTCGTCGTCACAAACAGGTCCCCGTTGGGTGTGACGATGTAGTCTTCGTCTTTCTTCAGATTGAATGCGTCAACTGCCTTCTTCGAGACCAGTGTTGTGTAGCACAGATTGTGTGCCTGGATAATACTGGGATAAAGCGAAGCGAAATCAAGTGTCGCTATTGGGACGTCGTAGTAGCCACGGGTTGGCTCAATGACCGTTGCGCCTTCATACTGATCTTCGCTCCCTTCGCCTTTCAGGTCCGGAATCACCAGCTTCTGCTCGAGGGCTTTGCGGAAAAGCTGGCTGATGAACTTGACTTGCTGGCCACGTGATAGTAGAAAATTGAATGGCACACCTGTGACTCTCGCCATCTCGGTGTAGTTTTCAAGACAAGATAGTTTGTCCATCAACCTTTGCGGGAGGTACGCATCCTTTAGGCAGTAAAGTGCTAACCGTCTTCGGGACTCAGGTGTACCGTTGAAGAGTTCGGTGATCATGGTATGGTGCACATCTTCCTTCTGCTCCCCGAGGAAATGTGAGGACACAGAGTTCAATGTGTAGCTTCTGAGGTTGTGGTCACGCTGGATGAGCTGCAACAAGTCCAGTTGGAGCCGACCATTCGTATTTGTGGCTTTGGTGTCACGGTTGCCCATCTGTTTGCTTGAAAAGTTGGTCTCTTTTGCCACTGATTTCACCGATGGGATTCGGGACCAGTATTCGAAGCCCTTGACCTTGAGATGTTTCGCGCGGTCAAGAAGATAAGGGAAATCGAAGTTCGCAATGTTGTAGCCAGTGATGATGTCCGGATCCACTTTGTCGAGGAAATTCCGCCATGACATCAACATGTCTTCTTCCTTTCCAAACTCGAGGATCTGAGTGGCAACGATAGAGCTGGTAGTGTCCAGACAGAATACGTTGCGAATGAATGGCTTCTTCTCTCCATACTTGGTTACGACGTTTGCGATCTGAATGACAGGGTCGTGATTGGCTTCTGGGAAGATGCCCTTGCGTCCAGCACATTCAATGTCGAAGGACAAGATCCTCAGGGGAGCCATTTTTGACCACTCGCCCGTGGGCTTATGCGCTATTAAGTCAAGGTAACTGCATTCTGCCTCAAGCTGGCAGTTTGATTGCCGGTCACGCTCAGGAATCAGCTGGTATTTGCTGGCTGGGACTTCAACCCAGGACATTCCGAAGATCTAGCAAAGGTCAGCTGAGTAACACCAGATGGACGAGTATGACAGCGCACCTTGCAATCCACCATGAACCTCAAGAGGTACTGGATGTTGTCGAAGGTGAGGATCTGACCATCGCCAGATTTCCACAGGCCCTTCCAGTTGGCATTACATGATGTTATAGTTGTTCGAACCCTGTTGATGAACTTGGGATCTGTTACGGTGATTTTCAGGAATGGATTCTGCGTGTTATTCTGGAAGCCGTAGATGTTCTCTCGCATGAGCATCTGCACAGAGTGAATGACGGGCTGGTGCTGGGCGACCTGAGTCTCCAGGTAGGCCCGGAACGGTATGCAGTCCTTGTCTGAAAAGCCAACCGGCGCCGCAACAAAGAGATAATGCTTGAAGTCTCTGACATGCAGCATTACCGAGTTACCATCCTCAGTGACACCGAATAGTTTGACAGTGGGGTTGCCACCATGGAGTGTTCCTTCCTCGGCATCGATCTGTTGGAAACACAGGCTGGAGCTCCTGTGATCGAAGTGCTGCGGGATGGGCGGTCGGTCCCATGATTGGTCCTTTTCTGTGTTGTTTTGCTTGAGCTCTGAAATGTCTTGGCTGAGCTTCTCTAGAACCTCAGCCTCAAAGGTGCTCTTCGGCTGGGTGGAGGCGATCTTGGTTGCCTGAGAGCTGGCGAAGCGAGGAGCAGGAGAGGATGAGAAGTGGTCTGTCTTCTGCTTTTTTGAGGCGACCGGCGCAGCGGGAATGTTCCGTCGAGCACTGGACGTCTCGCCCAAAATGCGCTTGTTGGACGCCATGACAGCTGCAGGCATGGTGATGGATGATGAGGGCGGGCAAGTCGACACGGGCTGGCCGTGAGAACAGTTGGAAAACGAAGACAGTTACTGCTCTAAATCCACATGGAAAGGACAGAGCTTCGGGGACTAAACTGGCGTGAGTTGTTTAAGTCAAGCTTTTCTAGTCTGTCACTTCGACGTTTGTTGTGTGCACCCTCACAAAGAGAAGAGAGGCAACATCTAAAAGTAAATGGGCCAGAACGCGTCTCAATGTGCAGCTCAGGGTGTGACGTGAACCGCGTCTGCCCCACTCAATTTATCAGGGGTGCTGCAGCATGAATCTAGCCAAACTTGCTGACATAACACCAGGGTACGTATGGCTCGCGTCTCTCCTTGCAGGACGGCCCCCTGTACCTTAGTCATCAGTGCTGCCCGAACGTAAACCTCCTGCCTCCCAATGCAGCAACCAAGACCATCATCTGACAGCCCAATCCCTCGTATCTGAAGTCTGGATGTTTTGTATCAACTTCAATTTAGAAGGATCAGCACGGGGCAATCATGAGCTATCACTCTTTTGTTGCCGATTGCAGTCTCACCATAATCTTCTTTCGCATCACGATGGTTCTCACCTTGCCTTTGCATTCTGGACTGTGCTCGAGGTTAGATGCTTATTGACTCGAGTGGTGTCATGTGCTGGAATAACCAGTCATAGAGGTAGCTTTATCATGGCTAGTCTCGTTCCAATCTGGGAACTCTGACATGTGCCGCGTGTCACTGTCCAACCGATTCCTGTCAAGCAAGACTTCATGCAAGGAACAATCTCGAGATCTAGTCTCATGTTACACATCCTGTGGCAACCCTAATCGCATTTGAGGTCGTACCGTCTTGGTGACCTTTACCCAAGTTTCGACCTCATTTTGCCCAAATTCTGCCGGCTGCTGTGCCTGGCCAGGTACGATTTCAATCATATTATCTCCCTTCCCTAATTTTTGGTCTACACCGTGCATTGTGAGGCTGATCAAGCTCCTTGGTAGATGGATTAGAGAGAGGTGATTTCAATTTCATTGTGGTGTGGTTGGCCCGCATTGGTTCAGGAACATAATACTTTACTGCGAACTACATCTCCCTCCAAGTGCGCTGTCAGTGAGTGAGTCTTGTTCCTAGACATATAATGCTCCATTCCCGTGCATATTTGGAAGTGCTTCTTGATGATTGAATTTGCGAGAATAGAGTAGGCAAATGCTGTTGCCAACTTGTACAAGTATAAAATAGTCCAAGCCACGTGTGGTGACATATAAGTTGGTTGGAACAGCAAATAGGAGCAACAAGTAGCCTTGGGGCAAGTATTGTACTGGGGGCAGGGGCTCCTAGGCCTGTCAGTGCTAGTCCTACAGGGGATAGCCCCGCTGGATCTTGCCAAGCCCAGGGCCGTACCGGTAGCTATTAGCTAGTAAACATAGCAACAACAATCACATAGCTGGAATTCTCGCAGCCGACCTTGTTACACCTTTACTTACAGCAATTACAGCACCTGATTATCGAATCATCTTTATTTCTTCTGTGGAATTTCAGGCTTTATCATGACTGACCGATACGGCCATCCCCGCCAGACCGTCTTTGGTCGGAGGCACGCGTCGGCAGCCGCGACAGTCTCATACTCAGACACAAGACAAACTCATCCTTCAGCACCGCCCGCCGCGCAGCAATCACAAGCAGGGCCCTCCACCACCTCCTCGTCCAACACAGGCATCCGCAGAAATCTCTTCCAGGGCCAGCTGACGAGGCGGCCCACGGCAGGCCCTGGCAGCAGCAACCCTAATGAACCAGTGGGGACGACCAGGAACGCGGGCGCCCTTGGGGCCATGGAGGTAGAGGAGGACGAGTCTGCGTCGTCGGACATTGTCGTTCGCGACAAAAACGGGGAGGTCGAGCTGGATGAGCCGCCGATGCTGGTGGTGGACGACCCGGACGAGATCGCGCTGGACATGAGGCAGGAGAACGAGAGTGAGCTAGTTGCACTGCACAGACGAATGATATTTCATAACCTCCAGGTGGCCCGGGGCTGACCAAAAGCTGTCACAGAGGAGAGGCAGAGACTCGCCGATGCGGTGAAGCACCATCAGAACATCGTGAACCAGAATAGTGTTCCGGCTCAGCCAGAGGGTGAGTACTGACTACAACGCCACTTCACTACTTACTCTACTCACGCATGACTTCAAAGAATTGTTCGAAGCCGTCAGGGCCAGTCTCAGAGCCAAAGTCGCTGCATTGTCAGAAGACAATTGGATGTATGAGAAGGAGGATGAACCACGACTAGTCTGAGACAAGACGGGATCACTCGACACCTCTCCTTTAGCGACCTTTCTATGCTGCTTTTGGGTATCATGTATCATCCGTCAACAAAAATACCAATATCAGCCAGAACTCTGGCTATCTGCCTTCCTAATCTAGACCCTCAGCACTTGGGGCCTCGACCCGCCTAGCAGGTGGCTTCCGCGCCCCGGCACCACCAGCACCACCACCAGGCGCGCCTCCGAACAGGCTACCCATCATGTCAAACAGAGGGTTGCTTTGCCGCGGTCTTTGGATACCAAAATACATCTCGGCGATCATCTCGAGTGACTCGTCCCATGCCCCGACCTCCGCTATGTGCGTCGCGTACTTAGCCTGCAGCTGCTTGAACAGGTCCGGGCTGCCCTTCTGCACGGCGAGCAGCAGCAGCCCCAGGAAGTTCAGCAGCGGCAGGCTGGGGAAGATACGCACGTCCGCACTGCCCGAGCTGACGTCCTGCACGCCTAGTCCAGCGCCCTTCTCCTCGCTAAGTGCGGACGCGAAGGCCCTGTAGGACGTGTTGGCCGCGCGCACGTTGGCGACTAGGAGGTAGGGCAGCACCGCGCGGGCGCAGTACAGGGCGGCCGTGTGACTGTCGTCCTCTTTATACCACTCGTACTCCATGCGCGTGAGAACCTCAGCCGAGTCGCGCGTACCCAGGACCAGGTGGCGCTCTGCCTCGTATGTCTCGTGTTCCGAGGCGTACAGGCTGCCTGCGACATGGTGCAGTTCTGGATCACCTGCGGGGTAGTCGCCGAACTTGGAGGACCATCTGTTAGGCCGTTCGTGTTAGCTACCGTGATCACCGTGTGTGGCTGGTGAGCTGCGAAATGCAGGTGTCGTGGTCGAGAAGACGGCAATAGGTGGGTTGAAGAGTTGAAAACAGAGATGGACTCACGCAATCATCTCGCCGACGAACTTCTTCCTCGTAGGCTCCCCGCTCTGGAACAACCGCAGGCACGTCAACAGCCTGCCTCTCGAGGTGGCGTCCGGTTTCAGCTCGGCCTGCTTGTACACATCGACCAGAAACACGCAGAGGTCGCCGCCACTGCCTCCCTGGCCGGCCTTGAGCAGTGACTGCGACACATTGTAGAGAATTTCGATCGCTGCGCTCCAGTTCGAGGCCTTGATGTACCGCGCTGCCACCACTCGGGTCTGTTGCTGGGCTTCGTAGTACTGCCCCTCTTCGATGCGGGCCTGCAGCCGGGCGATGATCTTTTCGATCTTGTCGGCTTTGGAGGTTGCCATGTTCGGGTCGGGTAGGACAGGAATGCTCTGAAAGGATGCTGCTGCACAGCTAGAGAGGATGTGTAGGAGGTTCGTTTAGGTGTCCGAGAAGATGAAATGTGCGAGGGCAATCGTCACAAGATGTCATCAGTCAAGCTGTTTCCGAGCAAGGAGCTCCAGCCCCTCCAACGCAGCTGTGCCAAAGACAGGGTTAGGGTTAAAGCATTGTTTAAAGTTGTTTGCCTGTCCAGCACTTGCTTCGCCACTTTATCAACAGCAATAATGAGCAAGTGTCAGATTGTGAGATCTGTAGTCCTCTATGAGAATTATGTTTTCCTGTTGTCCAAATATTATGTCCTCACCCAATCTGGAAAGTTCAAACCTACAATGCCATCAAAGTCTGCGAGCGTTTGAGCCTTACTCCAGTCTCTTCTGATGGGCACTTTCTCTTCAGAGCTCAGAAAGCCGTAGAACACATCTCACTTATATCTGTGAACAAAAGGCAACGCTGATCTTAGAGATGATTCCGATCAGCAAATCCGTCTCCACCATCCAGGTTGGCGACATGAAGAGGTGCCTGGTGTATTTCTTCGCATCCGAAGGGATCTCGGAAACAGATCACATCCAACCTCTGTTTCCCAGGAACAGCAGCGAGGACTTCTGCAAGCCCAAAGCTCTTCTCCCATCTCTTTCGAGGAATCGCTGGGCACATAGCATGGTGACCCCTTCATTAGTAGGCTGCAGATGCGACACATCAAGGAAATCGGAATCTTCTCAAAAGGCCGTTCTGTTGAAAGCGACGCATGGGCCTGATCAGATATGGTAATGTGTGTACCGCCTTCCGAAGTCAAACTTTAGAGTATGCCCCCTCCGAAAATTTGCACATAATTGCATTGAAGCGCAAGTAGTTGCCTGGGGTCGTTTGGCTGCATCAACCATTACCTTTCTTCACCGGTGTGATCGATCCTGCCGAGAACTTTACCTTGTGTGATCCAGAGCTCGTTGCGTGGAGTGGCTGCGAGCAGGAATGAGCCGCCAAGGAAATCGAGGAGGATTTACGTGACGCTGCTGAGCTGTCGGTTCAGTACTGTTTTCTGGACTCGTCACGAACCATTCCCGTCTGAAGGAAGATCTTTCATCATTTTTTTGGCAACCACAGCTGGAACCAATAAAGCATATGTTAACCGTGCTCATATTGCAATATATCATTAGCTTCACAACATCAAGCAGCTTCTCGATGAGCTTTGAGAAATTCTTATCCATCAATGACTGACCAGCCCTCAGATAAGTAACCTGCTACTCACGGATCTATATCTGGAGAAAGCCGCAATGGCTTAAGGAGCCTCGAACTTCTTTAGATATCTTCTTGCTGGAACATGAATTGAAGCGCTCGAGCCGACGGCGCACGGCCTTGCCCTCGGGTGGTTCTTTGGTGTGTCTTCAAGTTTGCAGATATCCTCGAATCCGGCAGTCTGGCTGCTGAGAACCCATAGTCTGCTATGGAAAGAGAGAAAGCCAGTCAAGGGGACTGAAGACAACGGCGGATAGAACATGCACTTCAGAAGAGCGGACGCAAATGAATTCAACTGAGAAGACATGCAAATCATCTGGGATTTTACTTTTTCTTGCCGAATGGGTTGCCAGCCGAGTGCTAAAAGCCATATGAGGGCCTTCGTCGGTACACTGAAATCTGCCTTCGGCTCTCAGACCACGACGGTCGAGCTCTCGAATGCCCAGCAGTGGCCCAAAATTACAGAAAGCCTATTGAAGTATTCAAGATTATGAGCCTCATACGGGTCCGCATAACAAGGGCGCGACTCCATCATCTTCTTCCAGAATCCGATCAACCAGGTGGAGCATCTCATCGCCGGCGAGATTGGATGAAAGTTAGGTCCGACTCATGGGATCCCGTTCTAAGAGCAATATCTCGTCGATGTTGGCTAGCGAGTGCTCGGCTCCAGTGTGGGCCGACACGTCCAGCATATCCATACCTTGGCTGTCAAGACAGTCGGGCTCATTTGGACTCGTGATGCCCCATCCTGCCGGCTGAATGGTATTTGATCCACTTGGCCCGCTCAGGTACTGCTTGGTTGTCTTGCTCCTGCTAGACGGATCTAGGACATGACCTTTTGAGAAGTGCTACGTGAACGATTCCTCTCAGAATCTTTGTCGTCATTCGGCTCGATTAATCAAGTGCGTAGACCAGTCGTGATGAGTGAGACAGACAACGCACAATCCATTTTTTGTGAGCAGTGGGCAAAGACCGTTGTTCTGTCCCTGCCAAGCCTGGATGTTGAAATAAGGTTTAGGGCATTGTCTGCTGAAGTTCGGCTACAGCTGCCACTTAGAACACGCTTACTAACACTTGAAGTGGACGTCCGTGGCTGGCTGCGACTCATTTAAATACTGATTCGTCCGCTGCGCTTTCAACCTTGTCAAAATATCGCTGGAATCGGAACACTAAAGAAGCGAATCCCAACTTCCGTCCAGAGTATGACCAGGTCAGGTTGATAAGGTGCACAGCTATGGATCGCTCCATCTCGAGTAACAGGTCCTATCAAGCTCATCCATGCTCCTTACTGAACCAGATCTCGCCCTCTCCATGCCCATCCCCCTCGATGAGCGTCAGCCTAAACAGGCTCAAATACTAAGGTCGTGGGGACCACAATGCCATTGTCAGCTCGGTGCTGCTGGATAGTGTCGCATCTCTGTCTCCGCTTCGCCATGTTCGGGTCAATAGCGCCGTGCCATTCTGGTCCAGATATGGACATAGAACACGATACAGTCCAGTCGATTTGGAAGGACTTTGGCCTTTCCTCCAAAGATTAGGAGGAAGAATGAGAATCTGCTATCAATACGCTCGTCTTCTAAAATTGCATGAGCGCCACGAAACGATACAGTTCACGAGGCACTGACGAGGCTCGGCGGCCATCTGCCTGTACGGTTCCTACTGTCTATGATGATAGACGTCGCGGGAGACTGTTTCCGCCTGTTTGAGATCCATGCGGCCTTGGAGCATCGTGAGACCCAGCTCTACCTTTGCAGCATAGCGGGGCATGCCGCAGAGCTCAGCTACCCACTTTTAGGTACCCACAGCATCCACCGAGATACTGCAACGTTCTAGAACACATTATGGACGACCGCAAAGACACATGCTCACTGGCACAGCGTGAACAACAGTCTTAAGCTTGGGCCACTCTGCTGGCTCCCTCCCGTGAGTCATCGCCAACAATTGCCCAACGGCTACCACTCACAGGACTGCCCGTCATACCGCGGCCTCCCCTAAATTGCAGTTCCGATAAGACCCTCCCTTAACCATGAGTCCTGGGCTATAGGATCCGCTGACCCGTAGCGGTGTGCCCGTTAAAACACGCTGATATCATATCAATGGCAGGCTGTCAGTGAGCCGTGAACCGTGGTATCGTCGTTCGCCCCTTTTCCTCGGTGGATACCTCTCGAGTATGCGAACCAAATTCACAACGAAGAAGCTATGACCAGTCAGGTCTAATTTTGGTGGTCTCCACGGATCGGGGAGATCTAGGAACGGAATTTTTTCTTCTTGCCAGTTGGTCAGCGCGCTCAATTTTGGACTTAGCACTGACAGGTAGGTTGGCGATGTCCAGCTCGGGATGTGTTTATGAACTTGTTGCAATCTTGATCTACGGTACTATCTGGCTGCTGTTCCGCCATGAACAGCTATGTTAAGACGATAACTGGGTAAGGTCGACATGGCCCCGGAAGCAAGTGCTGGTCATCCGGTTCATGCGCTCTGGACTGGTTGTGAAAATCTTCCGCTCGACAGCGGAGCTCGGTCTTTGTTTGCGTGTTACGCGGGTGGAAGCTGTGGGTCTTGCGTACTTTCATGCCATCAAATCCTCCGAAGTCAAGGACCACCTTTGTGTCAGAACATCGAAGCCCTGTCTCTACATTTCGCCGGCTTCTGGGTCCCGAAGGCAACAGACCCAATGAGCTGTTGGATTCCATTTTTCTCACATGGTTCCTTGTTCCTGGAAATTATCCTCGCTGATTTCTAGAACCTTTATATGGATAGCCTGGCCTCTCTTCGAAGCTTGGTCTCTGAGAAGTGTTTCTCAGGTTGACAACTTTTCAGGCTCCTGACCTGCCTATACCACCTGCGTCTCGGGACAAGCCAGCCCACTAGGAGGTCCAATTGTTAATTTACAGGCAGAGTGATCCCGGTTACTCGGATCAGACAAGGAAACGCCCAAGCCGAAGAAAAGAAAGCCCCATAGCGGGCCGATCACAGACATGGCTGACGAGCCATCCAGTCAGTCGGTCGAGAGGATGGACCCAATTCCCGAATCTCGACCGGCCTCGCCAGCACAACCGGAACCGACACATCCACCGCCACGTCGTGAGGGGGGATTCGGAATGCCATCGGCCCTGAAGAGGACAAGTACTCAGCCGATCGAGGCGGAGAACACAGGGTCGTCGACTCGGCACCACCGAGGGCAGTCCGTATCTAACAGCCTACGACCGGTGGATTCAAATCGAAGTCGAGCACGAGCCGGGTCAACTACTAGCTCCCGCTATCGCAGAAGTGCCAATATGGAGCGGCAACCGACTTTCATGAATCCTGGGATGCGGAAGCGGACGACGACCTGGAACCTGAATGGGCCAAGTGCCCTTGGAGGGCGACCAGTACGCCGCAGGACGATACTTCTCGGTAATGGCGCTTCTTCCGCTGTCGATGTCGGAGATAACCATTCTGCGGCTGGATTTACACTCTCCGGCCCAGGTAACCCGCTCGAGTCTATCGTCGCAAACCAAGCGTACGTTGACCCTGGGTATACCGACCTGAATCCAGCTTACGAGCAAGCGACAAATAACCGTCCAGTGTGGGGTCTTGCAAAGCCTCTACCTCACGTTGTCCGTCCTGGCATGATTCCAACTCAGCGCGAATTCCGCGAACAAGCCCCAGGGCAGCTGCAGCATGAGCAACAAGCGCATGAGGAGTTTGACCTGGAGGCTGGCCGTGTCGAGTCGACAATCAATCCCCACAAGATCTCAAGTGCTCTTCAAGCAGCCCAACAAGACCGAGAGTTTAGACTGCTTAGGACTTACACGGGCCAGAGTTACACCGGTGGCTTTTCTGGACGCAAGGTTTCGGTGTCGTCGGGCCAAGGAAAGCCGTCGACGTCAGAGGACCTCGGAAAGCTGGACAAGTCTGACGCTGAACAAGCAACCCAAAGGGCCCGCCGCCAAAGTGTGACCGTTACTGAGCTTGCTTCAGTCGCCGAGCAGAAAACACCCGATGAAGATGATCACACCAACGGCAGAGGCTATTTCGAAAGCAGCCCTGCTCAAGGCGTGGAGACCATCGACAACGACTGGGTCGAAGATGAACAACTGGAGCCGTACGATCCGGAGCTCGATGAGATCCACAACCTCCACACCCACTGGTCCGTGATCCGTCTGAAGTTCCGCGAACCCCTCGCTGAGCTCCTCGCCGTCACATGTCAGCTCACCCTGGGCTTCTGCACCGATCTAGTCGTCACTTGCTCCAAGAACAGCTCTGGCAATGCTATATCCGCTGATTGGGCGTGGGGTCTCGCCGCCATGGTAGGCATCTATATCGCTGGTGGGATTTCCGGTGCGCATCTCAATCCGGCAATGTCAATTATGCTCTGGATCTATCGCGGCTTCCCATTGCGCAAGATTCCCTCATATGCCATAGCCCAAGTCCTTGGTGCGTTTCTAGCAGCGCTTATCTCATTCGGTCTCTTCCGCAATAGCATTGTCGAGTTCGCCAACACCGCAGACCTTGCCAACACCAACACAGCGTCCGCTTTCATCACGTACCCTCGCAACACGTGGATTGACCCTGTGACGGCGTTCTTCACCGAGTTTACAGGTACGGCCATCATGGCTGTCGCTATCTTAGCGCTTGGAGATGACAGCAACGCGCCTCCTGGAGCGGGTATGAACGCCCTGATCGTTGGACTCATCGTTGTAGTCATTTCGATGGCGCTTGGATGGAATACAGGGCTCGCCATGAACCCAGCTCGAGACATCGGACCGCGGCTAGCCCTCCTTGCCCTGGGCTATGGGACCGAAACCAGCTTTAACGGGTCCTACTGGTTCTGGGGGCCGTGGTGCGGGCCTATACTGGGCGCGATATTTGGTGCGTTCCTATACGATAGTGCAATCTTCGTCGGAGGCGAGTCTCCCGTGAACTACCCGCGGAAGAGAGTCAAGCGGGCGCTCCGCAAGAAGAAGAGCAAGTGGAACAAGCGCTTCCAGGTTGTCACTCGGGGCATTAAAGTCGGCCGTCCTAAGTACGCCAGCGACGATTGGAAATTCGAGTTCGATAAGGCGTCTTAAGATGCCAGTGTCGGACGTCTCGGTTCAAGAAGTGCTCTCATGAGGAGCCGTAATGCGGAAATACTCTCGTTTCCATCTTTTCCTATCCGCATCTCCGCTCATCCTTTCTAATCTCAACTTCGAGGTTTTTCTCAAGACATTCCCTACCAACCGATCAACACTCATTCAATCTCCTACCAGTTGCACGTTCCTTCGAAAAGTGGCAGCTGAGCTAGCTCACCAAAAGTTTTTTGATTCTCCTCAGGCAAGAGAGAGTGTTCTGCTGGTTCTCGTCGTTTACACATTATGCGTTTTATGTTTTTGGTTTCCTTTACTTGATACGTCACCTGTCTATGTCTTTGTTCGCAGCGTTTTGCATTTTGATTACTGGATTGCTTTAAGGACACGACACAGCACGACGCAATTTTTTCCTAGCATGGCGTTCATGGTTTCTATCTATTTAATGGCGTTCCCCCGGGTATGTCATCCGATCGGGCACCTCATATTGTCCAGCTGGAGACACAAACGGAATAGAATGGGATAGAGTGGGATATACGAGGCTAACATTGTGGCTGGGAGCGTCGTGCTCGATTTGGATGTCTAGGGTTTTCATTTAGACAGGTCAGGCATTGCTTTCGAGCATGTCTGTTGGACGACACACAGTTTTTCATATAGAAAATCGACACAGAACACTCTCTTTTGTCTACAATATTGTTTGCTCAGCCAGTTCTCTTGGTGACGCACTGACCTATCGCAAACTTAAGCTTCTGCTTCTGCTTCTGTGGTTTTGAGGCTGTCAATATGGTACCCTTGCTGACACATCCCTCCAGAAGTCACATCGCGACCCACGGCCGCCCTCCCAGGCCAGAGCGTCAACAAGGCGGAAGGAATTGACAATCCCAGCTCCAGTGCGCTCGTAGTAGCTCAGTTCTGGCGTGACCACAACTTGAGTCAAATCACCGCCCGTCGTGTTCAAATCCATCATGTATGGCTGCTCTACTGTGTACTGTGGCCAGTTGATATTCCCATATGTGCCTACGGGCGCAGTAGCATTGGCATATCCAGCAGTGGCTTCGTTAAGAGTGATTGTGGGGTTATCATGGACGATGAAATTACCCCAGACCTTTTGAAATGCCCGCCGAAAATCAGCACTGGGGGTTGTTGCGCCGACAGCGAAATAAGTACTGAGGTCTGCGCCGTGGAATGCCGGTGTTACAGAGTACTGGTACTTCCAGGCTTGCAAGTCGGCCTGGCTGAAGGCCTCGGCCAGCCACTGAGCAGGGCAGTCAAAGTTTGTCTCGCCTTGTATGTTGAAGGCGGTCTGCTGGATCCCGGTGGCCAATCCGGACTGTGTCAAGGCAGTGGGGCCTTCTGTCCCGAGAGTGTCGTATCGGATGCCAGAGTCTCCTGGAGCGGAATTGTTGATCTGATAGATACTGTTAAGCTGGTCGATGTCGAATTTGTCGAAGAGCGGAAAGCTGTTGGACACGAAGCTGTCGTATGCTCCCCTCGTCTTGACCCTTGGGTTGGTCAGAGGTACTCCTTCATTTGCGTTGTTCTTCGCGTAAAATCATGTCAGAAAAGCCTCGGTTTAGGATGATTTGGGAGTTTGTTAAGAAAAGGAGAAAGTGAAAGTTCAAGTCTTACCCCAACAAGTATCCTTTGTCCAGAAACTAAGCCCCTGAGCAGCTGCACTGATGGTCGTTCTTGAATATAATCCTGGTCGATGACGGGCAGAAAAGCCCAGCTACCATAATAGCCAAAGGACTCTGAAACGTTGCCACTGGCATACTGCAAGACCTCGCTCTCTGTTGCTACCAAGCACTCAAAAACACTCGAATATTGCTGAAGATGTGAACTGTTTTGGCCACAGCTTGCCAAATTGGCAAATTCATGGTAATAATTGGTCGGGATACTATCACGGTAGTCATAGATAGCATAGCTGTATGGGCTTGCTGCTATGATCTGAGGCAAAGTTAATTCCTTTGGTCTCTGAAGGGAAGTATGGATTTCTCACATTGCTGAAGAGATCAGGCTGCTTGCCGCCATATCCCAGAGCATGGAACAGAACTGAACCTGCTCCCGCGGACTCGCCACCGATCGTTACCCGACTAGGGTCGCCGCCAAATTTCGAGATATTCTCTTGGACCCATTGGAGAGCAAACCTCTGATCCAGAAGACCGGCATTCAGCTGGCCGTGGGTCTTCACTTCTTCTGATGCCAAGAAGCCGAATGCGCCGAGTCTGTATTGGATCTCCACGGTGATGAAGCCATTATCATTGGTATTCATCAATACACTTGGGTCATATAGGGCTCCGAAGTCTCCATATCCTCCTCCGTCTAGTAAAACATGCCGCTGTCAGCTATCGTCGTCGGCCCATGATTCTCAGCGGCATCATGGCAACTCAACGGTTCAGGCTCAACACCAAGCACAGATAAACGCTTTTGACACAGGAAGGGGCTCGTACGTATCCAGACAAACACCGGTAAATCGGACGCGTTCGGAGACGCGTAAACGTTCAGGAAGAGACAATCCTCGTTACCAAGGGCAGAGTTGAACCCATAAACCTCAGGAAAGCCATATCCGCCCGTCTGTGGACACAGAGGCGGCTGGTCGACGGCCAAGACAAGGCTGCCGTTACCAGTCGGTGGACGAGGTGCTTGCCATCGCAGGCTGCCGACTGGAGGAGCAGCATAGCGAACGCTGGCATGATTTCATTGTCAGTCTCCGTCAGTCCAGGTATCAAGGAGGGCCACTTACCTCTTCCACACATTCAGCCCGTACGTGTCGTCGTAGTATCCCTGATAAGTCGCGTATCCCAGGTCGACTATTGGAGCGGAAGATCGAGTAGTCTGGATAACACGTCCATGTGCAGAGAGTGCCGTCGCCCAGGCGGCGACGAGCATCAGCAGTAGAGTAATGCCCATTGTTTTTGCAACCCACAGGTGCCCAAATTGACACACACTTAGACGTGAAATGCCCACCGCAAAGGTAGTTGCTGTCAGCAAGCTTCAACTTACTTATAACACCTAGCATTCTTCGTTTTGTTGATATGAGTGGCTTATGCAGCCCCTTGCTAGCCTCAGCACTATTGACCCCCTGTATAGAATCCTTTGCCAATACTGTAAGATGTAACCTCATCTTGAATCATGATATTCGACTAAGCTCTTGGAACCGCGGCAGAAGGATCTTACTCCCCTTCGAAGCAAGGCTCGAGGAGGACCGCAGGCGAATCTGACGAGGGTAACTTAACACGGGAACACAATGAAACGAGACCAAGCAAGAGGAACTAGAGGCCCACAGAGGCTCATGCAGTTGGCGTGGGGGATGAGCTTTTATCGACCATGGACCCGGTCTGTTGTTTACATGCATCATATTTCTGCTATATCTACACCATCCTGTTTGTCAGATCCACCAACAGTCATGATCCAACGGACAAGATCACTGTAGCATCAAGTCTTTTCTGCGGGATAGCACGGCCACACACCTCCAAATCCCCAATTTTAGGTGCCTGGCTCTTTCAGCCATCTGGCACAGATGCCAACAGACCGAGCCCTTTGTCGGTCTCCCATCGTCTCTATTGTACAGATCACACCTCCTCATCCGCACCTGATCCCTGGCAAGACTCCTATGCGGCCCTGCTTTGCAATCCGGAAGTCTGATAGCGTTGAGTAAACGATAAAGAAATGTCTATCATTTCGTCAGTCGGTCATGCAAAAAGGATCCCCCTGCCGCCGACCGCCGCAAAAAGTAAAAACAACCATGCTGCCATGCCAGACCAACCACCGTTTCAAGATAGTAAAACATAGGGCACGGAAGTACCAAGAGACAGGTCTTGTCCGTGCTCATCTCGTTCGCTCGTCAACGCCAAATTATGATTTTTGTGGACTGGGAGGAGCGTTCATCGTCGTGTGGGAGCGGAGAGTCGTTGGACAAGTCGGGACGGCCATGCCGTCGATTCAAAGCCGTCAAGAGCCCTTAAAAGGGGATGTTGGGGGACGGCTGGTTGCCCAGCATCTCTTGCTGTTCTTGAAGTTCCTCGCCACCCGTCTCGATAGAAATGCCAAGGCCGAGCTTCGCAGATTGCTGCACCCATTCATTAGCTTTTCATCTGTGCAGACTTTGTGGCACCACTGGACTTACCGTGGCATGGTCAACATCAGCGCCGACAGTCATCATAACAGGCCCGGCGACTCGCTTCTCGAGCAAACAGCTTAGCTTGCCCTTGGAATCCAGCTGGGCGCGGAAAGTGGACATTCGGAAGTCGTACTTGGCACCAAAGGTGGTCGTGCCCTCCTTTTGGAGCGGGCCGCCCATCATTGCGCCGGCGCCACCAGCCAGGGTCAAGCTCATGTCTACACCAGCCTGGACCTTGTCGGACAACCTCCTCCAGTAGGTAGTGTTCAGGCCACCCGTGGCAGACAGTTGTGCTGTAGCAATCCAGTCGTCGCTCTTGTACTTGCCGCAGTAAGCCACCATGGCCTCAGGGGGCTGGCTCAACGCAGGCCTTTGCCACATGGCCTCGAGTCCGAGGGCGAGCTTGGGGGTGACTGCCTGCATATAGCTTCCAATGAAGATACCGGTCAGGCCACCCTCCAGGTACGAGGGGTTCAGACCCTTCACGGACGCTGTAAAGTCCTTGCCGGTGTACTCCTGCTCCCATTGCGCCATGTCCTGACCTCCGGTTCCGATCTGGAATTGGGTTTTTGTGACCAAGGACTGCGACCACCTCCAGTTGAATCGTGTTGAGAGCTGCCCGTCGTTGTCGATGTTTCCCTGCAAGAACATCTATTCCACCCAGTCAACATCAGTCCTACGCCGCCGTGTCCGAAATAATGCGACAACAACTAACCTTGTTTGTCCCGTAGAGGGCGGCGAATGTGTACGGGTTTGACCGCTCGCCCAGCGCGAATGCATGGGAGACCTGGAAAAGAGGATAGAGGCTGAAAGCCTTGGTCAGATCGGCGCGCAGGCCAGTGAACATGTAGTTGTTGAGGAGCACATCGCGCTGGACCTCCTTGGCCAGGCCCTCGACAGTGCCGGGGTTCGACAGGCCTAGTTTTGCGCGGCGCTCTTGAAAGGAACCGAAGGCATCTGAGAGAGATTTCGAGATGGGATTGTTGACCAAGACGCCGAGGGGCGAACTCGAGATTGAGGCCATGATCGTAGCGGTTCAGGCTAGACTGAGAAGGACGACGAGGACGACAACGAGTATGGAGAGGTCAAAGAATGCGTCGACGTCACAGCCAATCGCACCCAGACAGACAGGTTGGGGAAGAGGAGCAGGACGCGCCGGCTCGGGAGGGATTCACCAAGACCAAAACAGGAGTCGCTTGATACAACAATGCGACGAAATGGAGACTCCCAGGTGATAGGCGGGGGGGAGAGTGAGGTTGAGGTTGAGGTGAGGCTGACAGATTTTGGTGGTCGTCGTCTCAACACAGTGCAGCTGGCAAAGCAGTCTTGGAAGACCTAGGACCAAAAATTTCGAGCTCTGCTAGGTTGGTCTCTGACGACAGGGCTCTGTCGCTGGGAACCGGGAATTATGGGCAGGGGGGGGTCGCAGCTTACGAGGGACGTTGGACCGAGGGAGAGAGGACGGCAGCTGGACCGTGCACGAAATGCTAGAGCTACGCCTGGTGCTCTATGACATAGCACATGCTGTACTGTACTGTACTGTAGACCAGAAGGTACCGAAGTCTAGGTCGCTCGCAGGTGCAGCAAGACAGAGGACCTCACAGTACACAAGGAAGGTTTTGGTATGCTTGCCCTGGTTTAAACACCCATTTCTATCGAGACCTAGAGTCGCAGGACCTGGCAACAGACTGAGGATCGGGAAGGCAAATCCATCCATCAATCAATGAATCAATAAATCAATCAGCTGGCCCATGCCAGTGACTACAGCAGCCCCTCTTTCTTAGCGGCACCCCGCGACCGGGAGCTGAAAATGGACGACAAAACCCGACAAATGCATTGGGCGGCCAAATGTCGAAGGCCCGGACCGTGCCTCTATACCTACCGTACCCAAGCACATATAACTGCGTAGACTTGCTTCGGAACTTGTCCTTGACATCTGGCAACAGCATAGATCCTGCAGCTTGTGTCCTGTCCTGTCCTGTCGTGGTCTGGCCTGGCCTGTCCTGTCCTCTCGCCTTGTCTCGCCTCGCCCAGTCTCGCCTCTCATCATCCATCAGTCAGCAGCTCCGACGTCTTCGATAAAAAAAAACCTCAAACACCACAGCGACGAAACCAAGGAACAACCACTGTTGTACCTAGGGCGGCAGGAGGTGAAGCCGCGACTCAGGCCATCGCACCTGCCCGGGTCCTACCTAGGTCTCTTAAGCACCGTCCCGACTTCTCCCTAAGCTGTCTTCTCGAGGCATTTGAACTCGAGCATCATCGACAGTGCTCTCCCACCATTTGTCTTCTTCGGTATTCCTAAAGCAGCTTATTATTCACTTATTACTTGGACATTGAGCTTCGGTACCTGTAGTCAAATCCGCTTCGCATTTGGAGCTGCCCAGTTCCTTCGCCCAACCTAGATATCGACAGCGATTCCGAATCCCCAGACAGTATCTTTTTACATCATCTCAACATAGTGCCTGTGTGCAAACAGGCACGTTGGAAACCACCTCGAACTCTCAAACTGTTTGTCCTGAGAGGCCTGACTGTATTTGCTGTTCCGCTTGTCTCCTTTTTTGAGAATGGATACGCTTCTGTAAGTGATTGTTGCTCCCCACGTCTGTGACCATGGCCATGATTATGACCACGTCGTGGCCCACTGACCAGATACCGGTCGCCCTTGCCCAAATATACCCTCTTATCCTTACATCTCGGTGTGGTTTGGTTGCTATTCACTCCTTCATCGACACACACCCACAAAAAATCCCTCAAGACTATTCACGCCGACAGAAATGGTCACTTCTCGAGACACCGCAAAGCTCACGCTTCGACCCGAGATTGGAGATGATTTGGACGTCCAGATAGCTAATTCAAACAGAACGGCCGAGATTGCGGCCAACGCCCCGCGATACCGTCGGAAGAGCTCGACTTTCATCGATGCCATCCACGATGTCACTGAAGACCAGGATATGGCCCCGGCCCAGCTCTATAGCACTATGTCTGGACGACTCTTCCATTCCGGCAGGATAGCAATCGTCATGGTTGGTCTGCCAGCCAGAGGCAAAACCCATATCTGTGTCTCCATGGCACGGTACCTTGCCTGGCTCGGAGTCAAGACGCGCATCTTCCATCTTGGAGATTATCGGCGTGCCACCGTTGGTCCTGGCGGCCATGTGCCAGAGGATTACTTCTTTCCAAACGCCACACCCTCGTCCGTCATGCTACGCCAGAAGATCCTCAAAAAGTGCCGTGAGGACATCTATGCCTGGCTCAATCACGAGAATGGCCAGGTCGCCATATACGATGCTGTGAACCCTACAGCTGCTGGCCGCCGGTCCCTCGCCAAGGAATTCGCGAAACACGACGTTCAAGTAAGACTTCTCTACCCGCGAAATCGGACATCCGGTCGCTTCTTGGAGACGATTTTGCTGACGCTCACATCCTAGACGCTGTTCCTCGAGTCCTACGTCGATGACGATAGGATATTGAGGGAAAATGCAAGGAATGTCAAAATTCATTCCCCCGATGTGAGTGCAAGCGATAGGCTTACGCAGCACAAGTAGGCTAACAATTAAGCTGCAGTTCCATGGCATGGACCCGGACGAGGCTGCCAAACTCTATCTTAGACGCATCGAGATGAAAATCCCCGTCTTCGAGACGATGAACGAGAATGAGCTGAACTATGTGAAGATGATTAATGCTGGACAGGGCTTCTTCTACAACAACGTCAGCTTTAACGTGAGTATCTGCTTTTTGTTCGACAATTCCAAATCTCTGGTCCTATGCTCAGTCTCTGGTGGTCTCTCACTAACAAACGATGAATCAGTACCTCTCACATCGAATCGTCTTCTACCTTACCAATTTGCACATAAAATCTAGAACAACATTCTTCGTCCGAGCTGGCGCCGCGACAGAAGAAGACTCGTACAAAGCTGATGGCGGTCTGAGCGAGCCCGGCCAGGCCTATGCTATTAAAATGACCGAGACTCTCATCAAACATCGCGAGCAAGAACGGCAAACCGCTATAGAGGCTGGTGGGGCTAACATTCCCTTGAAGCCCCTGACAGTGTGGACATCGACTAGGTTGCGAACGGTACAGACCTCGAAACCTCTTCAGGATAAAGGCTACAAAGTCCGACAGCGGTCTCAGATGAGCCAGATTAATCCTGGCGTTTGCGAAAAGCTTTCTGAGCGAGCCATCCGTACCATATATCCCGATGAGGTAGAGAAGCACGAGCTGGATCCGTATCACCATCGTTATCCGCGAGCAGAGGTAAGCGGTCTGTGAAATTGTTGACGCCAAAGACCAAGCTGCTAAGTTCTTTGTAGTCATACCACGATCTAGCCGTCCGCCTCGAGCCTATCATCCTCGAGCTCGAACGGGAGCAAAACGATCTCCTGATCATTGCACACGAGTCCGTTCTCCGTGTACTTTATGCGTACTTGATGCACTGCAGCACCACGGACATCCCCAAGCTGAAGTTCCCTCGCGACGAGATCATCGAGATCATCCCGGCAGCATACCAGAATGAGGCCAAGCGTATTCATATTCCCGGTCTAGATCCGAGGATGGTGCCTGGCTCGCCAGAGGACATCCGCATTCCTGTACCGAGCATGCCCCCTAGTGGGACTCTGAGTCCAATACCGGGTTTATCTAGTCCATTAGAGGGACAGGCCACTCCTGTTTCTATGGAAGGGCAGAGACCGCCGGAGAAAGTTATCAATAAGGCAGCGGAGATGGTCGCGGATAAGGTTGCGGATGAGGATTGATGAAGGACGCGGGATGTGGGAGTGTGCGATGAAATTTAATAGAGTTGAGTTCGCTCCATACAAATAAGCGCTGACTCTGATGTTCAATCTTCTCTCTGCGAATTGGGCCTACTACGATGTAGGTATAGACCTAGAATCGCGAGCAAGTCTTCGGAGTTTCACTTCGTATCAGAGCTTGACCATTGACATGTTTAGGAAATTCATATGACGCCTGATCAGCACTCCCGTCTTCTTGCCAACAACCATTTTCTATGTAGCATAACTTGTCGGCACGAATGCCTGCCCGATCTACAACATCAGACTTAAAGTCTATGTTTCACATTTGGCTACCACTGACATTGAATGTAGATATCCAGCTTTCATAAACCGCCGTGAGCCCCTTTACATCACGCCCTTACTTTAGATACTCAAATTGAATTGTTAAATCATATCAAACAATCTCTAGCAGGGTTTCAGGCTCGTTCCGCTCTTCGTGCCTTTCTACTTAGTACGAAGCCAGCCTAGGAAATCGGAATTCTGACAAGCACTCGTTTCAGTACTATACAAAAAAAGCCCTGTGAATATGGTGCATCCCCGTCATCAGATTAGTTACCTTAGTAGAACAGATAATCATCTTTGCACTTTACCATTTATCAATATCTCTCTGCTTGCTCCTTTGGACTCACTCAGCTTGCCTAGGATATTCCATTACGATGGCTAAGAGCCTCTTGCCTGCCTATGTAAGTATACTGGTTTCATCAGCTCTCAACACCTAGGGTCTGCCGACCGCCGTGATCTCTATCAGCATCGCCACACTGAACGACTTGACCTGTAGCCAAAAGGCGCCGCCCATGGGGCAGGGGCAGGTCGCGGCTCGATGGCCGTTGCCACTTGAGGAAATCGGCACCTTCCATAATCATCTCCTGGCGCATTCGCGCGGTTCTACGCTGCATGGTCCCCACAAAGGGCACGATCGGTAGTGGCGGTAGACATGGCCAGTCTAGGGCACCCGGCACCTGGGAGAAATGTGTGATCTCCTTATCAACATCCCGTCTTTTCGCCAGCCAATTTTCCGCCAGTAGGCGGTACTTGGAAACTTCAGCATCAAGGCGTACTTCTGGATGTTTTTCCCAGATCTTTTCAAGCACCATGGGTATCTCGAGCTCGTGGGGATAATTCTCTTCGCGGAAATGCAGGTCGCGGGTGATAATCTCGTAGACGGTGAATATGGCGAGCTTGATATCGTTGCGGTGCTTGTCGTAGGCGAATGCGCATGCCGCCAGTTCTGACGGGTCGCCCTCCCAGCCCAGCTTGGATGCCATGTTGAAGTCGAATATTTGAAGCGCGTCTGTCTCCCTGTCGACTAGAAGATTCCACGGGCATACGTCACCGTGGACGATGCCCAGAGTGAGGTTGAGGTGATCGATGACCTATTTGGTATCTCAATTCTCAGTCCGATTTTGACTTGTAGATGAATACGCACCGCGAAGAGCTGCTCTATATGTTTCAGCTTGAAGACCCGATCCTTCCTATCCTCGACCGTACCTCCATCAACAAAGGTTGTAGTAAAGCCCACAACCTTCTCCTCGCCGTCAAGCACATCGACCACCAGGCTGTCGAACGGAACAACGTTTGGATGCTTGGGGATGCGTAGTACGCAATTTAGCTCGTGCCAGAAGACAGGAACCTGAGGCTGGTTGATGTAGTATTTGAAAGCCAGTTGCCGAGCCTCACCCATTGAGGGCTCATGAGTGACAAGGTCTACTTGAATGCCCATCCGGGAGACTTCGATCAAGTCTGACCTTCGAATCTTGCGGACACCCAACGGAAACTCGTTGACTGAAGGGTAGAAGGGAACCATAGCCCGATCTCTCTCAACGTCGGAGGAATGAGACAGCAGCTCGCCTTCTTCCGAGACCTCGATCCTGACGGCTTCGGCGGGGATGTCATCAGCGTGCCGCGCAAGGGCCTCGATGATCCATTCGTCATCTTGTTCTGCCCATGATGTCTTCACAGTGATGCAGCGCCGTTGATCCCAGTCGTTTACAACACAATTATCGTAGAACTTTGCAGAGATCGTGAACCGTTCATCGGGGCGGCAGTTGTCGAAATAACCCATGTTATTTTAGTCCAATATATTCTGGCGGCAGATGCCTGGAAGGTACTCAAAAGGAGAGTTAGAGAATGCGCTTGAAAGACGGAACATGATCCAGCCGCTACCTGTGTCCACGTTTCAACACAGCTAATGTGAATGCCGTAGATAAATAAACAAGTCTGAGGGACAGCAAGCGTATTCTCTGAGGGTGGAATTTATATGGGTGATCTGGTCTCTGGCACATATTAAGGCCTGTTTGATAGAAAGAACAATTGAAGTGTCGATGGCGGAAGTGTTGGCCAACCGGTGAGCAAAGGAGCAAATCCTTCCTCCAAGGCAGCCAATCTTGTCTCGCCTCCCATCTACTCGATACATCGATGTTTGCCCCCCCCCCCCCCAAGCCTACTATTCAATAAAAGGCTTGACAAGATGCCTGTATATGCATCGCACACAGTGTTCAACGCCGTCAATAATGGAATCCATTGGTCAACACCGTGCCTCACGTTTCCTCGAACAACTCCGAATCCGAGCCTAGATACCATCTAAAGCATCTGCAGATACGCCGGGTCTCCAAAAAAAGTTCTTCCCACTTAGTGCCTAGACATGATACTGCATACTCCTTTGGTATAACTCACCTTGCAGCTTGAGGGCTTATATTATTTTACAATGAATACATAGGTAGAGTAATGCTTACGTATTGTTTGATGTACCAGCGACCAGCTGGATTTATTATTCATAAGCCTTATAGTTCGTGATCTAAGATATATTCAACCTGGTCTGAGATTATTTAGCAAGTTTATTGGAAGTAAGAGCAGTCTTTGCGTAAAAATTAACCTATATGTGTACTCATGGCAAGTATGGCCATCTCTACATGTTGATGTTTATTCTTCCATTGGCACATAGTGCCATCTTGTGGAATGAACATCATTTTACAACCCTGATGGCTATATCTAAAGTATTCGAGGTCACAAGGCATATTTCAGATAAGCAAGGAAATTGTAGGATAATAGACTTTCATTTTGACGACTAGACAACACCTTGCAAGGCCCAAGCGTAGACCCAATCGTCTGCTATCATATTTTTGGACTCTTTCCTCGTCGGCATATAGTCAACAATATCCATCAGACCAGCATCGCTTGCTGCCTATTGTAGTAGGTAGAAGCCAAGCCTTTCCTAATTGATCATGGAAGGTGACTCTGCGGGATTGCCCCCGGTTCGTTGGCACCCGACAGTGAGCGGGTTGGAATGTCGGACAGAGGGACTTCACGAAGGAACAAGAATTGATTTTGATTGTGCAGATTTCTCCCGAGAGGCTTAAGAGGGCTTCGTTCCGTTGGCGCTGCTGTCGATCAAAGGCGAGCCCGCTCTTCGTCGATGAAGTGATTTATGCCGGCTTCTGTCATTGTAGACTGGATGTTCTTGGACGGAAAGTTTATGAGGTCGTATCCAATCAGCGTGAGGCGCGTTTGAAATCCAGAGACAGAGCTTCAGAAATAGTTGTGCCGCCGCTCACTATTGCTGCCTGTAGTTCCCGTCTGCAGCGCAAAGATGCTCCTATGGGAACCCGCTTTACATGACAAGGCAGTAGGAGTAGCCTTTGGCCCCCATGGAGGCGTTAGCGGTCTGGGTGTGCTTGGTGATGGAAGGCATTTTGGTTTTTGTTTGAGGCTGAAAAGCGTCTGAAGAAGTTTGTGTGAATGGTAGAGAATATTGCAAAGATCTAAATGATTGCTGATGGTGAGCTAGAAGACAATTCGTCGAGAGTATGAGGAACAGCTGAATATTTATACTTCATTGGCAGTGTACAATTATAGTAACTCAATCTGCGCGGCGGGAGTCTCCGGTGGTGATGATGGCCCGAAACCTTGCTTTGAGCCACGTGCACCGCCGTCGTGGATATTCTGGGATTGTCGAACATGAACAATACCACCGACAAAGTCCATCACTTGCTCCCGCCCTTGCAGTATGCCACCGCGTAGAGAACAATAAGACCGGACCTAGTCTCACTTATGAGAAATGGGATACCCGGAAAACTTGATATTGTGCTCTAGTATTGTGGCCACCAGACAAGGGGACCCTGGAACAGCAACATCAATGGCCAGTCACTGCAACTTGAGCTGATTACCAAGAAGGTTAGGTCTATCTTCAGGCACATGGCTGCTCTAAAAAAAAAACTCCAGCCCGGAATTTGCTGCAAGGTGAGCCGGTGACTGAGATGGATACTACTATTTTCGGATTGGCTTTCACTCGCTACGGCCCACACACAACCACGCTTTGATATTGTGTCTTGGTATTGTGTTTTTGACTTCTGATATGGATTGGTTATATTTGACGCTCAAGACAGACCTCTCTAATTGGTAATTACTTTTTATTGATTCTCCAAAATGATCCGCTGATCAGAAGTCATGTCCTCCAAGAGCCTCCTCGCTATGGTGTGCTGGCCACTTAATTATCTCAACTTCCAAGACCTAAGTACTCCATCCACAGTTTACCGCCGGGTCTTAGAAGCGTGTGAAAGGCAACCTGTACATCTTGGTCAGTCTGTGTGCTTAACATAAAGGTGTGAGTCGTGGAAACTCACCACTTGCCCCTCCAGGTAATGACTACCCAGGCATCGCCCTTCTCATCCACCTCCTTCTCCACCTTCGTACTGAAGCAGATGGCGCTCATGATTCCGTCTCCGAATTTCTCGTTCAGAACCGCCTTGTAGGCGTACCCATAGTTTTGAATGACTTCGTAAAGGCGGTAGATGAGCGGCTCAACGGGAGGCATGGGGCCCGCGCGACCACGGTCGGGGATGGCCATCAACTGAGGAGCGAGGACCTCCTTGGGGATGTCGAGGAGCGCAGAAAGCTTCTCGACATCTTGGGCAGAGGCTTGTGCCTGTCCGTAGAATATGGCGGCGACGGCGACCTCGCTGCGGCCCAGGAGATTGGCGATCTCGGAGAAGCTTAGACCGGCCTGGGTCTTGGCGGCGAAGAGCTGGAAGACGTGTTAGCTATGGTCTGGTGGCCTGCACATATGTGCCCCATTATGGTGGCTCTCATCTGCCCTTGCTTCACTCCGTGTTCCAGGCTCATGAGTCTATGTGACATGTCCTGATGGTTGACGTACAGTCTGTGAGTGGGCCGGCAGACGGTCAACGATAGAGCTCTACCACTTCACGTCAGTTCCTTTGTTGTTCCGGATGATCGTGAGGAATTTTCCTACATCGAGCGTCGCAAGCTGCTTGTGGTCGGACATTCTCGGAGATCTCGCGGCTAGTTCCTACTGAGGATATTTTCGAAGAGTAAGATGTGTTGGTGATTCGACAGCTAAGTATCGTCTTCGTTCTTGGTGTTGAGAGATTGAAGTTTTGAGGACACAACAAATTTCCTTTAAATGTGGAGGAAAGCCAGTGGTGATGTTCAGCTTGAAATAGGTGCTGCTTTCACAAAGCAGCAAGCCCGACGTCATCCACTATTGGGGTTCACGCAGGTTCCGTCGTGACGGGTCGGGATGTCTGGAGATCTCAGATCCACTCCAGCCAACCCCACCTCACTGGCCCCGACTCCGCACGGAGATATCCCGGCCTGCTTTCGGCAAGGCCTTGCGGCCACTGCTGTTGTTGCACTAAAACCCCAACAGCAAAATACCGTGTCTTGCACTACAAAAGCCACCCGGCCTTTGCCTGAGGGTTTCGCAAAGCCACTGATTCCACTATTCGCGCGCCATCGTGACAAATCGCTACCTCCCGACCCCAGAGCCCGTGGGTTCGCCGACTTCGCTATTCATGGTCCGCGCTTGAAATTTGTCAGCTCTACGATACGTATGAGCTAAAATACTCCTTCCATCTTGAGCCTGTTGTTAGTCTATCGTTAGCGTGCGGCATCATGTCTGGACACGCGGGGAATGGACACTGGGCACACAAGATTGTCTTGTGGCTCAGTAACAGATCTTAAGCACTGCGCTAAATTTGTTATTTCTGAAGACTCTTGGCCTTGTCATCATGAGCAAGTCGAGAAAACAGTAATTTATCTTTTTACCGACAGATGTTGCTGAGATTTTATTGTCTGCTTCGGTATGGAGCCTGCAACGGTTGATCCCGCAGGGTGTCACATCTGAACACGTTCTGGGCGCCTTGCAGAGAACACCCATCTTGGCGTGGAACGTGCTGGACAACTGTGCCCACGCTGTGCCACCAAGAGACACACGAGAGGTGTCTGCACCGTCCTCTAGCTCATAACCCCACACATCCCGAAGGTGTGTGCCTGGATCTCGTATAACGTCAACCGTTGACAGCCTCGATGCCAAGAAACTCTCACACTTCTCGAAGCATTCAAGAAGCGATGAAGACGGCCCGTGTCAATCTTTCAAAAACGCCAAGACGGTGGTTGTTCACCGGACGAACGTCACGACATTGGGTTTTCAGCCCGTTTAGGCCCGGCAAAACGGGGGAAAAACTGTTGTTTGGTGGTCATGGCTGCTCCGTAAAGTCTGCCATTCCCGCTAGTTTCGAAATTGTTTTAGGCAACTGGGGAGGATGTCTGTCGTGCCAGTTTATGGAGCGGCCGCCAGAGGCGATCCAGGTCTGACCAGAGGCGATCCGGGTCTGACGAGAAGAAATACGCCAGAGCCTATCACGAATGGCTGATGGGGGCCCAGGAGGAACGGACAGTGTGAGCAAGGTCTCCCTTGCAGATGCCATGCTACGCTACTACAGACGAGGCAGATCCGATGCATGCGAGCACACGGACCATGGAGAGCACAGGCGGCGAGAGCGAAACGCTCATACGAGCGGCGGGGCGCTGGCACATGATCTTGACAACTAACACTAGGTCCAAAGGGGGTTTCGGTTTCACTCAGTGTCTGGGAGTCTCCGAAGGAGGATGAATTCGGTGATAGTGTGACCTCTGGAGCAGCCAGAGCTGGGGATGTTTGGATGATCCGCCGATCTACAAAAACAAGCTTTCTATCAATCCAAACCTAAAACCACTGCCGCAAGGGTGCCCAACCCTCGTCCGACACTATGCCCGGCAAAACTTGCTTCGCCCGTGTGGGATGTGTCCCATTCCCTCGAAACACCAGCTAATGCAGAAAGGTGAGATGGATGTGTGAACCCCGGGATGAGCTCCACTGATGATTAAACTCTATGTACACAGCCATTCGCCAACCGTATTCGAAAAATGCCCGCCAGACCGGCGCAGTCATCACCGCTAATACTCCCAGCCCCGCTTGGCTGCGGCCTTGACATTATCTGCATTCAGCAGATCGACGCCCTCCTGGACCAACAGATCCCAGATGCGGTTGCGCGCGGTGACTGGCCACTCCGGAATGTCCCAATAACGGGCTTTCAAGCCCTTCGCGTGCGCCTGCTTCACTTGTAGCCTGATCCTCCGGATCTGCTCTTTGCTTATCTTCCCCATCCAGGTCCTGCCGATCGTAGAACCAAATGACACGCTCGCGAAATACGAGTTTGTCATGTCGTATGGGGATTCGGCAAGGCGGTTGAGCGGCGCATCGAAGAAATAGTCGCGGTACGTATCGTTGCTTGTTAGGAGGTCGAAAGGGGTGTTCCCTGTGCCCACGACAGTGATTGCCCTTTGGTGTATTGTGCCGTTGGCGAAATGTGTAAGCCAACCTCGCTCCCGGAGGGGTTCAAGCTGCTCGACAACTTTGGTCCATGTCTTTGGGCCTGCGGTCTTGACGTCCACCAGCAGAGTGACAGTTTGTTCGGGCGCAGTGTCGAACACGCCACGACTGGTACCGTTGTAGAATTCCGTGGTGGGGTTTTGCCGTGTGAGTATCTCAACTAAAGGCTGAATGTAAAGTGATTGAAAGGTCCGATCCCGTTGCAGGGCTGCCTTGCTGTGACCAACATAGAGGTGATCTCTGCGATCCGGGTCATCGAACAACCACACATCGGCCTCCACGCTCATGCAGCCTTGTTTGAGGGCCGTGAAGAGTGGTACTTTTCGCCAATAGTCGTTGTGAGAGTGTATCCGCTTTGGTATCACATCTTGTAGGAAGTTGGTCGGATACCATGACAGGCGTTCTGTGCCACTGCCTGTCTTCCCCCAATTGAGGAATGATTTTTCGTCCACATCGTCGTCTTGAAGCGACGCTGCCCAGCCCAGCCGTAGTGCGACGTCTAATGTCAAAAGCACGACCCTGACCTTCGTCAGTAGATGTGAGAAGAATAAATTCACGACTCACTTACATCAAACTGCACAGAAACAATGACCCAAGCTTTATCCATGGCCTTCTTCGTTTTGCCGACCAGAAATATGTATCGTCTTCATTGCAGGTGAGATCCAGGACAACACTGGCGCCGCTTTTTTGTATGAGGGGGTCGGAGTCACCGCTGATGGTGGCCTCACTGTCCCAGCTATCCGTCCTTCGGTGAGACATTATTCTCCGTTCTGAATTTGGGTCCCGGTATGACTGTGGAGTTTCCATGTTGGTGTTGTACATGTCTGTGTTGTTGCTGTTGAATGAAAGTATAGGGTATATGGTCTGATGTATATATATATGTATATTCCGGAGATTGCTCTGCCCTGCTTTACCGCGCTCAAATATCTCTAATAAAACGTGAATCAGAAGGTCATGGCGGTGACTGGTTCTTGAGATGGCGCAATGCTTTGGGCCCCTTGACCATCGGACGGAGTATGGCGCTAGAGGGGATCTCGAAGATAGACTAAGCTCATGAAGCTCTTCGAGCTGCGGCTTTCGACGCTAGGATAGCTCTGGATTCCTCTGTCTTCGGATGCAGGGAAGCCACCTTGGGCAAGCCAGCGTTTCTACGACCAGTAGTAGTGTCTGGACCCAACTGGTTGATCTCACGATGGCAGAGACTGTTTCAGTAGCTCCTGAAGTTTGGGAGGGGGGGGGGGAGGGTCGTTCACCCGGGGCTTTGCTTAAGTGATGAGATGACAGTGGGCAACTGTAGCCGGAAACTGGAAACTGAGTAAACAAGAGAATGGAACTTCCCTTGCAGATTGGAACAGAAGATACTCCCTCTTCTCCGTCAATGCCACCACACCCGGGACTTGGGAGTGCGGCCATCTTAAAGGCAAATACTGCTCTGTGACCACATGGGTCTGACATGGGCCAGGAGTCGTCGACTGCCGGCTCCGCCCTCTCCGCCCTGTCCGCCCTTTCTGTCTCCCTCTGACTCTACTCAGCACATGTGGGCGCTACTGGGGATGTATCCTCGTGGGCAGTTGTTGCGGGAGAAATGCAAGACATGAACCCTGGAATGCAGCAGTGCGGTCCGGATGCGACAACGAGGGCCCCTCCTTCGACGATGGACCCTCGTTGGAGGCCAAGAGATCCCTGGCCCAAAACTGCGCTAACGGAGCTGGACATGATTAGCTGCAGCGGACAGACACGGTCGCACGGTCGGTCGGTGCAGGGAAACGGCGCTCCGTTGGCCGTGGAGAAACGGACTCGTGGGAGCAGGGGCTAAAAAATCTCCAATCTGGAAGCCGCATTTTCACACGAGGCCCGACTCGGCCCTCTCCAGTGGTTAACAAGCAACAAACACTTCACGCATCAACCAGAGTTTTGCGCCACTCTTTTCCTGGCTCCTGACGCACTCCTCGCCTGCTTTTTATGGTCACCCGACCGCCAGGATGCCTCACAAACATACCCGCCGAGATAGAGATGATTCCACGTGGGTGCACTTCTTCCCAACCATTTGCGCTTCACTGCGTTCATGTATCTCATCGCAAGGTTGCAACTGACATAGTGCCATGACACGGTAGATACGACCTGCCACCGACCCAGATAGCCAGGCCTCTCCCCGTCGTCGCACCCAAGCTGGCGAGGCAAGCGCCCAAACCAGGCGGAAGCAAAGCCAAAGGGAAGCAGAATGGAAACGATGCCGGCAAAGACAAGGGACCGGAGGCACCTCGGGGTGCCAAGCGCAAGCGAGGGGCTGCCGACAAGAAGGATGATGCGCCTCGTGCCTTCAAGCGGCTGATGGCATTTGCAGACGGCAAGAAGTTCAGAAGCGGGCTTGATGACGGAGTCAGAGATACAGCAGCCAAGAAGAAGAAGAAGAAGAGCAAGGCGGCCGAGGGCGACGTCGCCGCTGAGACGGACAACGTTCAGAAGGAAGCTCCCACGATCCGCCCGGGCGAAAAGCTGTCCGACTTTGCAAGGCGTGTGGATGCGGCCCTGCCAGTCATGGGCCTAGTGAACAACAAGTCCGGCAAGAACGATCCCTTGGGCCTCAAACCTACAAGGACGCGCAAGGAGAAGAAGATGCACAAGCTCTACGACGAGTGGCGGCGCGAGGAGGCGGCTATACAGGAGAAGAGAAGAGAAGAGGCTGAGGAGGCCGAGGAGGCTGAGATGGACGATGAGGGAGCGGGCGTCAAGTGGAAGCTTGACCTCCAGGACCAGGCTGGTAAGGGAAAGAAGAAGAAAGGGAAGAAGGGCCGCTCTGTCTGGGAGTCTACTGATGCGGACGACGAAGACCCGTGGGAGGAACTGAAAAAGAAACGAGGCGAGAAGAAGGCCGGACTGCACGATTTCGCACAGGCCCCACCGGAGCTGAAGACCAAACCGAAGGAGCTGTTCAAGGTTCTCGGTGCCGGAGTTGACGTTGGGACAATACCCAAGTCGGCCGGAAGCCTGAAGAGAAGAGAGGAGCTCCAGGGCGTCAGGGAGGAGGTAGTGGCTGCCTATAGAAAGATGATGCAGAGCAGAAGAGAGAGGCTGGAAGCCCAGGTGGAATAGTCCTTGGTGACGATGAAAGATACCCTATTTCATTTCTCATCCCACTTGCAGGGCTCTGCATTGCTTCAGGAGCCAGCATTGCAACAAGGGTGCAAGACGTTTGTCTACACACCAAATCACTACCTTCTGTTTGTGCGCGCATCTCGTTTGTGGAATCAATGAAGCTGTGACTTAACTATGTAGTATTCACTTGCTTCCTTGTCTAGAATCTCATTGACCTTAGCCCTCACTAATAATTTATAAACAATTACCTGAGAGCCACGCTGCGACAATCTTCCCACCACAACCTCAGATCGCAGCCGCGACCTCTTTTGAAACCCGTCTAACTCTGAACTCCCAAATTCTCAATATACACTTTCCGAGGCGAAAAAGGATCAACCACACGTAGTCTGCCCGCCAACTTGAGCGAGCAAGCGCTGCGACGGCGGAGGGGCAGCAGGAGCTTCCAGCTTGGACCCGCGTCCACGCCGCCAAGCCATCGCCCCCACCCAAGACCCACCACTGCCGACTACCGTACGGCGCCAAGTCATTTTTGATTTCGCAACGCAGCGGAACTCGACGCAACGCGACGCAACACCATCAATTTCATCACCCACTTTTCCATCAGCGCAAAAAAATCTCGAGGTCCTGCTTTCGAACCACCCCCAGACCAACCATCGCACATGCTTTTCTCGTCGCTATGAACGCGGAAAAAGACCGTCATCATGGCTCAGGGTCTGGACGAGCTTGTTGAGTGGCTTGTCGGGGAGGTTTCATTTTATGGCGATGGTGAGTCAAATGCCCCCTCGACGGTGTCGCATTCATCTTTCTGCACCTCGCATACCTTCAAAGCGTCTTTTCATGGGCACTCATGACTTGTTCTGACGAGATTTTCATGTTGTTTGTCTCGTGTCAAACGCACAACGCGTCCATCACTTAGTGACACCTTCAGGCGCATCACAACAGCCGCAATCTTGAAAATGAGTGCTGACCGTAATCTTAGGATGTCCCCTGTCTGAGCTGATCGCTGCTGTCATCAGATTTCAGGAAAACGACTACGATAAGCCGAAGCACACTCCCGGCGACAATGGCGACCAGGAGCCAGGAGAGAAGCCAACCAGGGCACCGCCTACGGAAGCTCAGCTGAAGCTAGTGCGACTTGCTTGGAAGTGGCTCCTAGGCACTGGTGAAGTCAGCATCGGTCCTGAAGGCGAGTGGAATCGCCTCACTTTTGATGAGATCATGTCTATCCCGGAGGATGCCGGTGGGCAAGCCGTCTCGCTACCGGAAGATGAAAAGTCCAAGGTTGTCGTCACCAGTGCCACGCTGAAGCACAAGAAATTGCCTAAAGTGCGGCCTCGCATCTTCGTCGGAGAAGAGACCATCTGGAAGACACTCACCGGTCACAGTATTGACTACAAGCGTGTGCCTAATCTCGAGTGGAAGTGCTTGGTTGTCATTGGTTCAACAAAGGAGGATGGCATCCTCCAGGGCGATCTCAACAGAGCCACCGGCCAAGATAAACGTTCTGTCCCTAAGAGAACCGACTTCCTCACACAAAAGGGATATATCGCAAAGCGCACTCACATGGTCAGAGGCATGAAGACCAGTAAGCTTTGGCTAACAAAGTTCGCTCCTGCGCTACCTGTGCCGTCAAATCCTCTCGGCGGCAAGGACTTGTCTCGGGTCTCATTGACTCGAGACATGCAGCCTGTTGCGTGGCACCAACAGTGGACCGGCAAGGACAAAGAAGGCAGGCCGGAGATCCACTACATGGCACTGGGTCAGACCATCATTGCTATCACCAAGGCATGGGGCACTCTTCGGATTAGAGATCTGAAGGCCAAGCTAGGGATACTGGGGAAGAAATGGCAGATGAAGGTCATGTCCAGATTCCTTCGACGATTTCACAAACTGGGCAACGTCACTTACGTTGCTGCGACTTTTGCCGGCGATAAACATGTTTTCAAGGACTGTGTCAGGTTTGCGAGGGATCCTACAGAATCCGACTGGAGGCTGCTTCTGGCCACCGGGAAGAAGACTTCGCGCTACACGAATCAGGGGAAGGACAAGCAGCCGAGGGCCAAATCAAAGGCAAAGGGCAGCAAAGGAAGAGGGAAGAAGGCGGCAAATCCTGCCAAGCCCGCTGTCAAAATTCTCAGGAAGAAACCCAAGCTGAGACTCGGCGCCACCATGACTGGCTGGGTTCCTGAGAAGCCACTGGCAAATACAGTTGCCGACTTTGTCCTTACTGGAGGCGCCCGTGGCTACTCGACCCCCGAGATCAGCACCGACACTGTTGGCTACGTGTTCCGCCGGCATATGTTTACCCACCTGATTAACTTGAGTAATGGAGAAGTTCAACCACCCGGACTACGAGAGTACCAAATGAGCAAGGAGTTAGTCAAGGCGGGGAACACAAAACAATACATGTTCTCCATAGCCGGAGGTCGAAAAGTCAAGACATCTGACGAGACTGATGAAAAATTCATTATTGATCCGGCTCTGCGACAAAATGACAGCAATACGGATCCTGCGAGCCAGAATATCGAAGATGCCTTTCAGTTCGGATCCATCGACCCAAAAGTGTTTGCCCAAGAAGGGTCATCGTCTCTCACGCAATTGAGTCGCATGGAGCCGGGAAAACAGACCAAGCCCCGCCGATCTTATGGTGGCAGAAGATCAAAAGTCCACGTGGCTGTCGAAGGCGCTCAAATTACAGAGGCAGCAGAGAATGCAGATGAGGAGCAACTAGAAGGCGAGCATGGAGACAAGACAAATGCGATAGCTCCGCCACCGCGCGCCAGAAGAGGTCGACCTCCCAAAGCCAAGGTTCAAGCCAATAGCCACGAGGCAGAGGAGCCTCCAGCCAGTAGACCATCCAGGAAGCGCAAGGCGTCCCAACGTGCATCGTACTTGGAAAACCTTAACCTGGAGGATGAAAACTCGGAGATTGTGGATGACGTTTCTGCTGTTGAGGGACGACCTAAGCGTAGAGCGGCGATGAAGGAAAACCTGTCCCGGGAGGATGAGAACGATGAACCAGATGATGAGCCAGAGGACGAACAAGAAGATGAATCTGCAGAAGAGCAGGACAGAAGCAAGCCTGGTGTTTACATAGGCATACCTGGTTCGCTCAATCCTGATCCTCACAGGAAAGGCCGGCCGCGAAAGTCTATTGTCATCATCTTCAGATCGGACAAATTAAAAGAGCCAGGCTATCTTCCAGGGTGGATGGATTATCCCAAGCCACCCCCAGCGTCACACCAATCCGAGGTCAGTCGCGCACCATGGAAGAGCCCAACTCGGCCACCACTCTCAGTCGATTTTGTACCGGCTGGTCCTTCTCAGGCCATTTCCTCCAAGAAGGTAGTAGATCAGACTCCGAGCACCGCAATTGATCCAACTGATCCAACTGAGCCTGCGGTCACTATCTCGCAGCAACAGAAATTGACTCAAGAAGCCACCGAAGATGGTGAGGGTACCATTGTTGTGCAAAGTCTCGGTGTCAGTGCACAAAGCCAGGAAGCCGAGGAAAGCCAAGAAGGTCAACAGGAGTCCAGCAACGATCTTGCGGTCTACAGCGCCTCCTCGGCCCCGTTAGAGCCATTATCAGCAGCTAGGGCTCCCACGAAGACGGAGAGACAACCTAGAAAACCTAAGCTTGACAAGTACGTCTGCGAGCAGTGTGGTGGAACATGGAAAAACGACATCGGTCTCAAATATCATCTCGAGAAGGCCAAGGTGCCTTGCAATCCATTCTACGCTGAACATCCAGAGCTAATGGTCAAGGCGAAACCTGTCCGCGCCAGCCGGGCAACCTTTGGAACTCCCGAGCCTCGCGATGAAGCTGCCAGCCCGGGCAGCAGCGGTCAGAGCAGTGTAGGTGCTTCGCCTTCGCCACGAACTCCCAGGTCTGTCCGTATACCCAGGAAGAAGAAACCTCTTGCTCCTAAATTCGTTGACCAGAACGACCCTGCAAATCACCGTACCGTTCTCAAGCAGCGGAGTGCTCTCAGAAATAGCCAGTTTGGAGCGTCGGGAGTATCAGCCCCCCGCGGGCTCAAAGGCTCGGAAGCTGCGGCGAAGGATGCGGCAAACACGACTCAGACTGCTACGGAAGAGGAGATCACCGTCACTGCAGAGCCAAGCGCAACCGAGATTGTCGTGAACGACCATACAGCGCTCAACAATCCAGAGGAAGCTGAACCAGATGAGGACCTGCCTTATCTTGCGCACATCCGTGCTGAGAAACCGAAACAGCAGCCAGAGCATTCAGTCAGCCACTTGCCAGAGCTTGGACCTGAAAGCCGAGCATGGCAACATCATACCGAAGCGGCTCAAGAGTATTCAGAGGTTCAGGCTGTGGAACAAGACTCGAGCCTACTCCCAACGAGCATGAACCAGGCGTACTCTGAGTCTTCTGCTGCAATGAATGATGTGCCCGTCTCGTATGAACCCTACCCTCTTGGGTTGCTTGAGCAGACGACACAAGAGGCCACAAGTGGCAGAATGGACTTCACTGCCGAATCTCACGGGGCCGTATTGTCATCGAGTACACAATCTGTTACCAGATCACGGAGGCCCTTGCCAGTACAACGACCAGCTGTCCCAGCCGAAACTGACGTGATGCCGCTGCAACGAGACGAGCAACAAGCTGGAGTCTTTCAAAACCAAATTCCGCCGTTTCGTCTGTCACCGACGGACTTCAAAGCTCGGACGGCCAAGGAGGTGCGTTCGCACAAGATCGAGGAAATAATCCGGTATCTTCTCGCCAATAATGGCGGGGTATTTCCGAGTGGCAGAGCCTTATTCTACGCCATTCTGAAGATTTACATCAAAGAATGGCCGGATCTGCCCCTGCCAACAACGGTTGGTGTTACTAGAGTGGTTAATAGGCTACAAGAACAACAAGAGATCAAGGAGATGTCCTCAGCGTACAAATCACCTACTGAGCGCCTCTGGACGACTTTGGTCATGCTTACGTTGAACCATATCGACCCCAACGGCTTGGTGGCAGGAGATCTCAAGAAGAAGATGAAGGCCGCACAACCAGACGTGTATATCCCACCAGCGTTTGCCCCTGATGAGAGCGAGAAGGCGCACTTCAAGAAGCTGGACATACTTCCCGCTGAGCGTGGCAAAGGCCCCGGTAGACGAGACCACAAGCTCGAAGAGGAAATTGTCACTTTCGACGCGCCTTTCTATCTTCAAAAGGGCCTTGCTGGTGTGCGACCACGTAACCGCCCGCGTGCGATTCAGTCTGAGGATGAAGACTCCAATGCTGGAGATGGTGATTCCGAAGCCGCCGAGACAGCTCCTCCACCCCGTCGCCGCGGCCGGAAGCGAGCCGCGGAAGGCCCGTCTCCTGAGACAACCCCAGTCAAGAAGTCAAGAAGAGGGAGGAAACCCCGCAACATGGTTTCTTTTGATGCAGCTGGTGATAATGGATATCCGCCGCCAGGGTCAATCATGCCGCACAAATACAGTATTGATGAATCCCAGGCGACAAATCCTGGATTGGGGTCTTTGCCTCCTTCATTCTTCTCGGGAACTGCCAGTGCACCTACTAGTAGCTATACTGCTCCGAGTAAAGTGCAGTTCCTCGAACCAAACACCCGTCTGGAAGAGGAAGACGAGCCAGAGCTCGAAGCCGAGAGCAACGATGCGACTCCCGAAAATGACGCAGCGCATGAGCATGAAGGGTATTTCCTGCATGCCGCAGGGGAGGGCTCATTCACGAGTACCATCGAGCTCGAGTCGGCAGGAAAGGGTGTCTGGCCGAGCATCCCAAATCAGTGGTTTGAGGCCAACGACGGCAGTTTCACCATGAAAGGCTGGTTTCCACAAGCTCGAGAGCTTCTGAAGGAGCACCTGCCCAAGAGCATGGAGCAAATGGCTTATAAGATCACCAGTCACTGCAAAACCGACAAGTGGGCAGACCCTGCTTATGGCCAATTTGTCACCAGCGTGGACGGCTGTATGTCCTGGGAGCTTTCAGATCAGGGTCATAGGTCCATGTCGGGCACTATCGCTCCAGACTATGTCTTCATCTGTTTCACGTCAAGCCCTGCAGTCTCCAACATGGCGCCGTGTATACCAGAGTGGCGTGATAGCAACAACTGGACTCTCGACTCAATCCCTTACGAGAGGTTGGTAGGTGATGAAGAAGAAGCGGCCAAGTCGTCAGAGACTGCCGAACCGTACGGCATCACTCCAAATACTGAGCGAGGCGTGCGTCGGGGACCTGGTAGACCACGGAAGTACCCACCATCTGTGCGTGAAGGACCACCACGAAAATATGTCAGGAAACAGCCGAAGGACGAAAGCATCCGCGAACTGAAACTTCAGCGCGAGCTTACCGCCTACCCAAGAGAACCTGGTGAATATTTCCGTCAAAAGGGACAGGAAGACCCTGAAGTTGACTGGAAGGCTGAGGACACCCGCATTGCGGCATATGTGGCAGTGTCAACACTCTTGGGTGGTATCAACAAGGCCATGGATTGGGGTATCATGATGAGGATCTTCCCAGACTCGAAGCTATCAAACCTGCGCAAATTCTGGGCTACTATCAAGAAGGAGCGGGAAGGTTTCATCCAGAACTTGACTGCCAAGTTTCAGGAGGACTTCCTCGAGGCCTATGAGAATGGTGATCTGCCTGCGATTGACTTCAACAAGGCTCTGGAGTATGATTGGCTCCGACTTGTGAAGTGGACGCTCGCTCTTGTCGTGAGAGAGGGCATCGATTTGCCGCCAAACATGCCACAGTTCGACGAAGAGCTGGAGCTGGTTCCCGTTGAAAGGGGAGAGTTTGACTGGCGGGACAGCTACTACCACTGGCAGAGGTCCGTCTTTAACAAATTTCAGGACGCTGCTGCGGAGCCAGCTTCGACAGTCCTGGACAAGCAGGAGAAGATGGAAGATGCAGATTCGACAATTGCACGCTCCTGGGTTCGTGCACTCTGCTGCACTGACTCGGACAAGTACACGCCTCTTAGTATCAAGAAGAAATTCCTCACCCTCGCTCGAGGCGGTCAGCGTTCTGAGCAGGAGATCAGCGATCTTCTTGAACAGACCATACGCGACCTGGAGCATAGGCGCATCGCCATCAAGCAGAAATCTCAAGCTCTCGCTACGGGTCGACCTTACAAGCTCAACGAGCATTTCCTGCGCACGCTAGACCGCTTTTCCAACGAAGACAAGTTCTCCGTCGCCGCAGGTTTCAAGATCAAGATGGACGAGGCTTTCCGCAAGGGCAAAGCTGTGGAAATCCCTTGGCGCACTGAGGATGGCATGGTCATCGCGGCGTTCAACCTGCAGGCTTATGGGCGGGTGCGTATCGAGCCTATCAAGAAGCTCAACGTCCCGTTCGGTTTCAAGCCAGGCTTCTACGAATCGCGCAAGTTTCCCAAGTCCTACTACCGCTTTGATTTGCAGGTAACTCCTACTTCTCGATACATGTACAACGAAGAAATTGAGATTCTATGGAAGGCAACTGACGACTCTGTCATTCCCGGCGGTGGCGAGGACGGCATTTTGCCAATGTGGTGCGACTTCTTTGGCAAGCCTGACCGGCTCCGCTGGTTCAAGATGCTGTCAGCGGTGCTTTTTGTGCTAGGATGCCGTGGTGCAATGACGGACGAATTTGCAGCGCAGGCACTACGTCCTTGCATCGAGATATTCGAGGTCGAGATGATCCGGAAGTGGGCTCTCGAAATGGGTATAGTCAGGGAGATCACTGAGGGATGCAGCGCTGTCAGCGTCTCCGAGTGGTGGTGGTTGATCTGCGGCCTGCCTGTGACCCAGGCGAACAACCCCAAGGCCGATGCGCACGACCAATACTCCGGATGGCACAAGCGAAGGTGGCGGGGACAATATCGAGTGCACTAATCGTTCTCGATGCAGGCAAGGGCTTGGTGACGAGGCGTCACAGAGAGGCGGGCTATCAGCAATTCTTCTTTTGCAGAAGCGTGTATCACCATAAAATGAATGGCAATCGGCTCTGGGTATTCACTGAGTGCATCAAAGGACAGGAATCAAAGCTTTTGTGGAGGATGTGGAGGATATGTGGGTTGCACGACTTAATGCGAGATCCCTCCTGCAAGGGATCATCGCCACTTCGATCATCCTTGATAGTGTTTGCATAAGTACATTGAATTGGATCACTCAGTACTCAGGTAGCATACATTGTCATGCAGGCTTCTTCTCAAACCAGAATAGCCTTGTACTTTAAGCTCATTGCATTTGTTCCCGAGTGAATGTCAAACTCCCGAGTGGGTAATCCTGTCTAATTACTCTTCGGTCTCTTTAACCTGATGCCTTATACTCGCACCCCTTCGATTCCGGCCTCTTCTGTCCCTATCCATTCTACCGCAGACCCCCTTCAGAGTTTCGCTGCAATTTTCGAGATCAACCCGCCGCTCCCGGCCCACGCCTCGTATACCTCCAACTTGTCAGCTAGATCCCGCATCTTGCGCATGGATTTGAGGCCCAGCGCCCCGGAGGAACCCTCCCTGAGCACGGCTGCGAAGACGTATCGACCCGTGGGCGACAGCACACCGTAAAACTGATGCTTCCCGTCCCCAGGGTGCTGCGGCGGGCCCCATGTTAGCTTCAAATTGCTCCTGTTCGCGAGTGGATGGGGCTCCCAGCGCTTACCTCGCCGTCGGGCGACGCGAGCAGTGTCATCTTGTCTTCGACCTCCTCCTGCGTCCCGCTGAGCCAGTTGACGCTTCCGAACTCGAAAGGGCAGCCTTCTTGCTTGAAACCCAGCTCGAGTGCGAGGCCAAGGTATTGGCCCTCGGAGGAATGAACCTGAGAGAGAATGGTATTGATTAGATCCAGTGGGCTGAGGCGCATGGAGTTCAAGCATATTTATCCCGCTGAGTGCGTTCGGGATCACTTACAGTGTAATGAGGCTCCTTAGACGACTCGTACGAGCAAACTATGGCACCGTGTTTGGTGAAGACGGTGAGCATCTCGATTTCGTTGCCGCGCTTGTGTATAAGCCTATATGTTGCGTATCTTAGCACGAGAAAATCTTTGTCATTCACGATATTTTCTGGGCATACCGCTTGATTTTTCCTGATTATTCGCATTAGCCCAATGCTAAAGTAGAAAATTGAGACGAGGGAGAGAGAACACAAGGGAGAACCGCAAAATAGGCAGAGTACTCACTAATCACCCTCTTGCTTAAATGGCTAGGAGCCTCAGGGACGCTCGAGGGGCATGTCTTTGCGATATCAGGGGGTGGGATCTTGTGATAGGAGCCGTTCAAAGATGCTGCCACTGCCACGTCGTCCTCTGGGATGTTGGTCGCGGAGTCACTCCACGTCTGTTCAGCGACGTCCACAGAGGGATCGTCATTTGAGTCCGTCTCAGCGACCGGGGCCATCGCCTCGGGCACTATTGACATCCTATAAGGATTGTTTGATAGCCGGTTCGATTCGACGTTCCCGAGTATATTGTTCACGGAATCAATCCACATCTGCTCGGGGACATCCACAGAGGGGGCGTTGTCCAGCATCATTGACGCCCTATAAGGATTATTTGATAAACGAGTTGATCGGCCTTCCTCCATGATGTCGTTATGTTCGAATTGTGGGTCTGAAGGGCGTGAAGTACGAGTATGATACAGATATTTACAAAGTCAACAACCCGGAGAGGAGGAATGCCTCTTTATACTTTCAGTCCGTTACTATTTTTTCCTGTTGCTGCCACTCTTTCCTTCGACGTCTATCAAATCATTGAAGCCGCTCGATCTAACAGCAAAAAGGGTCCCGGTGGGTGGAGGCCGTGATCGTTTCTGGTGCAAACTCTTGGATGGGTAGTGACACTCCACAAGCCAGCCATATATGGCCTGGCCCGGCCTACAGATATCACAGATATCGTGCGCCCAAACCCAACGATGTTTACACTTGTAGCCCGTGTCACAGGCGAGCTTCCGGCCACCCAGTGGCGTGGCCGGGCTGATCGGCCGGTCATGCGGCCATGCGGCCAGGCGGCTCAACGCTGATGCATCTGAGTTTCATAATCTGAAACCTAGCTCGAGTCTTTTGGAGTTCACGTCAGAAGCCAAAATTGGGACGTGCAAAAGGAGAGAAATACGGGCCCTGGAGCGACTCTGCTGTGAGAACGACTGTATCGGGCAACACGCATCTCTCCCCATTTTGGACCCACTCGCTCGCTGATGGCAAATCCATGAGTGCTGAAATCCATATCTTTTACCCGTAGTTGATGGTGCGATATCGAATACCAGCAAGAGAAACCAGTGAGGAGTGACCGGTCAACGGGATATCGATATACTGGAGTCCAGATAGTGCAATCCCGGCTCCTTGCTGGCTGCTTTTTACCTGGATGTCGCCGCCCTGCTTCGTTAGAAAACTCTTATTGACAGGACGCCTGCAGAGATTTTTCCACATGCAAATTTCTTTGTTCCAAGGAAGTTAAATATGCCGACTGTAACTGGTGGCATTGGGCTCCACGAGAATTGTTGTTGTTTGATGGTTGAAGAATCCAGGTGCCAAGAGCATATGAAGTCTTTTTGCTTTTCGAACACAACATCGTGCTCTCATTTTTTTTCCGATTTGAAACAATCCATGGCACAAACTTCAAGCTGTCGGCTTCGTCACACTATAACCTTTGTACGATCTGAGCTAAAGCGAGGTGAAGTCGGTTGATGCAGCCGGGTCAGCATGAGGGTGCGTCTCCATTGGCCAAAGGGAGGAGGAATGGCTGGCAGCTGAAGGCGGGCAAAAGACCCCGAATCGGGGTGGTACGGGTGCATACCATGTGACATGGACATTACCCAGTTGAGGGAAGATATTCAACGCAACAGCGAGGCGGATGACCGATGTTGAGATTTGCGATGCCGGCAAGCGTGGTAGGGGGAGCGAGGGTTGCATTCCGGAAGGCACGCCGTTCTGGCCACCTCCGCTGGCGCCACTCGCTGTAAACCACCAGACCACCTGGGCTGTAACCATGAGCTAGCTGACTTTTGCGAGGAAAGCTTCTTTACGAAATGAACACAGGCGCGTCGCAGGCATTAGCCGTGTGTGCCCTGGCAGCCTGACAGCCCGGTGGCTTTCACACCGCCTGTTTCCCACCTGCCCGCCTCGACCAGGCAAGCTTTGATGAGACGGGCTCCAGGATGAACAGACGCGTGAGCCTCTTCTGATTTTGGTTATCAGATCGGGCCAAAATCCGATATGGTTTGGTGACGATCTAGGGCAGAATGCTCACCGGCTGGCCATGCTGAAAACTCTAATAGATGGACAGTCGGCATCAGAGCTTTTTTCTTGAACACAGTATCTAACAATGGAGGCAACGCCGTCCAATTCCAACTGAGCCAAGGGGTGATAAGGAAGCAAGCGCCCGCCTTCCCTGCAGACGCGGCTCGCCAGCTGGACGGGGGTTGCATACAGCCGTTGCAACGAGCGAGCGAGCCATGGATGCTTAGACCCTTGGGTTGTAGAAGCGCACTAATCACCAAGACAGTAATAGAATGGTGGCGCTGTTATTGGTGTTGATGGTTGTTGTGAATGCAAGAACAACGACACGACACAGTATGCTGCGCAGGCAGGTAGTCTAGCGAGTGCATGATTCAAACGCGCTGGCAGGGAAGAGGGACTTGCAATTGCCGGGTGAGTCAACGGTGAGGAAAAAGTCGAGGGACGGCGTGCGTGTCAATCTAGACCTCTAGACCGAGGCAGTCTGGTCTATTGAATCTTATGCAGGTAATTTTCGCAACATGCAATGTCGACTGCCACTGCCCGGCACCCGAGAGTCACTGGCTCGCGGAGTATGCTACGCAGCAATACTGTAAGAAAACCTCATGTTGCAAGACAGCTCGAGATGAGATACCGTTAGCAGACCATTGTTCTGTGGCGTTTTGCGTCAGGACTCAGGAGAAGGACAAGTGTGGAGACGGCAGGAGAAAATGGTTTCCTGCCCCATGCCTGCCACGTACGGAGCGGAGGGGGAGGGTACTGTACCACGCATGTCAATCACGCGTGGGACTGACATCATGGCCAAGTTCAAAGTCCAAGCAGTTCAGGTTCAAAGGGCGTTGCGTTGATTTCTTGACTTGACCCTGCCTGTCCGCTTACTAATTCGCCAATTGACCACCCTGCTCTCTCTGTCTGTCTGTCTGTCTATATTGCATATGTAGTCTACCGATGTCAATGACACTGACAGGCACAGAAGCAAGCTGCTGCAGTGCTAGTCTACCCGGTTGATAAAGCCTGGGGGAAGATGGAATGTTGCCATTTTAGCAAGGCGTTAGTCTATCTCTGCTGGGTCGTGCGCGGTACGTACCCAGGACACTGTGGTGACGGTGGTACCTGCACCTGCCTGACTCTGGGCTGGCCAGGCGTGCCAGGCTGATGCTGGTGCTGATGCTGGTGCTGGTTGGTGTCTGTTCTCTCTTGCAGCTCTGCAGCTCTGGTGAGAGCCGACAATACGGGAAGGTGGCCGGACCGATGCAGAGCAGCAGAGAACAGATAGGATCGACTTCTCCCCCCTGTCCCCTGTCCCCTGGCCCCTCACACCCCCCCAGCAGAGCTTGGGATTGCCCCAGATTATGCAATCCATGGCCCCGCCGATAACGCAGCTCTCGACAAGGTGCTGCGCAGCAACAGACGACATGTGCCCATGCTCGCCATGCTACCTCTTTGGTATGCTGAGTATGCACAGTCAGGTAGCTGGTGTCTAATCCAGTTTACGTAGTCTATCCGCACCCGTGCCCGTCACAGGCGCCCATGAAGCATCACTGAACCGGTGGGCAAGCGCAGGGAGCAAGGGTGTCCCGCCATTGAGTTCTGGACCGGGTCCCACTCATCAAACTCCCACCCGGGATAAGTCTGCTATGTACAAGTCACTTTTCTCCACCACCGAATCGCTCTTGCTCGAACTGCTCAACCGCCTCTTGTCCCGTCCCGCCCGTCCATTCCATAATTTTTTTCTTACCCTCCCTCTATCTCTATCTCACCACCCTTCTCGCCGCCGACGACGAGGGCCCGCGCTGTACGCTCTCAGCAAACGCGCCCATCCCGAGATCCTCGGCCGCCCAGGCCGCCCTCAACACTTTTGCGAAGGGCGCCACCACGTCACCAGCCTTTGTGTGTCCTGGGCCAATCTTTGACCGCTGTGTGACGAGCATATCGCTGCTTCGCCGCAGCCGGACGGCAGCATGGCCGGCTTCGCCAGTTGCTCCTGGCCCATCTGGCATGTGGACGACTTTACCCTGTGCTTCCAAACAGAGTCAGTACCTTTGCGCCACACAGCCAGCCCACCAACCATGCCTGGCATTGGCATCCTTGCCCGCGGTTGTCTTTGTCTCGGGTGCTAACCACAGTCGCACAGTTACCTCAAGGTCCTCCTACCTGTCATAGTAATCTCGCTGTCTCTCATCAACTTACTCTCACAAAGCATAATCCGAGCAGTTAGGATAAAACGAGCAAATTCAAAGGCATATAAACCACTGTCAAATGGCGTCACAAATGGTCACGCTGTTCACCAACACACCGACCTCCCCCCGGAGGAGGAGGAAACTGTCGACGACTCCGACGACGAAGGTCTCGCAATCAACGGCGGCCGGCTAGCCCTGGTCAAGACAACCACCAGGGGCTCGATAGTTCAGGCTGATGCGCCACCTGCCCAGAAACTGTCTGTCATTGTCGAGGAATTGGCCATCGCCGCTTTGGTCGCGGTGAACGTCGTTGCGCTCGCCACAGGCGCTTTCGGAGGGACTGCTTCGCTTCCCTCTGTCATTGGGCTCGTTACTTGGGTCTACGCCCTTGTTCTCGCAAGCCTTCGGCTCTTTCTGGGAAACACCCAATGGCGTGTTCCGCACCTGTGGAACCACACGGCCGCCATCTACTCGCTCCAATGGCTCTTCACTGTCGCGATATTCCGCTCTGTCATCATCCGGCCCAGCTCTAGGCTCACCCAGATTCTTGTCATCCTGGAATTCGCACTCACGACTCTGCTATTTGGGATGGCCATTACCACTAGGAAGGGCAACAAGACTGTGCTGTTGGAGTGGGAAGACGGCATTCAACCGTCGCGCGAGCCCTTGGCTTCCATATTTTCCAACTATGCTTTCACATGGGTTGATGCCATCACATGGCAGGGATACAAGCAGACTATGGAGATCAAGGACGTGTGGAACCTCATGCCAAAGGACAAGGCTGGCACAGTTCTGGCTCATTACCGCCAAATGAAAAAAACAATGGCCCTGTCGTACCACCTTTTGGTGTATTTCAAAGGGCCACTGGTAGCACAGATTTGGTGGGCTATCCTCTCAGGTGTCTTCACCTTCTTACCGACTATGCTTTTGAAAGCCATCTTGGAATTCGTCGAGCATCCTGGCGAGGCACCACTTAACGTCCTCTGGCTTTATGTCATCCTCCTGCCGGTAACTGATCTGGTTAGGTCGGTAGCAGACAACCAGGCTCTGTGGGTTGGCCGCAAAATCTGCATCAATGTGCGAGCTATCCTTGTCGGTGAAATATACGCCAAGGCTCTGCGACGAAAGGCTGCTGCAGGCAATGATGCCGTTCTCGGCAAGACCCAAACCGATCAGCCTGGTGAGAGCAAAAGTTGGCTGGCGAAACTTAAGCGCACGGTTGGACTCGGAAGAAAGGAAGACAAGAAGCAGCCAAACGGCCAAGGCGCGCAATCCCCCGGGGCGGGCGTTGAAGCCAAGAAGGATGTGGCCGATGAGCAAGCCAACTTGGGCACGATTATCAACCTCATGTCCGTCGACAGTTTCAAGGTGTCCGAAGTCACCGCGTACCTCCATTTTCTTGTCGCCCACGCGCCGACACAATTGATCGTCGCTATATTCCTGCTCTACCAAGTCATGGGCATGAGTGCCATTCCCGGATTCATCGTCATGGCTGCATTGCTCCCTGTCAATATTTACTTCGGCAAGGCGTTCAATAGCAGCCAGAAGCTGATCATGTCAGCCACTGACAAGCGAATCTCAATCACCAACGAGGTCCTTCAAAACATTAGAATCATCAAATACTTCGCGTGGGAATATCGCTTTTCTCAGATCGTCGATGATAAGCGTAAGGCAGAGCTCAAGGCCCTCCGGAGGCGGTATATGATCTGGGCCGCCGCCGTTGCAGTTTGGAATACAGTCCCAATCTTGATTACGTTCTTCTCATTCCTGTCGTACACACTTATTGAGGAGAAGCCCCTCTATCCCTCGATCGCATTCACGGCGATTTCGCTCTTCATGCTTCTTCGATACCCTCTCGATCAGATTGGCGACATGATTGCTCACGTGCAGGAGTCCAAAGTGTCTATCGATCGTATCGAGGAATTCTTGAACGAGGAAGAGACGCAGAAGTTCGAACAGCTTGGCGAGGATAACATTGACGAGAATGGAGACGAAGTCATCGGATTCAGAGGCGCAACACTCATCTGGGGCAGCAGGGATGCGGTCGCTGATGACGGCTCAATGGCTTTCCGTCTCCTAGACCTGGATATCGACTTCAAAATTGGCAAGCTGAATGTCGTCACTGGCCCGACGGGCTCAGGAAAGACTTCGCTACTGATGGGTCTGCTTGGTGAGATGTCACTCATGCAAGGAAAGGTGTACCTACCAGGCGGACGAAGCCGTGAAGATGTCCCGGCTGATCCTGAGACCGGCCTAGCTGAGACATGTGCCTACGTTGCTCAGAGTGCCTGGCTCGTTAATGCGAACATCAAAGAGAACATCGTCTTCTCGGCGCCGTTAGATGAGAAGCGGTACCGGGAGGTCATTGTTGCCTGCGCGTTGGAGCGTGATCTACAAATCCTCGACAATGGCGACAAGACGCTCGTTGGAGAAAAAGGTATCACCCTTTCTGGGGGTCAGAAGCAGCGTATTTCTCTGGCTCGGGCTGTCTACTCGAACTCCAAGCACCTACTACTCGATGACTGTCTCAGCGCAGTCGATTCTCATACTGCACAATGGATTTTCAACAATTGCATCAAGGGGCCTCTCATGCGCGAACGAACTTGCATCTTGGTCACCCACAATATTCCTCTGACGGTGCCTTACTCCAGCCACGTCATTGTCATGGACAATGGTAGGGTGTCTATTCAAGGTGACGCCAATGAAGTCATCGACTCTGGCAAGCTGGGCGAGGAGGTTCAAAAGACCAAAGCTGGTTCAGCCTCGGCGTCCGTCTCCAGGATTCCGTCGCGTGTCCCCTCAAGTGTCGGCGAGGAGAGTGGAGACACACTCATTGATGGCGCTGGTGAGGGTGATCGACTCTCCAAGACCAAGTCGGCCGGCACGAAAGGGGATGGGAAAGATGCTATGGACGAGTCTAAGGCTGTTGGAGCTGTCAAATGGCCAGTCCTGAAGCTCTACTTGACCTCCATGGGTGGATGGGCTTTCTGGTCGGTAGCTTGCCTGGTCTTTGTCCTCCAGCAGGTCAGTGGTGTCGCCTCGAACGTATGGATTAGGCAGTGGGCCAATCAATACCTCGAAGAAAAGGACGCTTCAGGCGTCCAATTGACTGCAGCCTCTCAGAGCTACCATACTGCTTCACTGCCTTCGGCGTACTTGGCCTCCATCCCGAAATATACCCAGCTGCAGTCGTGGCTGCAAACCGCCGGGAACGAAACAAGCCTCACGGCCGCTGGCCCGCACGGTGTCAACGTCACTTACTACCTCCTTATTCTTGCCTTGATCGGCTTGGTCGGGGCGATATGTGCTTTGGTCAGAGACTTGTGGATCTTCATTGGCTCCCTGACGGCGTCATGGGGCCTCCACGACCGTCTCATGAGCTCGGTCACCAAGGCACAGTTCAAGTTCTTTGACGTGACACCACTTGGCCAGATCATGAACCGATTCAGCAAGGACATGGAAGGTATTGACCAGGAGGTTGCACCCGTCGCTATTGGAGTCATGACGTGTGCATTGGGCATCCTCGTTACTGTTGTGTTGATTGCCAGTGTCACACCTGGATTCCTCGTGGCTGGTGTCTTTATTACTGCGGCCTATGTCTTCTTGGGCAAGTTCTACCTCGCCTCCTCCCGAGATCTCAAGCGACTCGAGTCTGTCCAGCGCAGTCCGTTGTTCCAGCAATTTGGAGAGACCCTGAGCGGGGTTACAACCATTCGAGCCTATGGCGATGAGCGTCGTTTCGTACGCGAAAACTTGCAAAAGATCAACGCCCAGCTGCGTCCTTTCATCTATCTATGGGCCGCTAACAGATGGCTTGCGTTCCGAACGGACGTCCTTGGAGACCTGGTCTCCTTTTTCGCCGGAGTCTTCGTCATTCTAAGCTTGGACACAGTGAAATCCGGCTCTGCTGGTCTGTCATTGTCATACGCCATCGGCTTTGCGGATAATATTCTCTGGCTTGTGCGTCTGTACGCTATGAACGAGCAGAACATGAACTCAGTAGAACGTATCAAGGAGTACTTGGAAGTCGAACAAGAGGCGCCCGCTATTGTGGAGAAGAACCGACCACCACAGAATTGGCCTGCTAACGGTTCTGTCGAATTCATCCAATACACCACAAGGTATCGCGCAGATCTTGACCCGGTACTGAATGGGCTGAGCTTCAAGATCAGTGGCCGGGAAAAAGTCGGAATTGTCGGTCGAACTGGAGCCGGCAAAAGTTCTTTGGCTTTGGCATTGTTCCGCGCTCTTGAGGCTGAAGAAGGAAAAATCCTTATAGATGACATTGATATCGGGTTGATCGGCTTACGCGATCTGCGCGAGTCTATCACTATTGTGCCCCAGGACCCAACACTCTTTATGGGTACCATCAGGACGAACCTCGACCCGTTCGACAGTTATAGTGATGAGGATATCTACGCCGCGCTTCGCCGTGTTCAACTCATCGGGCCAGACGAGAAAATTCCCAGCCGACCGGGGTCCTCCGGCGCCGTTCCTCCCACACCAACCACCGCCGCCGAAGGCATTGCGGAGTCATCGGCCAGCACCAGATCCGCGCCTGTCGTCACCAACAAGAATATCTTCCTAGATCTCAACTCTCCGGTCACCGAGTCCGGCTCCAATCTGTCTCAAGGCCAGCGACAACTCCTCTGCTTGGCGCGAGCTATGCTCAAGTCACCGACGGTCCTGCTTATGGACGAAGCGACGGCCTCGATAGACTATGCTACAGACGCAAAGATCCAAGGCACAATTCGTGAACTGGAAAGTAGCACAATCATTACGATTGCGCACAGGCTACAAACCATTGTGGACTACGACAAGGTCCTTGTGCTCGACAAAGGCTCAATTGTCGAGTACGATCACCCATGGAACTTGATGCAGAAGAAGGATGGGCAGTTCAGGGGCATGTGCGAGACGAGTGGCGACTGGGACGTCCTGGAGAAGCAGGCTAAGAAGGCCTTCAAAGCCAAGCACGAACTCGTCGACACAGAAGTACGCGACGAGACAGAGGGCTCTGATAAGTGAACTGGGAAGCCCGACCATCTAGGATAGAAGACATGGCAAGTGACGGACGGGTAGAGAGAGAGTCTCGAATGCTTCTCTGTACATAGAGCAACGTCCTTCGCCTTGTGCATTGTGTATAAATAAGGGACGGATCCCAGCATGGCGCAACTTTTTTGTTTTTAATTATAGAAAAGCATGTTCATTCAAGATCTTCCAATGGTCGTCACGGCCGCCGATAGAGTGAGTCTACATTGTCGACACGTTGGCCTGTTTCATTACTCAGATCTACCGCCGGATGGGGAAACCACCGGACTGCTGGATAAGAGTTTGCCAGCTCGAGTCGGTTCTATAGACTGCTGAGGATATCGAGGAGGCGTCCCCACCGCTTGTGACTTTTGCTCGTGAATGCTGGCTGCGGTTCGACAAATGATACGTTTCGAATAAGGTAGCCGAGGAGACAGAAGCTGCGCCGCAAGTCCTCATATGTGACCTCCTTCGGCAGGTTAAACGTCATAGCAGATGACGCTCGTCTCATAGCACAATTACAAGAATGTCTCAGTTGATAGAGATATATAATTTGTGTAGCATAAGCCACCATTTTTATACAATTATTCGCATTGATCAAGCCAATGTTGATAATAATGATGATGATGATAATGATGGTGATGACGATAATAGGTCATTATTTGACGCCGTTTCCATTCCCTGCCCTTGGGGACAGTCATATGCAGATCTACCTGTCCCCCATTTCCATGTACCTTTCCTGGCCTGTGCTGTTGTTCCTGGCCTCCTAGATGCTTCCCATACCCTGCCTGATCCAAGACGCGTGGATGATGTAAGAGAACAGAAGAGAAGAGCATGCTGGCCCAATGTGAGCGAGTGCGTGCTATTGTGAGAAAATCGAGATGAGTCAAGGCCAGAGGTTTCCGCCATGCTTCTCAAGAAAACGATCGTGTGGTTAAGGGCGGGATATGGTCCAGCTCGCGAGGTCGGGGGTAGTGTGTAGTGAAGGGCAGCGCAGGTACGGTCGTTGCGCGATGTTCACAGTCTCCCTTTCCTTGCCATCCTTGATCCTGCATCATTGCTGAGATACCGCTGCCTGACACATCAAAGAGCTCGCTCCTTTCGAATGCCCTGCCCCTGTAACCATCACCCAGTCCCCCGGGGGCACGCCTAGCCGACCCGACAAGCAGGGTTACATGACGTGGTGCTAAACCAGTACATAATTGATGATCCAGAAAGCAGATACAGAAAACAACAAAACTTTTTTCTTTTTTCGGTATCTTGGGTGTCCCTATCTCTATATCATCCCAGTCATTATCACAAGCACCCTGCTCTTGAGTCAAGGATGGGGGTGGTGGTGGGGGACATGGGCCCAATCCTTCTGTCCCATCCACACAAAACGAAAACAAAAACGCCAACGAATGCGAGGTATGATTGATATCCATCCAAAAGCACAGAGATATCTCATTGATTTTTTTCCCATTCCGTAAACTCCGCCCCAATGATGGATCCTGACAAAGGAAATTTCTGTTGAATGCAAGTCCTGCCCCGAAAGCCTGATGGAATGCTGATTGGGTATCTGCTGCATAAGTAGGAGCTGGTGTCCGACGAGAGCCCGTGGTCCACACTGTCAAAAGATGATGATGTGTGTGTGTTTTGTTTGTGCCATCGAGGCAATTGGTGAAATGTAGATCCAAGGCGTCAAGCTCAATGGATCCAGAGCTGAAACATGAAAGCTGGCAGTACGAACATGTGGTACCTGCCGCTCAGAGAAGCGAACAAAAAGTTTAATGGTACAGATTGAGGGACAGAGGCTCTGTCGTATCTTCTATGCCGAGATGCCCTGTTCCTTATCGAAGCTGGACTTAGGACTCTGCTGATTTGAACGGTTGAATACAGTTCTGCCGAGGCTCTTCAGCTTGTTCGAATTCTCCACTTCCGTATCGTAGTCAACGAAGACGCTGGTGATAGGGTCCACCTTGGTGCGGCAGAACAACGTCGAGAAGAGGTATTGGTCTCCGTTATGGTCAAACAATGGCAAAGTACGGTAGCCTTGTTTGAGACTCGTCAGTTTCGCCGTGTAGGTAGCAACTGCTGGCGCACGGTCATTGTAGTTGCCTCCTTCCGAGAGCTTCACCGACCACCTGATGAAAATGAGATCGGGGTACTTGGTGCGGGCTTCAAAGACAAACTTGTTGTCAAAGACAGGGTTGAAGCCATTCTCCTTGACGATTCTGGTGCGATGCCTGAGCGGCCTCCGAAGTGGCGGCGCATTCGACTCCTGCTTATCCCTCTTGTCGTCGGCAAGAAAGGCTTCGACCTCGATGTAGGGATCCACGGTTCGACGCTCCCCCAAGTTGAAGGGACGCATGAGCTGTTGTGCCGAGATGACGTCGATCGTGAAGCTCACGTTCTTGCGTTCTCGTTTGTTGCTCAGCTCTTCGGGCAGGTCCGGAACCGTCCGGAAGACCCTACCCGATTTGGGGTCCATCTGGAGTTCTCTGAAGGCTCGTGGCTTCAACACGTACCCGGAAGTGTCTGTTCCCCCAGCAAACATTGCTTGATTGAATTGCATGCCTAGATCGAACGTCTGCCAGTTCAAAGCAGCCATCTGGACACCGCGCCTCCAATAAATGAGCGGGTCGAAGTTGGTTGAAGTGAAACGGTGTTGTGCTGGGTACACACGCATCAAGTATCGCATATTGTGGCGGAACAACGCACCCTTGCTCGACTTGTCAGAGCTGTTGTTGAGGAAGGTCCGCTCCTTGAAAGAGAGGATGTGGTTAAAGGTCTTGCAGTCGGCGTCGTCGAAACCTCGGAATTTGACACCAAGGCAGTACACTCCGAGATCGCCAAGGGCTTTGGTGATCTTGCTCTGCTTGGAGCGCGGAGGCTTCTCTGCTCCACTGTCGTCACTAGAACTGCTGCTGAATAGTTCCTGGACATCGGATGTCTCGCCTTCAGCGATAGTGTTCACACGACGGTTACTACCACGTCGGACCCCAGGATAATTGGGACTCAGGAGAGGGCTATTTGGAATAGACGATTCCCCAATGTTAGTGGGCCGAGTGAAAGGTGATGTCAGACTGTTTCCACGTCGTCTGCCCGCGCCATTGGTTTCGGCGTTCTTTGTCTCGTTGAGATTTGGCGTCTTGCACTTGATCAGGATGCGACCTCGCAGCTGCTCAGGCGTGGGAAGCTGATCCTCACAGCCTTCGAGCTTCTCAGTCACCAATTTCTCTCCAAAGACATCCTTCATGATGTTGGCCATGACTTCCTGTTGCGTGGCGTTGCAGTGAACCTCAAGCGAGATCCACAATGGATAAGTAGATTTGACGAATGCGTACTTATTGATGGCACTAACAGCCTCGCGGAACTGTATTTGACTGGTCAACGTCTTGCCATGAGTGACAATGGGCTGGTTTTCTGGGCCGTCCCAGCAGTCAATTTCGACACAGCGGCAACCACGCATAAGAGCGGAGATGTAGCCCTCGATACTGGATATGTCTCCAATTTGACGCCCAGTAAGGTATGTGTTGTGCGAACTGGATATGAAGTATTCATTGCATGGCCGATTAAGCTCACAGTCCTTTGGAGCAACCTCCACAGGAGTGCTGTGAATTGACGTGAGGTATTTTGCAAGCGCAGTCTCAGACATGCGTGGTTTCTCGAAAGTACCACTGATGGAACTGGTCTCGGATGCCTTTCCACGGCCAAACTGGTGGAAGATCGTCTCCCAGGCGCCGACGTCTTCGACATTCTCGTTTTGAACATCCTTCAGGAACTTGAGAAAATCCTCAAAGGTCAGTCCGCTTTCCGGATCAGAGGCAATCTCCCGGTACACGGCTCGAACGTCTTCTCTTCTTGCCGTAAGGCGCACAAAATCCTGGAATTCGTCGTAGTTCAATTTACCTGTCTGCGTCTTGTCGGCTTGGTCAAAGTTTGCTTTGAGGGTTTCTTGTGAGATGTGAATGTGCAGGTTGCGACAGACGCGCTCGACGCCAGCGAAATGGATTTCTTCTTCGGCAGGGGGATTGTCTGGATAGAGCCTTGTCATCTCTTTGCGCCAGTAGATTCTGATGGCCCGGTCGTTGAAGGACATCAGAGATGTCATGAGGGCTTGTCTGTGCTTCGATAACGCGTCGAGTGTCGAGACCCAAGCATTGAACGACTCCATATCGTCCGTAACGAGGTGCATGGTCTTCTGTTTCTTGTCTGGTACGGCATAAAGTATGGAGAAGAAGCGCGATTCCTCTGCCTCGGAAGCACCACAATCCAGTCGGTACTGGCGAACCTCCGGCGCGACGCGGATCTCCTTGATGTCGTCGATGTAGACGCACTTGGATGGCCTGTTCTTATCCCAAAAGATCTTGCCAGCCTCGGAATCTAGGGCCAGATTCAGGCGCTTCCTCCTCTTGGACAGCTTTGAGACCATCGTGCCCAAGAGAAGAGACTGTGGAATGACGGGTCCTGTGTGGATATCGGAGAGTGTTGTGTAGGCGGCAACGGAGGGCGAAGAAGCATTAGTTGGAGAGAAATCACGCAAAGCCTCCCCTTCGGCAATAGGTAAGGGATGAGTAACCTGCTGCTCCCTCACAATGCCGGCCTCATCGTCACTCTCTGAACCAATCGCAATAGCATACTCAGGTGGAGCAGCAGCACCGCTATCACTCCTCCCGCGCCTCATGACTGCGGGCCCTACACTGGCATCGCGGCTGACTGGGTGAGTTGAAGAAGTACGCCGGCTTCCCCTAAGCCGGGAGCTTTCTGTCTTGACCCTGCTGGATAGGCGTCTGAAGATGCCGGTCTTGGATGGCAGTGCTTCATTCTGCGTCGACCGCTCGCTTGTTATGCTCTGTGGCAATGAATTTGTGCTCGTCTTACGGGATATAATAGAATCGGGAAGGGGTTCCATCATCGGCAGAAGAGAGGATTCCGAGTCCCTGCCGCGTATGGGCTCCGGGGATGGCTGTATGGAGCTGTTGGTAGTGAGCACCTCCGGGTCCGGAGACATGATGGGCGAGAATTGCTGCGGACTGGAAGCCATTGATGAGTTGGTGATGGCGGAGGGAGGGGCGGCTGTCATTTGTGGGTGTGCAAGGAGGTTATTGGTTTGGACTTCACTGGGGCGAGGGCGCCGCAGCTGTGATGGTGGAGGGGCTTGAGAAGGCTGGACGAGGTTTTGAAGCAACGAAGGGGAGGAAGGAGTTCCTTGTGTAGAGGTAGTGATGGACGGCATGTTGCTTGAAGCGAAGTACGGCACCGGCCGGTAGGTTTTCTCCATGAAAGGTGGTCCGGGGTATGCGGACGGAAAGACCTCCGACCTATGAGAGGGAGCTGGACATTTATATCAACGAAGAGATGATCAAGAGCCGCATCTTAAGGGAACCCGTCTCGGTAGGCCCAGTGTGTCCGGGGGAATGAGTGCGGGGAATGAGATGAGACTGATCTCCCGCAGGAAGGATCGTGGATGAGGGCCAAATAAAGTCGGGGCCGTACTGGGGTCGAAGCTGCACGTGGGCGAGTGACCTTCGTCGTCAGAGAGCAATGGACGTACGGCAACAGACAGACAGTACCCGCTCGAGCCTAGGTCCGGCGGAGGCAGGTCAGACCAAGTATATGTTGTGTACAGCTACTGCACGCGGCGCAAGCGCAAGGTTGCGTGGGAGTGCCAATTCCCTGGAAAGAGGGTGTGGGCGATACCTTGGGGTTATGTAGGTGTGTCTGGTGCAGTTTTGGGGACCATATATCGCGATACCTGGCTCACGGCGGAGTGATGATGTGGCAGCCCGTATGCAAGTGGACAGATGCGGTTCCAAGGCGCGGGTTGGGGTGTATGCGCAAGTCCCACAGGCGGTCCGCAAGGGCAGCTGCAGACTGCTTGGTGCGTGACTGGGATGGCGATCTCCTCGCGGTCCTCGTCTTGTGGGCGCAAAACAAGCCGCCGGCCCACGGTTGCGACTCCTTGGCGCGCCTCCTTTGAAGATGATGCGCGCGAGCCGAGCCTCTTGTCTCTTCGACCTTCTCTAGATCCCGAGACTCTGGTCGCCCTTGGTCCTATTGGGCGCGTACAGATCTCCTCGCCTGTCGTGCTTCCCCCGAAAAGCCTAATAGCAGACTCTCAGCAAGCGTGCAGGCGTGCGCAACAAGTTAGGCCCGTCCGAGGTGGTCGATATTCCAATGCGCGGCTCGTGGTCCCGAGTGTTGGCACGTCGCGAAAAGACAGATTCCCGCGAAGACTGGAGAGCGCAGCAGGGTGGCTTAGAAAATGTCCTTTCCGGGAAAGCCTCAGAGGTGTCGACAAAATTGTTGTGCCTGGTACCGTGGAGGAGGCGGCAGAGTGGGTGTGTGTGTGAGTGTGAGAGAGTGAGAGTGTGCGATCCAGATGGGATCGTGTGTCGCGGACTAGTCGCGGCGTTGTCTCTCTCAGTTGGTGTCCTCGTAACAACTAAGAACCGGTAGTTGTATGTGATTTGTTGAAGTGTTCAAGGTACGGTTCGTCCAGCGTCGTTTGCAATGTCGAAGGGAAGGGGGGAAAATGTCTGCCCTAAACCAGTTGAATGTAAAGGTGTGGTGAGTCGAAGTGAAGTATTGCAGTAGGGTGGCGGCAGGGTAGGTACGGATGTATCTATCTATCTATGTATGCATGGGCGACTGGGTGGGTGGGAGAGGTGGTCCATACGAAGGGGGGGGTGGTGGTCGATTTCTTAAAGTGCGATCGATGCTAGCACGAGTGGCATGGCCGGGAAATTGTTGGCGACAGGGACAGGGGACTGCTCGCGCACTACGTACTGTAGGTAGACGAGGAGGAGCCACGAAGTACCGTGTAGCTGACGGTGCCAATGGATGGGCACAATAAATGGGGTGGTGTTGGGATCAGGCAGTGGCTCTGGCCTGTGTGCCTGGTGTAGGCTTTTGTGGGAGGGGGGGGGAGGAGGGAGAGGGACAGCCCGGGCAGCCTGGACAGCCTGGACAGGAGGGTACTCGATACGGCACCAACGGCGACAATCCTTTCTAGCTCGAGGGGAAAAGCGAAATGCGATTGTGACCAGAAGACGGGATGACATGGGATGGGGTCCATGGGGAATGAGGACCGCCAGGAGGTGTGAGCAGGGCGAAAAAAAAAAGGTAGAGACAGGTACCTGGGCGGTTTTAGCGCGATACCGTGGAATTGGCAGAGCGCAGGTGCAGGCGCAGGTGCAGGTGCAGGTGCAGGTGCAGGGGACCGAGCAGGGGAGGGTGCATGTGGCCCGGGGGAAGGAAGGCGTCAGACGCATGTACCACCGTACCGGCCCTGCCTCGTGCATGTACTGCCCTCGGTACAGGGTACCTGGTACCTGCGCCGAGACACAACCGCACAGAGGACTAAAAGAAGAGAGTGCGCCCAGCTGCTGTTGGTCCGCGGTCGAGGACGAGGACGAGCATTGAGGATGAGAGGATGGGGATGTGGGCGCGAACCATCCGCCTGATCGGCTCTCGGATCCCAGAACGATGAATGAATTACATAGATGAATGTATGTATGTATTTATGTACATGCACACACAGTACACATCAGAGGTGCCCCATGCAATAAGTACTATGAATAAGTCATACCTGTCCTGCCGTGCCGTGCCGCCCACAACATGAATATGCTGCTGATGTGTGTGTGTGTGTATGAGAGAAAGTGTGTGTGGTGTCCTCGAGCTGAGCTGAGCTGGATGGAGCTGAGCTGAGACCGAGACGGTGAGATGAGGGAAGACGCAAAGGGAAGTGGCGTGTGGGCAGGGAAGGAGGTGCACGGAAGAGAAAATAGACCGGCGTGGATGGGACTTGCCTGTTAGACGGAAAGGGGACAGCGACATGGGGGGGTGGGGGGTCGCTGGCCGCGCAGTCTTGGGAGGACCGCCAGCACGGCCAGCACGGTCAGGACGGGCCCCAAAAGAACAAACCAAGACACTCAAGAATTGACGTGGCGCCCCGGTGAGGTGACTAGACTAGGTGACGACACTGTGGCCGGGCGGAGCGAAGAATAGGTGGGATTGGCAGCACGTCAGGAAGAACAGAACCTGGACGGTTCTGCCATCGCACTTTCTGTGCAGGATTGCGCTTGGTGCGCGCATGGGGGGGGGATGCCTTGGTACCCAGATATCCTCTGCTAACTGCAGTTGTTTCGTGGGCCACCGTCACGGTGGGCAGGCGAGCGTACCCGCATACCTACCTAGACTACCTAGGGTTCTGGGCACCCCTCCCATGGGCGCAGGAGATGGCCCCTAACCGACCTGGAAGGCCCTTGAGCAGGTACCTCCCCAGAGGCAATGAGGCAACGTAGGAACCGAGCTGGATACCAATCGAATTAGCCAGCTTTGGGAGCTGAGCTCTCTGGCTTTCCATCTCAGTCCGGGCGCCCTGCACGGGCACAGACGGCCATGGAGACAGACAGCTGGGCTGCAGTGGACAGTGACAGAATTTTCCGTCTCCCCCAGGACCAAGACTCGCCCTCTCTCGGTCGGGACCACCTCCACCCATACGCTTCAGATTCCACCCAGACACAAGTCGCGACAGCTGCCGCAGGGTTTCCTCTTTCGAATAGACAGCCGGCTTGCCGTTCTAGACGGGCCATTCATCAACTCGAGGGCTGCTACTGCGACGGAAGGGGGGGCGGGCGGCGCAGTCCGCTTATTAGCACTGGGCAGAGGAGCCGAGTCCGATAGCCAACCCAAAACTGTGCCTCTTCCTATGTACCGCCACACTGCTCTTTATTGTATGAGAAACCACTGTCTTCCCTGTGCTTCAGAATGTCTGGGTGCACATGCCTGCGCAATGTAGGTTTGTCACCATTTTCTGAGTTTAGCACTGTAATCTTGCGGTGGAACGCGCGTCTCCAAACGCTCAGGATGGCTCCCACGACGGGTGCTTATTACCCTGCCCTAACACTGGCCGGGCAATCAGACGGTCAACAGCCCACCGGATCTTTGTCCTACGTGACTACCTAGGGCCGCAAGAGATGCCTCGAATCTGGCCGAAACAAACAATCTACTGTTAGTATGGGTGCGCCTAGCTATGCTAGGCATGGTGGGGAGGGGGGAAGATGGTCTGAGGTTCCTGAATCAACATCAAACCCAAAATCCGGGGGAGACAACTGCCACAGCTACATTACCGTTAGATGGTCTCTAGTGAGCCCCGCGCCACACGGGTTGGTTGCATTGTCCCAGTCTGTCCAAGCCTGGGTGATTATTTAAGGATCATTCCTAGCGACAGGATGCGACTTTGCCAAAGTGACATTCATCAGCCCTCGAGCTGCTGAGTCCCCAGGCCGGCTGTCCGAATGGGCCTGGCGTCCTAGGCTCCCTGTGCTGTGTGCTGTGCTAGGTGGACACCAGCAGGGTGCAGGGTCTCGCAGGCTCATCAACCTGAGAATCAAACAACATTTGCATCCTGAAAAACCCGTGGGGCCTGGGGGCCAGCGCAACATAGGTAGCGCGTTCCCTTTCCCCAGAGCCGACCATGCGACAAGCGGCCTCACGGCAAGGTCTTGCGCAGTAGGGAAGCCCACGCCTGAGGCCTCTTGTTGACTCGGGCTCGCTGTTGATCAGTATCGAAAGTCCCTGATGATCCGTTGCCCAAGTCTCGGATCAAACAAAAAGGCGGCAATCAGGTGGGGGCTTGGGTAGGGCGGGCTCGACACCTTGGGGAAGTGATCTTCCTCTCCCAAGACTCCCAAGCCCCCTCCAGCTTGCAACAATCCCGGAAAGCAGAGACTTCACCACGGGAAAGCTCCATACCTGGGAACCACAGCGGCGGAACCGAGCCGCCTGGACGAGGTTTGATAGGAGGTGGAAAGAAGGTGAAGGGAAGGTAAGCGCCTTAGGCTATCACCCATGGCACCACCTACCAGCGACAACATTCAAGCCACGACTTCACCGTATCGCGGGTCTGCCGCCGGACCACCCCCCCCCCCCCGGGCAGCTCGCGGGAATCTGAGTGACTCAGAGTCCTGCAGTCAAGGTTGGCGGTTTGCGAGTGGCTCGTGGGGTCGAGTCGCATTAAACTTCGCCCGCATTGCGATGCACTGCTCCATCTAGACCATTTGCTGCTCGTAAGGGAGC